TAACAGGAACACAGAGCAACAACTTTAATAGTTAAATCATAATTGATGAAAAGTGAGGTAGAATTAGATCGGAAACCTAGTCAAAGATCCCTAATTTTGGAGATAATAACCCAAGAAAAGTAAGAAGGAAGTTACCATACCTCAAACATTGCATCAACTTTCCCACTTTTAGCACAGGTTGTATTAAAGTTGTGTAAAGTTACAATCAGCTTTCAACCCAGCTTCTGGAAAGTTGCAAAACTTGAAAAGCACCTAAATGTGGATTTAACGTCAGGATCTAAGCATAGCAGTACAAAATAATCAATTTCAGCAACTACCAAGGAGTATACCAATAGAGAGAACCCATGGACTCACCCTCTGAATCTTGAGAACTTGCACACACAGACATCAGCATGTTAAAAGTACTCAAGGTTGGGTTGAGATCAGCTTGAAGAAACGAAAAGCTTCTTTAGTAGCCTTTGACTTTTGCAGGTATAAAAACCTTGAATGATAAACCTGAAAGAAAAGTAGTTTATCAATTACACAGGAACCAGAATGAGTAAAGCACTAGATCAAACATTAGGTAAATGGATAAAACCCTACCTTATTCATATCCAACAAACCCCTTCTTTCCAGGTCTTCAAGCAAATCTACGCAAGCAGTTAACCTAATAAATCATTCAAGGATAGCCTCATTAATTTTTAGAATCACGAAAAAAAAAAGGTAAAGTTTATTACAGCCCTCATGAGAATAGTTCTTTTTTATTTTCTGACAGCAAGAAAAAGTTCAAGAGATTGCTTCACTGTTCACTTCAAATCAAAATTTATAATAATAGCAATTATCTGAATCATGGCAAATTGTCTAAGAGGAAAACAATCAATGTTCAGAAAATTAGTGTGAATGATGAGAGTTACCTCCCAACTCTTAGCAAGCGATTGTAAACACTTAATTGCTCTGAAAAATCAGTGTCATTAGCAGACATCCCATTTGGATAGGGGAACTGGAGCAAATTTCTGCCGTTTTCCTGTACCAGATTTACCCTTTCTTCGTTTCTGGGGATGTCTATGCCTCTCCTTTGCCTTTTTTTTGTGGGAGCTCCTCCTTGTGTGAAAGAGTATTTTTTCTTCAACATACTCTGAATGGAAAAATCCTTTACATAATGTCAGTACAATTGGAAAGTCAAAATTCTGGGGCAGCCCGCTTTGATGAATGGCAAGTGAAGCAGACAAAGGTATCATGCAAAACTAAAACACACTCAAATGAGATCATACTAAATAAATGATGTTATAGCATAATCTGCACCTGCAGTTTGAAAGTATCCGTACTGATAATTCTGCTCCTTTTATTTCAGTATTCCTCTTCAGTGAAAAAAGGCTATAGCTATCATAGGAGAAGATGAGAGATATAGCTTTTACAGCAGCCAAGCTTGCTAGGGGCTTCAGCACTGATTGATTTGCCCCATGAAATGGTATTGTTCTTCTCTGACTGATTCTTGGAAGAACCGAACAGGTAGTTATCTCATCCTCTTCAAAAGTTTCTGATGTGATTTTCGTTCATCATCTACTTCAGTATGAGCATTGTTTTCAGGAACTATGAAGCAATAGACGTGATATTTACTGTCAGCTCAGGAAGCTCAGTGTCCACATCAGTTTCTCTTTGATCTTTCTCCAACTGAAGTTCAGGCATTTCATTTGCAAACATAAGTGGTTGCACAACACTTGATTCAGGGAGCACATGAGGTGCAATAGGTAGAGCAGTAGCTTCAGATTCTTGAGGAGAAGCATAATCACCATTACTAGAGACAAGGACTCGACACCAAGTGAATTTGATGCGCCAGTCAACAGGGAGCCTTCATGCACCAAACTAGATTCCTGAATTTGATGATGGGCATTTCTTCCTTAGAAACTTGATTGGTTACACTGTCCATCAAGTACTCATTTTCTCTTGAAGTAGTCCCATTATGACTTTCAATGGTGTGGTTCCCTGTACTTCTGCCTAGTTGAGATAACGCGTTATTTGAGGAACCCGACACCTATAAAATTGGGTATATCTTAGAAACAAATTTAGCAAGTAAAATAAATTTCTTACTTGACAACTTTCAGCAGGAGTTAAGTTGCAGATTTGGACATAAAAAAATCTCGACGTACATAGGAGAAAATAATATTATGGCACTAGTATAAGAGTTACTAATCAGCTTCCTAAAGTTTCTCGATTAATAAGTTACAGATGCTCTGTTATAGATTGAGAGTAATCTCACACTTACAACTCTAACCATCAATCCGACAGCCATAGTAACAGATAAACAGTGAAAATAAACTTGTGCCATTAATTAAAATAAAAACCGTAGCAATTGAGCGAGGTAGTTTTAAATTTTCAAAAAAAAAAAATAAAGAAAAGAATGGATGTTGACTACCTGTTTTGAACTACTATTAATCTTGAAAAAGTGATTGAAGTAAGCCACAGCAGTGAAGGTGGATATGGCGAACGCAACGACAAGAAAAATGGAATTGGAATCGGAATGGAGAGAAGCTCGGACGAGAAATTGAGGAGAAGGCGGGGCGAGAGAGGCGAAGTACCACCCCCCCCCATTTGACGAGTCGGCGAGTGAGAGGCGAGTGTGTTTTGTTCAAAAAGACAAGCCAGTGTAAGAAAAGTCTGGAGATGTGCGGAGTGTTGATGAACGGCGGTTTGACTACCGGTAGTTACCCGCGGCGGAAGCAATATGGAAAAAAGGTTTGAAGAGAGTGCGGGCGCCGAAGCCAGAGAGGTGCGAGTGTGGCGAGCACGATCAAGTCCAGGGGCAGATGGAGCGAATGCGCGAATGCCGGATGGAGAGAGCCGTTGCCGCGACGAGGGCGAGGTTCGAGGAGCCGAGGGAGTGCGCGATAAAGTGTTGAAGAAAGGAGCCGCAGAGAGGCGGTCTGTTGCATTGTTTCTTCGCAGAAGTATTAGGGAGGCCTGGAATTTTGCGTTGGGGGGCGAGGTTTTGAGTGATAAGTAATTGCCGAGGGGAGAGTACGAGGAGCAGTGAGGGAAGGGAGGTGGAGTGATGTGGCCCCCCCCAGAGGGGAGGTGGAAGGGATAATGTTTTGAGGATTTTAAGGAGAAGAAGTTAGCGTCATCCAGAAACTGTGGAGAGAGAGAGAGTGTGTGTGAGTTTGGTGAGTTGAGTGGATGGAATATGGAAGGAGAGGTTAGAAGAGAATAGTTATGAAATGAAGGATACACTATGTTTGTTAGTTGATGAATTTAACGGATATTTCTCGATGACGTGTATACAACGGTGCTGCTTTGTCCTTTCTTTTCTTCATTTCTAAATTGTAAGCATAAGTCCTTGTATGTAATTATCAATTGAGTAGACGACGTGTTCCCACCAGGTTTAGCGGAACTCAAGGTTTCATAAATTTCATATTTCACCTTAAATTAACAGAAATTGTTTAATATAAATGTTAAATAGTAAAATAGTTATTCTACATACATAATATAAAATGAAAATGAAAATTTCTAAATAATTATGGTTGTGTTTGGTAAAGCATTTAGAATAATATTTTTGAAAAAGTTGAGTTGAATTAGGTTGTTTACGAGAATAAGATTTGAATTTGAAAATGTGTTTAGTAAATTTTTGAAAAAATTATATTATTTTTAATCCCCTACATTTGTTGATTTAGCTAAACATCTCATACAATAAAAGTTTTAAAATTAACAAAAACACTCCACCCACCCATAAATGTCAAAAGCTACTATCACGTTTGACGGTAGTGTGAAAGTCGTCGAAATAGCGCACGACTGGTTAGATTTGCCTGTAGTGTGTAGTGTGTGATTGACCTTTTTTGGCTAAATACACTATGAAATGGTCAGAAATGGCAAGACAATGGCCAAAGATTTGACCGTTGATGATGTGGTCAGTCTTAGCCATCAACGAAGGCCAAGATTGGTCATCAATTGGCTAATCAACAGCTAGATCTTTGGCCGTAAATATGACATTTTCCAAACAGATCCATAGGATCTGGCTGGAAAATGTCAGATCGGCACATGACTGGCCACATCCAACGGTTGTGAGCCATTCCTTCAAATTCTGGCCACTTTTTGGTAGTGGTGGCCAACTGTCAGAAATATATGGGTGGGTGGGGTGTTTCTGTCAATTTATAAACTTTTATTATTGGGGGTGTTGAGTTAATTAAACAACCCTGGGGGGTTAAAAAAATATTTGGAGTTGAATATAAAGGATTGGATTTTGATATATTGAAACAAATATATATTTTAAATAGGTTTGGATGGGATAGTATTTAAATAGAGAAAACAAACACAGCCTATGTTTCACCCTGGTTTTGGCCAAATTCATCACCTTCACAAACTCACCTCATCGTCGCAACCGCCGGTTTAGGCCGGATTTGGCTTGATTGGCACCGTTTCACCCTCAACTCACCTATAGTTCCCCAACCTTCATTCACAAAACCCCACACATCCTCACCTCACCTCCCCCATTCATCACTCACCAATCATTGGGCCATGGGCGGCAGCAGCTGTCATACGATTGTTTTTTTGCCAATTTTTGGCTGTTTTAAGAGGCGAAAAACCAACTACCACAACTGTTTGCTCCTCGGCCCCCCTCCAACAAAACCCCTAACTTCCCGGCCACGACAACTCATGTTTACCGTCCCCACTCCACCAAGGGTTCGTTCGTGTTTGTGGAATTGAATGTTGATTGAGGTTTTTTTATGCAATTGAAGTTTGTGGGTTTGTTTAGTTGTTTGATTAGAGTGTTGTGTGCTTGTTTTTTGTCAGAGAATCCACCATTCACCACCATTGCTCATCTTTTGTCAATGCACATTAGGTGCTTGACAAAGGCCCCCAACCAACCTGTCCATCTCCTTTTGATTGTTGAGCAAGATGTTGGACTCTTTGAAAAAAAAAAAAAAGGAACAAGGCATTTCTTTTGTGGCAATATGCAGCCCAAGATCACTTACAATGAGCACAACTATTTATGAACTGTTTTCAATTTCTTGCAATAGAAAAGCATGTCAACAGAATAACTGCTGTAGCAAAAAAAGGTACCATTTATTTTCAATCTGTGGTTGTCCAGAATTGAAAGACAAAACATGTTCACCAAGGGTATGAGCCTTCTCAAATCTCCGCAAGCACATGCCTTCAAAGATATCACGATAAAATAATTATCAACAATCATCAAACTCCCATTAAAAACAAGATTTATAAAGTCCTGAAAACATTTAAGCAAATTAATATTTATAACCACTTTCTTTTAAGCACAAAGAGAGTATCAAAGTCAAGCAAGAAAAAACTACAACAAATAACATATAAACAAATGTGAAAAAGAGATATAACAAATAACTAACGGACTCATGAGAAGTTAAATCTTGAAAATCTCAGAGAATAAGGTAAACTTTTAAATGCTACATTAAAAAATCTGGAGATTGTTTGAAGAATTACAAGAATTACATTTAATGAAATCCAGCAATGAGTTGAACGGTTATTATACCATAGAATTCCTAATAGGAAGGTGTTATCTCAAGTACATTTTCCAATAGATTTGGAGTGAACACTTCTTCTTTTTTTCGTCTCCCCTCAGTATTCGTTTAACTCTTAAACTTTGAAACAATTATATATTTCATTTACACAATTTGACACAAAATTGAAATCCAAATCCAAACTTCTAAATAATCCAATCAAAGAAACCAGAAGAAGTATTTAAGACGTTGCTAATCTCACTTGAAAAATGAATAAACAATTAAGTTGTGCGAGCATTCAGCTCTCTCAGTCTCAGATGAGACAGAATTATAAATTATGGTGCTCCATTCCTTCAAAAACAGAAACAATCAAGTCACTCTTAAGATAAGGCAATCTTGTGACCATATCACATAATTATAATGTTAATCTTTACTTCAACCTCTCAAATTCTTCAACAATAATACCCTTCCTAGAGCAAGAAGACTGTGAGCCCAGTACCATAGAGTAAAATTAGGGGTTTAGAACTTGGCATCCTATAAATGGTGCCAGCAAAAGTCAAGAGTTTATGAGACTATGCATCTTTTTTTAACATTAAGAGTAATGACAGATAAAAACACAATCATCACAAAGAACTAAAGTTGTCACAGAAAGTATTCATCTTCTGAAATTCCTTTAAAATGTCCAGTATCTACAATATGGTAACTAAGATGTCATAAATATATGGAATGGAAGCATTCAGTACTCTTGGGGGAAAAATCATACAACTAACGATTAGAAACTTCTAAAACTTACCAATCACGCATTTAAACATAATGAGGTTAGGAGTAATTCCATCTTCTTTGGCTTGAGAAAGAAGCATGAGGCCTACATCTACATCGTCCTTTCTACAAAAGATGTAATTGATGCTCAGAAGTTCAAGACTTCATCAGGAAAATAAAAAATTAAATCAACAATCATCACTGTAGTAATCTAACTCCAGTTCACTTACTTTTCACTTGCCACTAAGAGTATGGAGTATGTAATGCTATTTGGGCATAACCCTAATCTCTTCATTTCTGATAGAATTTCCATTGCCTTTAGTAACTGATCCCCGTCACCTGTAAGCAATTTCATTTCTTATTCAAATTTTATGTCACATAATTGCAGTCACAAATCGATGCTTCAAATTTATCAGAACATACTTAAAAATCTTTGTCAATAAAATTTTGAGAATCACCAGGACCACAATAAACCATGTCTCATAAAGTCAGTTCGCTAAATAGTGCCAAATTGATATTCACCACACTTCTTCCAATTTAATAATTAATCACACTTCATACTAAGTTAAAGAATCATTCTAATGCATAAATCTAGATAAGAAAGAAAATATACTCTTTAACACTCAACTGAATTCTGCTTCTATATTTCCTTCTTCAAAAGAAATCTTCATTTTATAATTAAGGAAAACAATAACATGATTTTTTTTTTTTCAAAGCACACAGGACTTCCAGCCATACTCTGAATGTATTGAAAAAAAATGAGGACTTACACAATGCAGTAAGTAATGCATTCATAATAGAAACTGTGGGGTTCAGTTTAATGGACTTCATATTTTCGTATAGCTCCAGTGCCTTCTGCCAGTTTTTTGCCTGAAAAAAGTATTAGAATATTGTCATAGTCAGTTCTGTACCACAATAAAATTTTTGTACATGTATTAAGTGTGGTAGCATAACAATTTTATATCATGATCATCTCAACAAGAAGCTGTAGAATGTGACAACATAACACTTTTTAATATACCAAGGCATATGGCCACATTTGAGAGGCTTAAGCCAAAAAAAAGGGTTTCAAACCATCCCAGCCAAAATATAAGATGGCAAAGCACCATGGTTAAACTCTTAAAATCAGAACAGGATTATAAATCTGTTATATTTAAAGAATTAATTTATTATTGTTTATATTATAAGGAGAAGATTCAATATTAGGTTAAAACTTGGACCCAAATATAGGTACAGATCCCATCCTAAGAAACTTCTTTTTAATCATACAGCTCACAATGTACTTCATCCTATCTCTTTCATTTGAAATGGTGCTACTTAACTTAAAACAGACAAAGTTCCTCTCTCAGACAAATACACAATACCTTAAGAGAAATATTTCGATACAGCTCTTTTGTGAAGCAACGAGCAAGTTCAACATTCACAGAGGAGAATTAGCTAAAAAGGAAATAGCTTGACCACACCAAGAGTAAATGCTCTCTTCACATGTATTTGTATGTTCATTTGTACATATTGTAAATTTGTGATTTACATAACTACAAAATTCAAATAGGTTGCAGTGGGATAAGGCTCAGGTCTAAAACAAGATGCATTATGTTCAATCACACGTAGCAAAGTATATGATGATAAACCATGAGAAAATCTATTTTGAGGTGACTATCAGACTAAACCACATAGAGCCCAAGAAGAATCTACTTCACCAATCCAAGCAGTTAATTAGAGCATTTTCAAGTCATTATCAATATAAGGTCATACAGAAGAAGACCTAAAGTTAATTCAATTTCAGGCAAACATAATTAAGATCAGATTTAGGCTAAGCTGCAGTTGTTCTACACCTGGGGCTAAATGAGGACGACCCAAGCACAAATTGGAGTTATATTCACTATTAATACCTCACTGAAAGCCCTTTTTTGTCATGTTTGACTACAAATAAGTAACTTACAGTGGTAACGCAATCTTACACAGAATTATATATTAAAAAACAAAGCCATGTCACAGACAACTCATGCTATTGTTAAAAACTAATATTAATCAAGCCTGTTATTGTTTAGATGCTAATATAGAACCGCAGAATCATAACCCTTGCTTTCAAAGCAAAACAAGAGATATTCTTCTTAAGTTGTAGGAGCCCTTGAGATTTAAATCTTTGTATATGGAAATTAAAGTATCATAAAATGAAACGGTCAAACACTAGCTAACTAACATAGTTTTGGAAATAGAGGGTTCTAGACTTATGCTCATATATTTAGTTTTATTCTGTAAGACCAATTTGAAACCATAATGAACTATTCATTGATATTAAAAAATTAAATCCAACATTTACAGGAGACTGCCTAGATGAGACATACATTGCTACAGGCCCCCATCAATGAGCTATATGATATAATTCCAAGACGCATTCCTCGAGTCTTAGCTTCCTCTAGGATTTCGAAGGCAGCCTCCACTTTTCCAGCATGCCCTGCAACATCTATTAATGCACTCAGAAACACCTGCATAAGAGGCCAACTTGAGAGAGATATCTTCATGTTATGTTCAACAAGCAACAATAAGAACTACAATCAATTAAAAAACCCTAAAGGAATGCTTCCCCAGTTCCCTGTCTTGTAGAAAATAAATAGAAGTATAATATATGAAATACAACACCCTAAACTCTAATCCAATTGCATCCTCCAATAAACCCAATTATAGAAGTAGAAAAGAACCACCAATTCATGATTCAGCACCATTAAAAGATTGAAGTTTCAATTTTTACTATTGTGTGAAAATTCCAATGGTAACAAGGATGGGTTATCAGATTGGCCCAACAACAAAAGAACAAAGAATACCTCATCAGGGACCACCCCTTTCCTTCTCACGTCACTATATATGCTGCGTGCAAACTCCCAATCACCAGTCTGGCTGCAACAGTTGAGAGCAATGGTATAGACCTCTGGAGTGCCCTTGATGTTATATTTATGAATCATCTTGTATACTTCTTGTGCTCGATCAACCTATAGCAAATGTATAACTCTCAGATTACAAAAATGACCACAAGAAAATATGGAAAAAAAAATGATGTACACACCTGACCAGCATTTGCACAAGCTTTTATCAGGGCACCAACAGTAATATGATCAGGGTCTATAGGTCGCGTCTCTGCATTCATTTCTGCTAAAACATCGAAGGCACGATCAACCGCTCCAGATTGACCACATGCCGTGATCAGTGCATTGAATACAACTCGGTCCGGTTTCACATTCTACTGCATACAACATCTTATCAATGTAAAATTTCAATGGGAGCTAGAAACGAGAAACTAATCAAGAAACACTGAAACAGCCTTGTTCAAAAATACATTTAGAAGTAAGATTAATGGGTTCAAAGAATCGCAATAAAAGAAATAAGTGTCTGATCAAAAGATTTTAAAGAATTTATTTCTACAATCATACCTTAGACCTCATAATCCCATAAGCACCAAAAGCCTTGGCTACTTGCCCCGCTTTTGCACAGCCATCAATAAGTGCCCCATACGTATGAACATTTGGCTCTACTCTAGCATTAACCATCTCATGGAACACCTGCAAAGTCAATTCATAAGGCAGAAAATCAGCATTAGAGCTCCATCAAATACAAAGCACCATTTATATCTAATTTTCAACAATTTCTAAACAAACTTTTCATCAATTAGCAGAAGTAAAATACACGAAAATGAAAGGATACTGCCCCTTGTTTTATTAAGAAATTATGATGCAAGTGCATCAATAGATTAAAATACTTTGAAAAGAGGGGATTGTATCTGACATGTGTTATTTCAAATGTGCATAAATTATGCATGTTAGATATAATTTTATTGGTTCAAAACTATGTCAAAATTTTCGATGATTATAAGGACAATAATTGTGTGGCTGATTAGACTTGAAAATAATCACATTGCAAAAGGTCAAACCAATGCAAGATGTTGAACCTTGAAGACTGTGGCAGGAAGGCATTGTTGCCAACACTAGTAGTGGTTATGCAAGAAACGCATAAGGATGATAACAGGAACACAGAGCAACAACTTTAATAGTTAAATCATAATTGATGAAAAGTGAGGTAGAATTAGATCGGAAACCTAGTCAAAGACCCCTAATTTTGGAGATATTATAACCCAAGAAAAGTAAGAAGGAAGTTACCATACCTCAAACATTGCATCAACTTTCCCACTTTTAGCACAGGTTGATATTAAAGTTGTGTAAAGTTTACAATCAGCTTTCAACCCAGCCTTCTGGACAAGTTGCAAAACTTGAAAAGCACCTAAATGTGGATTTAAGCGTCAGGAATCTAAAGCATAGCAGTACAAAATAATCAATTTCAGCAACTACCAAGGAAGTATACCAAATAGAAGAGAACCCATGGACTCACCCTCTGAATCTTGAGAACTTGCACACACAGACATCAGCATGTTAAAAGCACTCAAGGTTGGGTTTGAGATCAGCTTGAAGAAACGAAAAGCTTCTTTAGTAGCCCTTTGACTTTTGCAGGTATTAAAAAACCTTGAATGATAAACCTGAAAGAAAAGTAGTTTATCAATTACACAGGAACCAGAATGAGTGAAGCTCTAGATCAAACCATTAGGTAAATGGATAAAACCCTACCTTATTCATATCCAACAAACCCCTTCTTTCCAAGTCTTCAAGCAAATCTACGCAAGCAGTTAACCTAATAAATCATTCAAGGATAGCCTCATTAATTTTTAGAATCACGAAAAAAAATAAGGTAAAGTTTATTACAGCCATCATGAGAATAGTTCTTTTTTATTTTCTGACACGCAAGAAAAAGTTCAAGAGATTGCTTCACTGTTCACTTCAAATCAAAATTTATAATAATAGCAATTATCTGAATCATGGCAAATTGTCTAAGAGGAAAACAATCAATGTTCAGAAAATTAGTGTGAATGATGAGAGTTACCTCCCAACTCTTAGCAAGCGATTGTAAACACTTAATTGCTCTGAAAAATCAGTGTCATTAGCAGACATCCCATTTGGATAGGGGAACTGGAGCAAATTTCTGCCGTTTTCCTGTACCAGATTTACCCTTTCTTCGTTTCTGGGGATGTCTATGCCTCTCCTTATGCCTTTTCTTTTGTGGGAAGCTCCTCCTTTGTGTGAAAGAGTAATTTTTTCTTCAACATACTCTGAATGGAAAAATATCCTTTACATAATGTCAGTACAATTGGAAAGTCAAAATTCTGGGGCAGCCCGCTTTGATGAATGGCAAGTGAAGCAGACAAAGGTATCAATGCAAAACTAAAACACACATCAAATGAGATCATACTAAATAAATGATGTTATAGCATAATCTGCACCTGCAGTTTGAAAAGTATCCGGTACTGATAATTCTGCTCCTTTTATTTCAGTATTCCTCTTCAGTGAAAAAAGGCTATAGCTATTCATAGGAGAAGCATGAGAAGATATAGCTTTTACAGCAGCCAAGCTTGCTAGGGGCTTCAGCACTGATTGATTTGCCCCATGAAATGTGTATTGTTCTTCTCTGACTGATTCTTGGAAGACACCATAAAAGGTAGTTATCTCATCCTCTTCAACAAGTTTCTGATGTGATTTTCGTTCATCATCTACTTCAGTATGAGCATTGTTTTCAGGAACTAATGAAGCAATAGACGTGATATTTACTGTCAGCTCAGGAAGCTCAGTGTCCACATAAGTTTCTCTTTGATCTTTCTCCAACTGAAGTTCAGGCATTTCATTTGCAAACATAAGTGGTTGCACAACACTTGATTCAGGGAGCACATGAGGTGCAATAGGTAGAGCAGTAGCTTCAGATTCTTGAGGAGAAGCATAATCACCATTACTAGAGACAAGAGACTCGACACCAAGTGAATTTGATGCGCCAGTCAACAGGGAGCCTTCATGCACCAAACTAGATTCCTGAATTTGATGATGGGCATTTTCTTCCTTAGAAACTTGATTGGTTACATTCTCCATCAAGTACTCATTTTCTCTTGAAGTAGTCCCATTATGACTTTCAATGGTGTGGTTCCCTGTACTTCTGCCTAGTTGAGATAACGCGTTATTTGAGGAACCCGACACCTATAAAATTGGGCATTATCTTAGAAACAAATTTAGCAAGTAAAATAAATTTCTTACTTGACAACTTTCAGCAGGAGTTAAGTTGCAGTATTTGGACAATAAAAAAAATCTCGACGTACATAGGAGAAAATAATTATTATGGCACTAGTATAAGAGTACTAATCAGCTTCCTAAAGTTTCTCGATTAATAAGTTACAGATGCTCTGTTATAGATTGAGAGTAATCTCACACTTACAAACTCTAACCATCCAATCCGACAGCCATAGTAACAGATAAACAGTGAAAATGAAACTTGTGCCATTAATTAAAATAAAAACCGTAGCAATTAGAGCGAGGTAGTTTTAAATTTTCAAAAAAATAAAAATAAAGAAAAGAATGGATGTTGACTAACCTGTTTTGAACTACTATTAATCTTGAAAAAGTGATTGAAGTAAGCCACAGCAGTGAAGGTGGATATGGCGAACGCAACGACAAGAAAAATGGAATTGGAATCGGAATGGAGAGAAGCTCGGACGAGAAATTGAGGAGAGGCGCGAGTGTGAAGAAGGCCGAGTCTGTTGCATTTTTTTCTTCGAGAAGTATTAGGAGGCCTGAGAAATTGTGGGCGGAGGTTGAGTGAATTGAAGAAGGAGAGTGAGGGAGTGGAGGTGGTAAGGGTTAATGTTTGAGATTTTAAGGAGAAGAAGTTAGCGTCCATCCAGAAACTGTGAGAGAGAGAGTGTGTGTTTTGAGTTGGGATAGGAATATGGAAGGAGAGGTAGAAGAGAATGGTTACGAAATGACGAGATACACTCTGTTTGTTAGTTGATGAATTTAACGGATATTTCTCGCTGACGTGTATACAACGGTGCTGCTTTGTTCCTTTCTTTCTTTCATTTGTAAATTGTCAGCATAAGTCCAAGGTTTACCGGAACTCAAAGGTTGCCCACCCTCGTTTCATAAATTTCATATTCTCACCTTAAATTAGTAGAAATTATTTAATATAATAGTCAAATTGTAAAATAATCATTCTACGTACATTATATATAAAATAAAAATGAAAATTTCTAAATAATTATGGTTGTGTTTGGTAAAGCATTTAGAATAATATTTTTAAAAAATTGAGTTGAATTGGGTTGTTATTACGATAATAAAATTTGAATTTGAAAACATATTTAGTAAATTTTTTGATATGACATTTTCCAGCTAGATCCATAGTGGATCTGACCGATGACTGGCCATATCCAGCCGGTCGTGAGCCATTCCTTCATATTCTTGCCATTTTTTGGCGATGGTGGTCAGCTGTCAGGAATATGTGGGTGGGTGGGGGTGTTTTTTTCAATTTATAAACTTTAATTATTAGGAGTGTTTAGTTAATTAACAAACCTGGGGGGTTAAAAAACTTAAATATTTTGAGTTAAATATAATATGATTGGATTTGAGAATATTAAAACAAATATATATTTTGAATAGGTTTGGATTGAATAGTATTTTAAATAGAGAAACAAACACAGTCTATGTTTCCATCCTTGGTTTTTGGCCAAATTCATCACCTTCCACAACTCACCTCCATCGTCACAACCGCCGGTTTAGGCCAATTTGGCTTTATTTTGGCACCGTTCATCACCCTCAACTCCACCTACAGTTTCCCCATCCTTCATTCACAAAAACCCCACTCATCCTCACCCTTCACCTACAATTTTCGACTATTTTAAGCGGCGAAAACCCTAACCACCACTACCGTTTGACTCCTCAACCCCCGTCCAACAAAACCCATAACCTTCCCGGCCATGATAACTCACCGTTTACCGTCCACCACTCACCAAGGGTTTGTTCGTGTTTGTTGGAATTAGATGTTGATTGAGGCATTTTTTATGCAATTGAAGTTTTAGGTTTGTTTGGTTGTTTGATTGGAGTGTTTGTGTGCTTGTTTTTGGTTGAAGAATCCACTCATTCACCACCATTTGCTCATCTTTTGTCAATGCACATCAGGTGCTCAACAACTTGCCCCAACCAACCTAGTCATCTCCTTTTGATTGTGTAGCAATGATTTTTGACTTCCCAAACCTCTATTTTTGCAACCATTTTCCAATCGCCCCACTCATAGGAAATTCACCCAACCACCTCCATTCGATCCCCCATTCTCCCTTCTTCAAAACCCACCCCCACATCAGCTTTCCTCACTCACCATTTGTCGCCCACCAGCCTTTCCTTTCCACCCAATAGGGGCAGTGGGTGGGCCAAAATTTGGCATGGGTTTTAGGAATAGCCAAAACTGGGGGTTAAAAATAAGTTTCTAATTTGTTTTTCAAGGATAGTTTAGTAATAGCACTATCTATATAGTGTTAGAACTCAAAAAGTCACAAACAGTGTTAATTTAAGGATGAGAATCTAGAATTTATGAAACCAGGGGTGGAACCTAGATTTCACTAAACCTTGGGTGAGAACACATCATTTGCTCTTATAAACAATGTTTTAAAACCTGGTATGGCCTGGCCCGGCTGATCGATGAGCCTTTAACCTGGCATAATTAGCCTGCCCAGTTTCACCCGTGGTTGGATCGGGGTACTGTAGCACTCGCCGGTCTAACCATTATTTTTACAGAAACCGGGTCAATGCTAAATTTAAAAATTTAAAAAGTAAAAATATTAACTAAACCCTTGTTATATAAATATTAGACATTAAACCCCCCATCCCAAAGCAAATATCAAGTTATCAACTATTACCACAACCACACAACAAACCCACCCCCACCCCACCCCCCACCCCCCCTTTTGCTTCTTGATCTTGAATTGAATTGAAACAGGAATATCTGTCTTCATAAGACACAAGAAAAGCTGAACCTGTATTTGTATTTCAGCTATTCACTTGCCCACCATCAAACACGCTGCCTCATGGACACCGAAGAAGGTTATTTTTGCTTGCTATTTTTTGATGAATCTGTTGAAAGGTTAGGATGTTAGGAAGGCTATAAACCCTAATAGACTAGTCACAATAGTTTATCGAGAAATATGAAAAATTATTAATAAGAAAATAGCAAGCAAAAATAACATCAGATCGTCACTATAAGTAAACAACAAGATTGCAGTTAGGAATCCTAAACTTTGATGTCAAAATAACTGGATCTTAAATGGCTAATGGACCCTTAACCTCAAGTGTCAAATGCTGCCTCCTTTACCCGACCCATTTTCTCTTATCATATTCATTAACCTAGCTCATGCTCATGACTTTATTTACAAATGAAAAAGCTGAGAATTCAAGCTATAATCTCCTCCACATATTTCATTCGTCAAAGTTGAAGATCATTTTTTGTTAGAATGTTGAAGTGTTGACTTGAAAATTGAAACAATTATTATGTGATTTTTCTTCATTCATTTTGTTATTTTGATTTGTAATTTGTTGTATTATTGATGTAATAATGTTTGATGATGCTTTGTTAAGGACTTTTTATTCTGGAGTTTATGATTTGGAGTAAAATTTTGGAAATTTGGATTCTGTGAACAGTAATTTACTGACGTCATCATACTGACGTCAGCATGATGACGTTACCAGTTGAACCAGCTGGTTCAACCGGTTAAACCGGTAGACCCATCTAATCATAATTTTTATTATAACATTAATTTAGGAGTTATTTAATAATGTCAAATAATATTATCTATTTTAATAGAAATTTACATATATTTTTTTCTTTTATAAATATAAATTAATCAACCACGTTTCTGAAGTTGTTTTCAAGTTTCAACTCAAAGCGAAAAACAGTTTCAGTCGTGACGCTTCTTGCCATGCACCCCATCACCGAGGCTATATTTTAGAAAAACGGTTTCTCTTCTCACCGAAATATAAGCAAGCATCCAGTCCTTTGTTTTCCCTTTAAAGAAGGTAATCTCTTCTTCTACTTTCTTTTAACTTTTCTCTGACTTTATGACTGAAATTATTTTATTTCTGCTTATTGCTTGCAGGTTCAGGAACACAAAGATATGATGGGATCTTTTCTTTCAAGAGCTTTGCTGTACGTAACAAAATCAAACAAGGAGTAAACTGCTTCTGAGAAATCTTGTATACAGATATACTTTTCCGTTTCTTTAATTTGATGAGGAAATTAAGTTGAATATTGGTATGGAATGTTATACACAGAATGGTTTTTGGGTATGCATACCCGGCTTACGAGTGTTTCAAATCAGTAGAGAAAAAAACACCAGAGATTGACCAACTCCTGTTCTGGTGTCAGTACTGGCATATATATATATATATATATAATAAGGTTTCCTTAATCACATTTTCTTTTCTTTATTAATTATAAGCAAATTAATTGTAGTACTGTTGATGAATTATCAGGATTTTGGTGGCTATGTTCACCGTTGGTGAAAGAGTTGGCGATGCCTTCATTTCCTGGTATAATTTATTCCATTTTGTATCTTAAACTGAATTTGTTTTTTAATTTTCTTTATTATATATGTTTATGATCGATGCTGTTACTTGAAGGTTACCAATGTACAATGAAGCTAAGTTGGCATTCTTTACATACCTTTGGTACCCTAAAACGAAAGTATATATGCATTCATCATCCTGTTTTTAATCAATTACAAATCTGTATATATAAAATGATTAAGATTTGTAATATTTTGTTCAGGGAACTAGTTATGTTTATAATTTCTTATTGCGGCCTTATGTCTCAAAACATGAGACAGAAATTGATCGTAACTTGTTAGAGGTGAATGTTAAGGCCAAAGAGATTGGTCTTCTCTTGTGGCAAGAAGCTGCTAGTTATGGACACACAAAGTTTTGTGATATTTTGCTCTACTTTTCTACTCACTCAGCATCACAGCCTCAACCATTTCAGCCGCCGGGTTGATCTCTGGCTCGGAAGCCCTATGAAGCAGCAGGGCAGTTGCCGACATCCAAAACTAGTCAATCTGCTACACAAATTACTGGCTTGGAAACCAAAAAGGTGCCAGTTGAAGAAGCATCTTTCCTCGCATAATGAAAAGAATGCTACTTAAGTGTTGTTGGATATGAATTGAATTATACTTATAATTGCCCCTTTCCTATCTAAAAAATAGTCGGTGGGTTATAATACAAGACTTATCTAAACATGAATAAAGTACTACATGTATAATATTGCATGCCCAACCAATGATATCACTACGTCTTTCAACATAATTGGATTCATCTAAAATATAATTTATTATTAACGAATAATAATGGAATTTCGCTTGATGTGAATTGTGATTAAAATGAAGCTGATTTGATTTGATTTGATTGTGGCGTGGAATGATTGACCACCAGATAATAAAACTAAGAGATGAAGAATGCAATTCGCAAACACCCACCTGTCAATCACTATATGCTTGCCACGTACACAACAAACTTCGGTGCTACGCATTCCTAACTGATTAGTCTTACTGACAAAATCCACGCGTCAGGCCGAGACTGGCCGACCAGAGTAAAGAAGAAATTGGCTCATCTCTCTCTCTTTTTTTTTTTTTGGAAATACCACCACGCCGCCCCACGTGTCCTAACCACACACACCATTTTGTGGTCACTCACCGCCCTCTCTAGTCCCTCCCTCGGGTAAACGTGTTTTGTTCTAATAATAATAATTAGAAAAATAAAAACCATGATAATTACTGAAATAAGAAAAAACAAAACACACTCAATTTTAGAGTAAAAATATATTTAAGTACCATATGGTACTTCCGAAATACATTAATTAATAATGAATTACATATGTGCTAGTGGTTTTATATTTAATGTGTGAAACTCTTAGATGGTAGTGGTTTATGGATTTTATTGGGATTAACTATTATATTAAAGGTGGAATTATATGGTTATTATGTAATTTCACGTTTCATCTCTATTTTATAATTAGTGATTTGAAAGCTCCTAATTATTAAGAAACCGCACGTTGAAAAATTAAACAATTCTAAATGAAAACGAAACCAAAAGGGAGGCATATATTGGCTGAATAAGAAGCAGATCAGGCAAAGGGAGATTAATCCTGTACTACTTTTAAGCGATCTTGTGACTCACGAGAGTCTCACAAATAGAAAAACAAAGGCATCACAAGACTCTCAAGAACAAGTGTGTAAAAAGATGGATGGAGAAGTAATGGAGAAAGCAGGGACAAGCAGCATGACAGGTGCAACAAAGAAGAAAAGTGAGCAACAGGTGCTAGACGGTTCGGATATAATGAAGTTGGTTGGGAATGAGGAGGTGTTTAGCGACTTTGTTGATCATAAGTTCCAGGAACTTGATAGAGACGAAGATGGTCAGCTTTCTGTGAAGGAGCTTCAGCCTGCTGTTGCTGATATTGGTGTTGCCCTTGGCTTGCCTGCTCAGGGTTCTTCTTCTGATTCTGATCATATCTACTCTGAGGTTTCTTTCTTTCATTTACAATTTTCAATATTTTTCTTTGTCTTATGACCATCAATTAATTAGAGAAACAGCAGATTTAATTTAATATGTAGGTTAACTGGTTTATGTATGTCGATGCATGATTTAGACAGAAAACGAGAGTCTTTTGTTATATGGATGTTTATTAATTTTGGTTAGTAGACCATTTTCAATCATATTACTATCCCATTGAATTAATTAATATATGAAACTATCTGTGTTCTGAATCTGATCACTCTAGCAAGATGTGATTAATTTTCCAGTTCTGTCTCACATTCACTTTCTATTCTTAAAACATGTATATATGAATGATTTCATTTCAGTCTTTTTCTTTTCAATAAGGGATAATGTGTCCAAATAAATAAATAAAAAAGTTGTTACAGGAGAACTTGACTTTCTGCTCTTTATTACGTTGTTCCAGATGTTGTCTAAAACCTACTAGTCAATTCTGATTATCTTCAACTCACTATGGTTGCAATTTTCTATTAATTTTATTTTTCCTTCTCTACTGATCACATTTTCAGTTCAGTAATTGTAGTTAAGAGATATTTAAAGTAATGAATCCAACTAGCTCTATATATATATATATATATATATACATACTTTTGGTCGGTGTTGTGACTTTTTTTATGCTTTTAAAGTTAGGCTATAGCTTTTGCCTTTTGATACCCCCCACTTATTTTTGTACCTTTGTTTGATATATATCTTCATAGTTATAGAGGAATCTAGTGAGTGACGAATGTTGTGGAAACTGCTGGTGTCTGCCTTTCTTGAAAGTTGTTTAAAATAATTGTGGACCAAAGTTAATCATGCATCTACTTTTCTATAATTTTCAACGCTGCTTGCTGTATAAGTTGGTAAGAAATATGTCTTTTCATCAATGGATCGACTTGCTTGGTGATTAACAGTGATCAAAATCCTCTACCTAAAGTTGCCTAAATCACCACACACTTCTATATATATATTTTAAAAGCTTCCCTGTTAGGTTCATGATAAATGTGGAAGCAATAAAGAATCACTTTCATGGCCACAAAATAAGCGGACCAAGGACCATGGTGGTCCTAGTCTTGTCTGCATATATATACTTGAGCAGAAGGTATCAAAATTATTTCATTTCTAACCAAACACTCCTTAAATATTATCATGGTAAATATTATCAAGTAACTTTAATTAAGTTAATCATTTCTATAATAGAGCATAAGTGATTATCAATCTTTTAAGAGTTTTGAACCATAAAATAATTGCATAAATTAAGAAGTATAATTAAGTTGTTTTTATCATTTATATTTTTAAGAAAGTGGTAATTTTCAAATTAAGGTGAAATGTTTGTATGCATATATATATATATAGTTTATGTTTGATATGTAATGTAATGCCCATTAATTTTTTGATATTTTACATAGGTTTTGAATGAGTTTACTCATGGCAAACAAGAGAAGGTAAGTAAGACCGAGTTTAAAGAGGTTCTCTCGGATATTTTACTAGGCATGGCTGCTGGCTTGAAACGAGACCCTATTGTCATCCTCCGTATTGATGGAGAAGACCTGCAAGAGTTCATCAATGGCCCCAGCTATGAAGCAGAGATGGTCTCCATATTCTCTCAAATAGACTCACCTCATGATTCACTACGTGATTACATTATCAAGGCCCTCGATAAACTTACTGTTGAACAAGGGATGCCCCCTTCCTCTGATTCTTGGGTAATTTATCTTTTGCCATTTAAACTTCTATTTTTATTATTTTTTGTTGTTCATAGTTATTTCTTATATATATGTTTCTTCATTTATTTGTTGGTTTTTTTTTTTTTTTTTTTTTGGGATATTGCATAGGTTATGAGCAACATTGTGGAACCAGCCATGCAGTCCTGTGGTATAGATGAACATGGAAAACCTGTTTCTGAAGAGACATTCTTGGTGGAGTTTAAGAAAGTAGCGGAGTGTGTAGCTCAACATTTAAGAGAGCAGCCTGTTATTGTTGCGCATAGTGAAAACACTTTCGACGGAAGTGGCATTAAGAGACTTCTATCCAACAAGTTTGAATTGGAAAAGGTTAATCTGTTGTGCTTCTCTTTTGCCTTAATATGAAGACAGTTACTAATTAAGATTCGTTTCGAAATTAATGCAGACAATCAATACAGCTCTGGAGAATGTGCCAAAAGATCGTAATGGAAAATTGTCCAAGGACTATTTACGTGTAGCATTAGATACATTGGCTCCATCAGCTGATTTACCTCCATTTGGTGCTGTTGATCAGGTACTTTGAAAATCATCAGGTTCAGACCTAATTAACTTATGATTCACCCCATTTTATACTTCTAATTTTAACTTGTAAATTCTGCAGATGGACAAGGTTTTTGGTGATGCTTTCAAAATGGTGAATGCTGATGATGGGAAGATAATAAAGGAAGAAGAGTTCAAGAAGATTCTGACTGAAATTCTGGGAAGTATTATGCTGCAATTAGAGGGCAATCCCATCCCAATATCTACAAATTCGGTTGTGCATGAGCCTCTTGCCACTCCTTCATCTACACTTTTGCAGCCATCTTCCTAATTACGCTCAATCATAGGCTTTATATATATATTTGAAGGGAAACAAAAAAGAGAATACTTTTTTATATGTTAAGTATTGCTAGCTTAAGTTGTGTAATGTGTTATTGTGGTTATGAAATTTGATGCTTGAGATATGCAGATATAAAACTAATTAATTAATTCGAGCAAAAGATTGTTGTTGTCTCTTTTTCGATGTACCAGCTAGAGGTTTGTTTTATCCTTTAATGGGATTTGGGAACCTTCTAATTAATTAATATAGTTCTGTATTTGCTTCTTCAAGGCTGTAAAAACTTAGCTCTACATATTTGTATTGATATCTTTACTTTTATCTTGGAGATGAGGTGGAATGGCAGTTCCACTGATAAAGGCCCTCACCAAACTTATGAAATCATAGTCGGATGTATCCCACAATAAACCTTCTCTTGGTAAGGTTTTCGTGTAACCGTAATAAACAATGCAAGCAACAAAAGGACCTACCCAGAATACCCAATGCCCTTCCCATAATGAGCCTCCATGAATCAACGCTGGACCTAGGCACCTGGCTGGGTTCAAGCCCACCCCTGAATATCCAGCCTCCCCGGTTATTGTTATGGACACAAAAACTGCAATTGCCATTGCCCCTGCTACTATACCACAAACCATTCCCAACCCAAGTTCCTTGCACCTTCTCTTATCAAATGCCACTGTTACACCAACAAATAGTACCACAAATGTGCATGTAAACTCCAGAATTAAAGCAGTTTCTGCATCAATTCCCCTTGTTTCCCCATTTCCTTCAATTATACACCCACCATAAAAGTACTTCTGTGCTGCATTCTGGCTCATTACACTACTCATTATAACAAAACTTATGATTGAGCCTAAGCATTGAGCAAACACATATATGGCAGCTCTTGCAAGAGTTATGATACCTTTCAAAGCAGCAATGAAGGTGAAGACTGGGCTCATATGGCCCCCGGAAAGCGGAACCGTCACCATGAGAAAGAGGAAGGCAATAATGAACACGGCGAAAGGAACAAGAAGCTTAGGTTCAGCCTCATGAGAATTCAAGCATGAGATAATTGAAGTTGTTAGAGTAAATATAAGGCAGGCTGTTGCTACTAACTCTGTAGTAGCTGCCCTCCACATCTGAAACAACAAATCACATGAAGGGACTACATCAATATCTTTAATGTCTTTCCCCATGAAACAGACTACCATTAATTGTAAAGCAACTAAATTTAGGTGCCTGCGAAACTTCGATGTCATTAAGGATTCAATAAATATATCATTCGGAACAAGAATAATAATTTGTGCAGCTATTTTTGGTGATCGAAACATTCATAAAGAAGCTACAAAAGCTTTAAATAGCCGACGAAATAGCTACTAATTGAATAATATGGTTGGGTAGACAAGCTTACCTCTAGGGAGTAAAATTCATGGGAGCCAATACAAGAAAGGAACAGTTCCCTTCTTGTTAATTTTACTGTTGCACGATGGTGATGATGATGATGATCAGTTTCATGGGAGGTTACCAAATCCATGCTTTTAAATTCTAAAGAATATAATGAGAAGAGGCATGCATGTTAAGTTAGACAAATAAATTAAACAGCAGAAGATTATATTTAGTATAGCCTTTGAAAGCAGCCAAAATTATGTTGGTGATAAAGTGGAAAACAACGTATGGATATTCGAAAATACCCAGGCCTTGTGAAACCACCTAGCATAGCATAGATTTTAATGCATGAATATACTTTACGCAATTGATTATTCTATTAATTTGCGCTTTATATCTAGCTAAGCCGGCTTAAACTTAAGACTATATAATTAGCTTCATTTATCCATTTAGAAGATACAGAATTCCATACGGTAAAGCCAAAATTTTTGCCTTGTTAGCTAAAGGTAAAGGAGATTATAACTAAAATTGGTAATTAGAAGTTAACCTATCTTTCTTATTTAGATCATTAATGCATGAGATTATATCAGCGATCAATTATGACTCTTAAATGTATTATTGAAGAGATTTTAAGTTCGATCTATCTAGATTGTTAATAAGGGTTGCCATTGAGAGGATTTACCTTATTACTAATTTCAAAATCTCGAAGGATTAATTGAGGTTTGCGTAAGTTGATGCGAACACCTCGATCATCCAAAAAAAAAAAATATATATATATATATAAAAGTAACATTCAAAATAATAATACTAAACTTTTAATCTTTCAAAGTAAACGTGACTGCCCTTAATTGCCCATGAAGCCCAGACAACATTTCGGATACAATCATATACAAGTATAGAGAATAGAAGATCTCCAGAAATAACAAGACAACACCCACTGCCACTAACACTTATAAAATTAAAAAAAAAAGAAACTGCACATTTAATTAGATAGAGATTGAAGGAAATTTTAATCAATACATTAATCAAGGAAATGAATATATCTTCTATGCATAGGTGTGGAAATGCTCACGTGGAATAAGCTTAGTGTACAAGGCAAAAGCAACGCAACCAATAGCAGGACCCGCCCAGAAGACCCAGTGATCATCCCAGAGATGACCTCCTCTCACAATGGCTGGACCCAAACATCTTGCAGGGTTCAACCCTGCACCAGAATATCCCTTTTGAGCTGTAAGAGTTGTTGATATAAACACAAGAAACCCCAATACTGTTCCAACGATTATGAAAACAGAAACTTGACCCAGAGATTTGGATTGTCGATGATCAAAAGCCATCCATATTGAAGCAAAAAGAAAGACAAACGAACAAATTATCTCAAGCCAAAGAGCCTGGGTTGTTCCCAGACCAATCACAACTGGGCCATCTTCTCCCGGTGTTACTATAGTGACAGTGCAACCTCCAAGTGAATATGTATCTTCCATTCTGCTATTTACAACAGCTTTTAGTGCTAATGCACCCACTATACCACCAACACATTGAGCGAAAATATAAATGACGGCACGTGTGATGGAACAGAGGCCGGTGAGTGCAGCAGAGAAAGTGATAATTGGGTTAATGTGACCACCAGAAATGGGAAAAGTAGCAAGAAGGAGAATTGTTACTATTATCACAACCAATAGTGCTATTATAAGATTTGGCGTCTTTGTATCCGTCTGAAGGGAGGAGATGACAATGGTATCCAATGAAAAAACAAGGACTGCCGTTCCCAAGAGCTCCGCCAATGATGCTCTCCACACCTGATGAAATTCCAACATTAGCGACTGCGACGCTAAATTATATATATATATACATGCAAAGTAAATATTATATATATGAACGTACGTTCACAGAGACAAGATCTTGCAACCCCAACATCTTATTCCATTTAGAGGGATGTTGTTCCTTGTCTTTTTCTCCCACAATCAACCGTTGCTCTGACCTGCGAACAAATAAGATCAACCATTAATAGAACCCAAATAATAAATTAAAACTAGCAATGAAATAATGGAACTTACTTTGGTGTGGCAAATGGTTGGATTTTGTTTGCATTATAGCCATTCTCTACATCATCACCAATAAACTCCACATTTCCAGCCATCTTCTTCTTCTTCTTCTTCTTCTTCTTCTTCTTCTTCTTTAGCTTCTTCACTACTTCTTGGCTTACTCTTCCAAATTTATATAGCCAGAACTACCAAGTTCAGGTGGGGTATACATGTACATATATATATATTCAATAATTAGCAATACTTCATTAATTATTTCAACCATTTTTCCTGGCCAACAATATCGGCTGCTGATAAGAGTTTCATTTATTGTTACATAACTTTCCAACTTCATCACTTCCATTGCATGCTTTCACTTTGCAAATTTTTTTATTTTTACTTGAGATCCAACTTTTATTATATTATTCACGTATCATTTATTATCATGCATTGACCAAGATTTGAATATCTGTCCGCTCCAATCTCACTGCACAAATTCTTTACAATTATATAATATTCTGAAACTAATAGTTTGACTTGTTATATCTTTAAGAACAAATCCCTTCAAATACAAATAGAGTGCTCTTTCCTTCAAAATTATTGCAAATGGAATATTATCACTACAGTTCATACCTGGATCGTCAAATCCCTTTAATGATGGGATTTATATATTAAAAGTTTGTGTAACACTAGTTATAGAGAGACTATATATATATAACCTCCAAGATTGTAGGGATCATTTGCGTGATTCTTTCTATTTTAATTTGATTTTTGATCTTTTTTATTTATTATACATAATTTATAAAGATATATATATTGATTCTCTCTAACAACAACAAACAATTAATTATAACCAATTATATAAGTAAGCATAAAATTATTACACTTATAAAATTAGGAATTATATCTCAAGTGATATGATAATGGATATTACATGAAAGATAAAAAGATATGGTTTCTTTTCATTAAATTAAGATAAAGGTCTTAATCGAAGAGATGGGCTGTCATACTCTAAATTAATGGGTCACACAAGTTGGAAATGTAGCAATGAATATTATTAAGTGAAGATGAAGCAATGGCATTGGCATTGGCACTATGAAAGAGAAGTCAACCAGTAGAATCCAGTTTGAATGTAGAGTAGATGGTAGCTTTATTAGTTGTGAACCAATAAATTTCAGTAAATTAATAACCTCGACTAAGGCATTAATTGATATATATATATATAGTATTCTCAAAGCATTGTCTAAATTAATATTTCAATAAAATATTATATGTTTAAAAAGGTTACGTTAATTATCAGGAAACTCTTAACAAAACAAATANCAAATGAAAATAAGAGAGCAACTGCTGCTAAATTTGAGCTTGCTTCATTTGTATGGTGGGCAGAGTGATCAGCTAGCAGTCATAGCAGCTTTTGAGTGCTGGAGGAATGCAAAACAGAGGGGTCAAGAAGCACGGTTTTGTTCTCAATATTTCATCTCTTCAAGCATCATGAATATGCTGCTTGGTATGGGTAAGCAACTTCAGACATAATTAGTTAGGAATGGGTCAAGAAGCACGGTTTTTTTTATTTTTTATTTTTTAAGTATGGACGGGCGTCCATTTCTAATGGACGCCCGTCCAAACTTAACGACTGGCGTCCATTCGTAATGGACGCCAGTCCAAACGCAAGGGACGGCCGTCCAAAATTTATGAACGGCCGTCCCAAAGTTTTTATTTTTATTTTTTTTATATTTTGGTTAAGGACGGGCGTCCCTTATTTACGGACGCCGGTCCAAAACAAAGGGACGACCGTCCATAACGGATGAACGGCCGTCCCTAATGTTTATAAATTTTTTTTATTGTATTTTAATGAGGGACGGGCGTCCTTTAAATGAGGACGCCCGTCCCTTGTATATGGACGCCCGTCCATATAATATGGACGGGCGTCCATGTGAGTGAACAGCCGTCCAAATTTGATGGACGGCCGCTCACTAGAAAAAAAATTATAAAAAAATTTAGAGGCGAGTTACACGTAGGCCGGTACACATTTTCGGTGCAGATTTATCGGTGTCCGTAGCTTTGTTGAAAGGATAATATAGTAATTTTGTATAGCCATCAAACTTTTAAATTTCAAATTATCACCTTGATATATGGAGCAAAACTTCCTTTGGAAGGTTTAACTTTAGAGATCGACATGGGTCCATTAGGTTGACTTTGCAAAAAATAAAATAAACAAAAAATGTTTGTCTCTTCGTTTCCTTCTCATTTGTCTCTAACTCTTTGAAAGAAGTTTTTGAACGAAACTGCTGCCATTGTTTGGAGACCATCATCGACGACCAGTGAAACGGAAACCGATGACATTGGAGGAGTTAAAACCAACGACAATGGTAGAGTAAGTTCACTGAACGGCGATGAATCCTAAACGAAGACAATAGACAACATCTAAGGGAGAGAATCGTGGGATAACGACGATGGTGGAGGACGACTGAACTAAGGCTGGCGTTATTAACGATATAAATCGTCAATGACGGCCGAACAACGAAAACTGAAGGGTTAACCGAAGGTTTCTTCTTGGTTTTCTTGTTTGTTCTTCGGTTTTTTCTTATTTTAGTACACTTCCAAATTTTTGGTTTTTCTTAAAAAGTCCATGCCAACTGTAACGTTAACACCTCCAAATTAGGTAAAAAAATACAAATAAAAAGCTGCATTTCTTTTGTTTTTTTAATTGATTTGGTGACTGCTGAGTGCTGATGCTTTTTGAAGACTTTAACTCAGATTACATAATACTTCTACTTAACTCCAGATTTTGTTGTCAACCGTCTAAACCAAAGAAAAAGCATCAGCAAAATTCCTTACATATGAGAATAAGATTTTTTCTTAACAGAGTTTGATTATATGATGTCCTTCATTTGTGATGTTTGATACTATATTTTATTAATGAGGTATTGTATATCGGCTGAAAAATTGGGTGTGCTCTGCTATGGGCGGGAAAGAGTACTCTGTATGTACAGAGGCCTATAAGTTTACGGGTTGACCACCCGGTTAACAACGCCACATACCAATCTCATTGCATGTAGCAGTGTGTAATGAATGTTCTTAGTTTTGCATGTTTGGTTGTTTTTAAGGTTTTTTGTTTATTTGTTTGGTTTAGGGTTTGTTCTTAAAAGAGTTGATTATATGCTTGAGTGTGTAATGAATAAAATCCAGCCAAACGGTGGGGCTGGTTTGCTTGAATTGATTATTGGGAGTGTGAATAGCCTGTCTTATATATTTTGCGTTGCAGGATGAAGCCACAACTATTTAATTTGAAGGAGAGATTTTGAATGGGATAAAAAGGAGTCAGGGAGAATTGGGGAGGATATTCAGAAAAGTGAAGAGTGGAAAATAAGGGAGGATATTCGAAGTCTAGCATTGTTTTTATCTCTTTTTGTCTTAGTTTTGCTTTGCTGCTCTTTATCTGTGTCGTTGGGTTGCATTTTGTTGTTTATTATCCTTCTATTGGCTTGCTGGTTGGGTGATTTATTGGTTGCTATATTTTTCTAGGTTTCTTGGCTGATTGCTCTGGTTTATTGGTTGTTGATTGCTATTATTGTGTGGGTTCTTGTCTAAAAGAGTTACAATTATTTCATTGTTTAGGGTTGAGTATAAGAAGGGTTTCACATCTCAAAAAATTTTTAGTTTCTGTTTCTTTCAAAAAAAAACATAAATTGTTGTCCTAAATCAAGAAGGTCTTTACCGTGAATACATGGAACTAAGGAAGGATTAGTCTCTCTATTCAGCCCCTGCTGCTGGTTTAATTGTGGTAGAATGCTAGAACATGATTTTATCTTTACCTAACTATTAGCCATCTTTGAAATAGGGGATGACTATTTGGTTTCGTCAAATGATGAAAGCCCTCACAGGCTTGATGCATGCTCTTCTTTGATTTTTGATTTTATTTTGTTAGATTTAATTCATATTTCATATAAGCATATTGTATGCCTAATCAATAGAGTAAACCTGACTTCACATTTTCATTGATGGCTTGGAAAATTTTTCCAAAAATGTAAAATTTGCGCTTCATTATTCATTATAAATCAGTAGAACTACGTCTAAGTTGATTCAAGTATACATCTTGTGTTCCCTTTTCTTTTTCTATGTGTATAAAAATCAAGCATTGACCAATCTTGGTTGAAATTTCCTTGAATAATTAGTAATATTATTGTTCTTAACAATGGTCCACCCCTCAAAATGTGTCTTTTGACAATTTTGTGTCTGTTTTTGCAGCTATAGGTGTGCATTCTTGGATTTGCAGGATGGAGAAGAGGATAATTTTGTTTTGAAGTTTCAGTTGTATATCACATTTTCATGTACTTAATTGATACTGAATATCATGTACTGAATTTATGTTAACTATGAATGTTTTCTTTTAAATTATGAAAATTTTCAATTTTCATGGTTTCTGTTTAAACTGCTTAATTCTTTTATTTGAATGGCTTCTTTTAAATTATGAAAAATTTCAATTTTCAGCCACAAATGAGTCACTGAATTTATACTGCTTCTACCAAAACAGGGATAAATTGGTCACTTGTGTCTCATTTTTTACAAACTCATAAGGACAAAATGGTCATTTCACTAACTCATAATAACATGAGGGCATAATGTAATTCACCATAATGATGTGGATATTTATGTAATTGAATAAGTTGACTAGGGATAAATTAATAAAAAAAGCTAAGATATCAAATTTCAAAGGGCATTCCAGTCTTTTCACTATTACAAAACGAAAATCTACAACAATACAGGACGGAAAATATCTATTTGTCTTTCCTAAACCTTTTGGGTACCAACTTGTTATTACAGTAAACCTTGGGTATGTCTAACCCATTCCCCCTTATATAATATTCTAAAACTAATAGTTTGACTTGCTATATCTTTAAGAACAAATCCCTTGAAATACAAATAGAGTGCTCTTTCTTTCAAAATGATTGCAAATGGAATATTATCACTACAGTTCATACCTGGATCTTCAAATCCCTTTAATGGTGGGATTTATATGTTATAGAGAGACTATATATAACCTCCAAGATTGTAGGGATCATTTGCGTGATTCTTTCTATTTTAATTTGATTTGTGATCTTTTTTATTTGTTATATATAATTTATAAATGATAAAAAGATATGGTTTCTTTTCATTAAATTAAGATAAAGGTCTTAATCGAAGAGATGGGCTGTCATACTCTGAATTAATGGGTCACACAAGTTGGAAATGTAGCAATGAATATTATTAAGTGAAGATGAAGCAATGGCATTGGCACTATGAATGAGAAGTCAACCAGTAGAATCCAGTTTGGCATTAAATTTCCACAATGGGAAAAGGGAAAAGAAAATATATTATGAATGCAGTGGACTGTAGAGTAGATGGTAGCTTTAGCAGTTGTGAACCAATAAATTTCAGTAAATTAATAACCTCGACTAAGGCATTAATTGATATATATAGTAATCTCAAAGCATTGTCTAAATTAATATTTCAATAAAATATTATATGTTTAAAAAGTTACGTTAATTAAGACATATACTTAATTAAGAAACTCTTATCAAAATAAATAATTTGTCTTTATTTGAAGTGTCTAGATTAATGAAATTTTATACATTATTTAAATGCAAGCAATTATATATACATACCAGAAAGTTGGGTTTATTAATGCTAACATTAAAGGGTACTTCCTAAAAGCTATTTCATTAATAAATTATGAGGAGTGCACAAGCATGAATAAGACTTGTAATAGTGGGAGTTTTGGGCCATTCCGCCGCCCAAGGGTTTCTGTCCACTATGGGCCTGATTTGGTTATGTCGTATTCAAGATAAAAGAGGTTAATATTTAATAAATAAAAATAAGCAGACAAACGAAATCTCATAAACTCGACGTGATAGTTGAGTTGATAGTTCTCATTATACTTAAAACATTAAATGATTTTAATTAAATACGAACACTCAGTTTCTTAGAGACGAATTATCATTTCTTCATAAAAAACGGAAGAATGAATGACTGTTCTTAAAGATGAACGATTATTCATGTTTAATCAAAGTCTTTAGTTGACGTGATAATGTCAACTCAAGGATTACGTTGGGTTTATAAGAGAAAATTTTTGAGATTCGTTTGTGATGTAATATTATCCGTATTTAACTGGAGAGTTTAAAAGACTTCTGTTTTAAAACTAGAATTACTTGAAGTTAAATTATTTAGTAGTGTAATGGATAAACAAGTTTAGTAGTAGAATTACTTTAAAAGACTTCTTGTAACTTGCCACGTGTCAGAAGAATAACAACTCCACGACTGGATATTATTAAAAATATCACTAGTCTAAGATTATCCAGTAAGTAATGCTCGCTCACCTCTCAACAATGCCGCTTACATTTCATGCACCGGTTCTGCTTAGCTTGTACACCCCAGCAGGAGCTGACATTCACTGAACAACAAAACCACCTCATTCATGCCCTTATTGCCATCCACCTTCTCCTTTCCTACCCAACGTAAGAATTTTAATATTGCATTATAATGAATCTCTAAATATATAGACAGCTTTAACTTTGTTTGATTTCCATTTTCTTCTTTATTTTTACAGTGATTGTTTGAATAGAATTAGAAACTTTGCAGGATGTTGAACGTGCAGTAAAAGTTCTTGAAGATTTACAAGGCGTGCCCAATCCAGTAAGTGCTCATTGGAGTATTAATTTTGTGTGTTTTATTTTTTTACTTTTTTTTATTTTTTGTGTCTAGTGGGGTTAGTGTATTTGTTGCAGAAATGAGCCCTGATTATGTTGTAAAGAATTTTTTTTTTTTTTTTTTTTTATGGTTTTTATAATGTAAAAAACAGGTCTAATGGTTGCTTCTTGGTTGAGAAAATTGTTCTTGGTTTTGTTAAACTTGTCTAATTGTATGAATTTTTGCAGACAGGCTCTAGTCTATTTGAGGGTCTTTGGCAATTAAAGTTTACACCAACCTGGAACAGCATCTCCAATTCAGGTAAAATTAATTGATTAAATCTCATAAATTTGATAGCAACGTAATTTATCAAATCAACACTTAGATACATTGAGAAAAGTTGGGAGGGTTTAGAGTAATAATCCCTAATTTGAAAATGTCATTTCAGATGTCTAGCATTATTATTTTAAAATCTTAGATAATAGGTATAGTATCATTCTTTGATAAATCATAGATAATAGATGGAAAGTTGTCAGCTTGACTCTTATCTTCTAAATCAAGCACACCTATTGATAATCAGGAGTAGAAGGAATTTTTTGTCCATACCAAATTACTGATGAGTTGGTGACATTTTGCCTTAAACTTATCCTATAATTGATGCAGAGGATGTGAAATAGCAGATAGCATTTGGGTGGAGTCAAGTTAAAAAACAAAAGCAGAGAATGTCAAGCGCCATAGCAAATGGTCTGGCGGGAGCTGGTGGTGGTATTATTGCTCAGATAATCACTTATCCCCTACAAACGGTATCCATTTATCTACTTTACTAAACTAAATTCTGACATCTTTCAATTGTTGGTATGTTTAGTTAATTTAACTACTTCATCTGAGGTGAGTATAGGTGAATACGCGCCAACAAACAGAAAGAATCGCCAAGAAAGGCCTAGTTGCATCCTCCAACCTCTCCAAACGCCCTTCAGGTGGCACGCTTCGTCAGATTCTCCAGGTATATTTCATTTATCTATCTATTTATCTGTCTAACTAACTAAGTAACTAACTAACTATAATATGCTCAATCCTATATTTTATTTTGATTCGTCATTTTTAGCTGATAAAAACCGAAGGTTGGAGAGGTCTTTACAGCGGTCTTAAGCCTTCTCTTTTCGGAACTGCTGCTTCCCAGGTTCTATTTTTCTACCTCCTTCATATAATAAATTATTTCTGCAACCAGGGTCACGCAACTAGTAATTTTGTATGAATGAGATTTTCTCCTTTTTCCTCTTTGCCAGGGCATTTACTACTACTTTTATCAGCTTTTCAAAAACAAGGCTGAGGCTATTGCAGTTGCTAATAAACACAAAGGACGCGGGGATGGCACTGTTGGCATGTTTTCATGGCTTCTTGTTGCAGCACTTGCCGGGTAAAGCCCTTACTATATAATGTTTTTTAAAGTAATTTTACTTGTCATCAAAACAGTGTTTTGAGGTCAATGTAAAGCCCTTATCATTAACATACATCTATTGAGCTATGATTTGTCTGATAGCTGAAACAGAATCTGATGTGAAAAAGCAGAACTAGTGCCCCCTTTTCATGATGTTGTTGATTTTTTTTCTTTTTTCATACTTACATTGTTTTTCAAGTATTATCTGAACAACACTCCTTAATTTTGGTAGGTCGTTGAATGTATTGCTGACAAACCCGATATGGGTTCTTGTGACACGGATGCAGGTGCCATTGCTATTTTGAACGAAATACACATGTTTTTGGCTTTAGTTATTATGATGTTGGAGAATGTCATTTTACTTTGACCCTTTAAAACTTGTGGTTCTTTGAGTTTTGAGATGTTTGTGTTTTGTAAATCCTATACAAGAGTGTCTGTTTCTAGGCCATGGTAGCTATGGCTTGGAGTTTCTTTATAAAGTATTATGGGATTACTTTGGTCCAATTTTCAGTATACAGCAATGCTTCACAATCTCTTATGGTCAAGCTTGTCCTTCTTTACTTGAATCTAGACACATACTCAAGCAGAAAGAAAAATTATGGACGCAAAGAGGGAATCTATTATAAGCGAGGCTTCTGAATGCTCAACAGGTCCAACTTTGCAGGACAGATTGGCTGAACTTGACTCCATAAAGCCTTGCCCTTATGGAACTTTTCATGCGGTTGGTTCCAGTTATTGAATTTGCTTGTGCATGGTTTTTTTTTATCCATATGACATTGGCATTAATCATAACAGAGTTGTACATATATCCTTTACATTATAACCTTATTATCTTATATTGTTTTGATTATACTAGTTGCATAGCTCATCTTCCTCAGGATATGATAGTGATTAATTTAAATCTTGAAAATAAAAGTATCTTGTTAAGCTATGCAACTAGTATAATCATAATTATGTGAAGGCTTTGTACTTTTTGCATGCATAAATAGAATTGAACTTTTGACAGATTGCAGTGATGATGTTTCTTGATAAGCAGAAGGTTTGTACTGCTATGACTATCAAATGATGATTGTGACCGCTGGGAGGTTACCAAATGCAGAATTATATGTTTGATTATAGTTTTCCACAACACTGATTCTTCTTGTGCTTTGTTTGTAGGCACGTGAGGTTTACAAGGAGGCAGGAATTACTGGATTCTGGAAAGGAATAGTCCCTACACTTATTATGGTCAGCTTCATCTTGATAATTATATGAACTCAAGGTGCATGTTAAAGTGCTTGTTTTTTATAAGGATTTCTGTGTGCTAGGTGTGCAATCCCTCAATCCAGTTCATGATTTATGAGGGCTCGCAAAAGAATTTAAGGGCAAAACGAGCCGCTAAGAAGCAGAGATTTAAAAATTTATCAGCTATAGAGGTATAAGGCTCAGTTTGTGTAATACCTTGTCTTTATGGGATTTTATGTTTTCTATTAAAGGCTATATCACACTTAGATGACAGTTATACTAAGTCTGAATTTTCTTGGCTCCCACATCCTCCGAGCCTCTTACGGAGTTGGAGGGTCCATATCAAATTCCACAATGTTTATATCTTTAGTCTTACCAGAGTTCAACGTCTTATGCTAACTCTTAATGTGATATAGGTTTTCTTACTAGGGGCATTGGCTAAATTGGGAGCAACTGTATCAACATATCCCTTGTTGGTTGTCAAGGTAAAGTTAGTCCCTGGTTTGCTTCATATCTTAGCTAAAAAAGTAGAAATGGTTTGCTTACATCTATGGTAATAAAGTTACTTGCATTATTTTCTGTTGAATGTAGTCTCTGCTGATAGTTGGTGTTTATATATAAGTTATGCTCATACATTTTTCTGGTTTTTATCACCTTCTTGTTCTGTTTCCTTGTAATTCTATATATACTTGTGCTCATACATTTTTCTGTTTGTTTTCTGTGCCATATTTAACCTTTTTCTTTTTCCTACTTTAGTGCTGGTGTCTTTAATTATTAAGACATTAGTAGGTTGTGAAACCTTTATTATATTCATCATTTCCAAATTTTATTGATCGAACGATTTGATTATTTATATGCATCTATATTTCTAGCTTTTATGGAACTCATAACCTTAAGTTCCTCATAACATTTGTGTATGATAGTTTATAATAATAGTTTCTTTCACCTTTTAGAAAATGTTCTCTTCTTATTTATCATAAAATGATTGTTTTTCTATTAAGTATTGTAGCTTTCTAATCATATGCCATATCTGCAAAACTCTTAGATGTTGACCTTCAAAGTGCTTGTTCCAGTCAAATTCAAAATCAGTCTCTAAACATATTGGTAGCCTTTTCCTTCTGGTGGAACTTTCTGATGCATCAGATACTATTATTTAATTATCCTGATTTATAGTACTCACTTTGTTTTCTCTAAACAAAAACATACTTAACACAAGCACTCAATTTGCTTATGTGTGCTTGAAGTCTTCACAACTGTTATTCTTAAATGCCTACACAGTCAAGGCTTCAAGCAAAGCAGGAGATCGGTGGCAATATCTCATTAAGATATTCAGGTTAGCTTTCTCATGGATTCAATGATATCTTATTTTCTTCATACTTAAGAATTTTAACACTCATCATTATTGTCTTCATCCTCATCACCCTTATTATTTTTTATAATCATTTCATTTGTTATGTCTATGTTAATAAAGTTAGCAGTGTGATTGTTTGTGATCACTCATCATTATTGTCCTCATCATCATCACCCTTATTATTTTTTATAATCATTTCATTTGTTATGTCTATGTAAATAAAGTTAGCAGTGTGATTGTTTGTGATCACTTATCATCCTGAGTTTGGTCATGATATTATGATCATTAGGCTGTTCTGTTTTGAAAACAATTTCCTTAAATTTATTTAATTTTTTTGGGGTGAAAGAAGTCAAACAAAACTTGGCTTGCCATGGTTTTCTTCCACTAAGAACAATTCAGACCATTATTGGTGTTTCCAATTTCTTAATAAAGTTTAAATTGGTTTAATTTAGTGGTTCTTTCATTATGAAATAATTCAGTTTTAGATGGGTAATTTTCATTATGAAGGCTTGTGTTTCCAATTCTCTTATCTGCACACATTGCAGGAATCACTATTAATTCTTTATTTCTGTAGTATGTTTTGCTAATTATCTGCAGTTTCAGTTGCACTTTAGCAATGCTTTTAATATGAGAATCTCATTGTTTGACTTCTGTTTGCTTTGTTTCAAAATAGAATTCATGCTCTCTTATGTGTGTGTTAGGACTTAGGATGCCGATAACTCTCCTATTGTATGCCAATTTGGTGATTGATTTGTTTTTTTGTTTTGTTTTGTTTTTTGCTGCATAGGTACTTTTGATGCAATAATTAAAATGATACGTTATGAGGGATTGCCTGGCTTTTACAAGGGGATGAGCACAAAGATAGTACAGAGTGTTTTTGCTGCTTCTGTACTATTCATGATCAAAGAGGAACTTGTTAAAGCTTACATGTTGCTGGCAGTTAAGAGCCAGAAAGTTATACCCAAATTGATAAAATGATTTCTTCATTATGTACAAGGAATACCTCCAGTTCTGTACTGTTTGGTTTATACATAATTTGTAGCTAAAATACAATGACAAAGGTTATGGTAAGACATAGTTGTTATATATGGTATTCAAAGATTGGCTTCACAGGCCTGAATTCCTATCTTCTTGGACTTACGAGTTTAGAGGGTTGAACATTTAAAGATTAACTTCTGATGTCTTATCACAATGAAACTCTGTAATTTACTAGCTGGATGATAATCAACTGACAGCTATTTAAACTTAGTGGAATCATGCAATAGACAGATATGGGACTCTGTTCTCTTCATCTTTTGCAAGTTTTGGAATGCTAAGCAGCATCAATCAAGTTTCTTCTCTAAGACTGTAAGTTTTTGGTGCTTCGAGCTTTTGTGCTAATAGGTTTGCAGGTTGCTCATACTTTTTATTAAAGAGGAGGAATACCAAATACCCATTTCCACATTATTTTTGGAAACATCCAGCTTTACATATTTGCTCAAGTGATTGATTTTCTTCTCCATTTGCTGTTTCATTTAAACAATACTTAGTAACCTATTTATGTTGAATATATATGTTATTGCAACCATGTTGATATACTTATTATTTTGCAGCTTCATTCAATAACAAAATAGCACTCTCTCCATTTTAGGTCACTTTGTTGTTGTTGGCATCATTTCATATTTTATTGGGCCTGTCACGCTGCTTTGTGCAACAGAATTGCAGCTCCAGAGATTGGGTAGGGCATTCGTTTCCCTATAAATGGATGAGCAATGTATATTCACAAGATTTCTGTACATACATTTTGCTGCTATTGATACTGGCTAGGACCATTTTGGGACAATAGGACGTTCTCCTAGGATCCTTGTTTCAGAGATAATAATGTACCATCATGGTGAATATGAAGGCAGCAGAAGTTACACCGAAGGCTCTAAAGTGCTATTTTCATTGGGTCATTACAAGATTTAGAGGTTTGTTTTATATTATGACTGTTGATGTGAAGTAAAGTGTGTATATTTTCTGTTCTTTTTAGCTGTTTTCCTTTTCATGGAAGTGATTACTTTGTAATAAAATGCTCTTTAACTCAAACGGTTGATTTTGTATTACAGTAATAAGTTTCTTATTTAATATCCGATGCAGTTCAGCCATCGGCTGCAGGCTTAACTGGCATCAGAAAGAGTCCCCCCTTCGAAGAGCATCTGAATTGGTCTCTAGTCACGGTAACAATTTATGATGACTTTAAACTCTTGGTTAATGATTATGCTTATGCTGCAGGTTTCTTACTTTGGCTTCTTTCGATAAGAGTATTTCCTTGCAACTCCTGGAGTGTTATAATCGTCTACACAGAAGAGTAAAAGTGAGTGAGTGCTTTTTCGAGTTTTATCAATTGCTTGATTATCTGGCTGTGTTTACATGCTTTTTGAAGTGTCTTGCAAATGATGATCTTCATCAGGCTGGAAGGAGCGTCTTTGGAGCTTAAGGCTTTTCCTAGCTCTGTTCTCTTTCTCTATAGTTGCTTTTCTAAATAATATGTCTTAAATGTATGGCTCAAATAATTTATCTTGTACAGATTTGTCCCCCTCATTGGTTTTTTTTTCTTTTTTTTGATATTTTTATGGATCTCTAGTCCACTGATGTACCTATCTCAATCTCTGTTTTAATATATAGTTTTTATCACTTCCTAATAAAAAATTTTATGGCTCAAAACTTATATCACTCTACTGAGTAGAGGACAATGATGATCTTTTCTATTGTCCTGATATGATTATTGTCTACTGGGAATTGGTTTCTTTCTGAAAGGTTAACCCTGGAATTTGCATGTTGCAATGGCACCCAAATAATGTTCCTCTAAGGAACTCCTGACATTGGTGAGGTGTGTTGCGGATCCTTGTAGTTTTGTTGGACATATGTGTTGTTTGTTCTTTTGATATTGGTATGCTATCCTTTGAGTTGATGTAGGAAGACAGTTGATGTGTACTTTGTGGCATAGTAGTTTTAGGATTTTTGTTGTATACAAATACTGGGGGAGATACCATAATCTGCTGTAGAGATTGTAATTTCAATGAATTCTAAGTCTATCAAACACCCAAATTGGGTTTAGGATTTAGGTTCAAGGCTTAGGCCCAATAATAATTTTGGTAGTAATCGCTACAAATTAATAAAAAGATTAAGAAAAATAAATGAAGCTGTGCATGGGAGACATGAGAACATATTCTTGGAAATGCTAGCCATTTTTATTCTGTAATCGTTTTCAACTAGGACATAATTAATAGAACGAAATTAATTAGAATATACTGGGATTTTTTGTTTTCAACATGACCGCCTAGGTTCTTTAAATTTTCCTTTAAATTTTGTTTTAGTTTTACTAAAAATGCTTAGCATAAGTGGAGTGTACGTACTTTAATAGTACGCATTGGATAATATAAAATAAACCCTAGTACTAGTATATATTTTTCTTAACCTAATAACCGTCTGGATTCATGAAGCATCTAGTTTGATGATATGTTGACATTCTAATAATGGCATAATCTTCTAAACGATGATTACTATAAGACAGATAAGGGAAATATACAGCGATTGACACTGTTGAACAGCTACAGTTGTGTCTTTAATTGGTTTTAGCAATAAAACAAATTAATGTTTTTCAATTTTTTATTTTTCTGGTTTCAGGAATTATTAATGCCGTCCCTTTTATACTTATCAGCTTATGAATCCTGTACAAGACAACAAAATTTTCAAGAGATTGTGTACATTCTGTTGCCCGGTCAATACAGAATCTTGTGGCTAAAGATTCAAAGAATTTCCATTTGGATCTGTCTGTTAATATCTCTTCGATAGTATCAATGAGTCTTGTTTGTTTGTTTGATCAGCATTCAGCAATTGAGTTCTCTAGATTATTGTAGTATACTATTCTTTTTCTTGTTAGTATGGTTAACGAAGCCCTTATTTTGTCTCATTCAGCAGTTTATAACACTATCTAGATATTATATATCCAACTGTTGAATTACTATTCAAACAAAATGGAGCTCAACTTTTCTAATGTATGGCCTTTTGCACTGATATTGACATTGTTAGTTGCTATGGGCAGCTTTGCAGGCATTTCACTTTAATTTCTCTCTCTTTTTTTTTTTTTTCTTCTTTAGTTTTTAGTTTTTATATGTTACGTATGGAAGTAATAGTTAAGATTAGTCTTGATGAGTTTTTGTTTTGGTTTGCAGATTGTTATGACCCTTTGGACCCCAATGGAAATATTTCTGTTACTTTCGACGTTAATCAGTGGACGGATACTGGCTATGTGGTTAGTGTGTGATTCATAATTTTTCTATATTATGAGCAGTTCTAACATATGATGAATCTATTTTTTCCATTTCGTAAAGACTGAGTTTGCTTAGTCAAAATCTTGTAGAATTTAAATGAAAGAATCCTTTCATTTCTGCTGTGTTTTATTTGGTGATTATTTTGATGTCTCCCTTTTAAATTGCAATCATACAACCAGACAGTTCTGAAGCAATACTTGAATTATCGGCTTTTCATATTTTCCATTTTCTGCGTTCAAAATTATTTTTTATTTTTGCACAGTCACAGCTTTAACTTGAAGAAAGCATGCATTAAACGGATATGATTGGGGAAAAGCAAACTTCATATTAGTAGTTTAACTTCCGGGAAACATGAAATTTTAGTCAAAGTGGTAAAGTGTGCTACAGTTGTCTGAATACTTAATTGAAACAATGATAACTAGAGCTTTTGTAGGAGTATGTTTCACACATAATGCATATCTACAGATAAAGGCGGTATGATGATGTACGGTCTTCATTTTTCCAAGATGATTTTGAATTTTAATGGCAGGCAAGAGTTACGATTCAAAACTATTATCAGTATCGCCACGTGGATGAACCTGGCTGGAAAATAGGGTGGACATGGGCTCAGAAGGAGATTATCTTGTCAATGTCTGGTGCTTTTGCCACCGAGCAAGGGAACTGCACTGGATACAGAATCAATGCACACTGTTGCAAGAAAGACCCTGTCATTGTAGATCTCATGCCAGATGCCCCGTGGGAAAACATGACTGAGGGCTGCTGCCGCGGAGGCCTTGTTTCTGCCTATGCTATCAATCCTGCTAAGTCATTCTCATCCTTCGAAATCACGGTTGGTAACTTGGGTAGCAAGTCCTCTGAACAAGCACCCCAAAATCTCACTCTATTGGCACCAGGTCCTGGTTACACATGTGGCTTACTTGAGGATGCTGATCCCACAGTTTCTTCAGCTATAGGGGGCAGAAGACAGGTTCAAGTTTTCAGTAAGTACTTCATCTCAACTGCAAATCTATTTAGGATTTGACAATACCATTAGTACCACAACTGCTTTAATTTGAAAATATACTTGGTTTTCTGATAGCAATAACCTAACATCAGCCTTACTGTAGGGTAAGTATTGCAAATTGATTATTTGATTAGCTTAAGTGTGTGCGAGTTTTAAAACTCAAACGAAATGTTTCAAATCTTGAAATGGACAGCTGAGGCTTGGACTGCCGATGCTTAATTGAATTAAGAAAAAAGTTTATGAAACAATCTCTCTAAATAATCATGTTGATGTGGTGAGACCACCAAATTAAAATTAGAAGTAGAAAATTGAAACCACCATTTTTCAGTGTGCTAGAGAAGCTGACCATTCAGTGTGAGAATTGAACCACTGATTTCTCCCTCATTTTGTTTTAGGGTCATCAAGTATTTAATTCATTCAAAGGACAATGATGAACTTGCCTTGTTCAATTGAATGTTTGGTGCAGAAACATGGAAATCAACATGCACTTACTCTACTTTCTTGGCTAACAAAGCACCAGTCTGTTGTGTTTCACTCTCAACATTTTACAATCCCACCATCACACCATGCCGTAAGTGCAGCTGTGGATGCAGAGAAGCTGACCAAACAGCGGTCTCATGCATAAGGTAAATTCTTATGATTGACTGCTTAATTTTCATAGCAATTGAATGCCATTCTTACCTCTCTATGTAAATATATGATTGCAGACAAGGTTTGCCGTTATCACAATCAAATTTTGTGAATAGTCTAGACATTGTGCAATGCACCGATCATATGTGCCCAATTCGAGTTCATTGGCATGTGAAGAACAATTACATGGACCATTGGAGAGTGAAACTAACAGTATCTAACTACAATTACAAGAGAAACTACTCAGACTGGAATGTGGTTGTTCAGCATCCTGGTTTCAGCCAGAAAGCAACTACATATAGCTTCAACAGCTCCGTGCTTCCCTCTGTAGGATTTGCAGGTACATCAACGCTTTCCATTAGTAATTTATAGTAAATTATTCAGAGTTTGATAGAAAATTTAATATATAATTGTTGCAGATGAAGTTGCTATGTTTTGGGGAATAAAGTATGTTAATGAAGAACTGTTGAATGCTGGTAATGATGAAGTGGGTTCAGTGAGCACAGAGATACTTCTGGAAAAGGACTTGAAAACATTCACATATAGAAATGGATGGGGTTTTCCTAGAAAATTATACTTCAATGGAGAAGAATGTGAGATGCCTCTTCCAGACACATTCCCAATGCTACCAAATGCCTCCTCATCAAATCCTCAACCCACTAATTGTTTGCTCCTCTTTCTCTTTCTAATATATCTCACTCTCAGCCCTGCTGCTTCCTAAGGCATATATATTTTTTCAGCCATTCCATTGTTGCCTGGTTTTGTGTTGATTGATTAAAGAATTTAATTGTACTTGTACATGGTTGCTTGCATTGTATTTATTATTTGCTAATTTATTCATTAAGTTGTTGGAAGGATCAATTCATACTTGTATTTTCATATAACTGCCAATATCATCTTCATCTTGGAAATTGACATTAATGAATTACGTGATTAAATTCTATTTTATAGGTGTACTGATATTTAGAGATGTGATTAATATTTAATACAAGTAAGCCTTAATTTTCAATCACAAAGGCCAAAATGACTAAGTACAGCCGCATAAGCTTTGACTAGAATAAACATATTCTATATGAATTTTAGAAAAGGGGAGTTATGCTACCTCAACAACTTTTATTTACAAATTTTTTTTACAATTTTTGACGTGATAGTTGAGTTAGTATTGTCACGTTAAAATGATTTTAGTTGTATTAAAGAAACGGTCATATCTCATAGAATGAATGATCGTTTTTTGCGAAAGAAATAGTTATTCTTCACGAAAAGAATGACCGTTCATAAATAAAAAAACAGTCATTTCTAATAGAGGAAACAATCATTTTTTACGAAAAGAATAATTTTTTCTTTGGTTGTTCTTTGAGGAACGATTATTTCTTATAAAAGAATTATTGTTCTTTCGTAAGAAGTGATTATTCTTTATGAAAGAACAGTTATTCGTTACGAAAAAAATGATCTTTTGTTCATATGTTGATTTTAATACCTTAAATGTAGTAAGAGTTAACGAAACAATATCAATCTAATCTATTGACACGTTCGAGCTATAAGCAAACATTCGTGACATTGGAATACAAATAAATCTGGGTAGACTAGAATAATGATAAACACGGCACGCTGCACGCCCGATCCGTGAAAGACAGAATGATTACGTCCCACGTGGCCATGTTTTGTTGGGTACGAGTCCTATTGGGCCTCAATCAATCATCAAAATTATCACGAAACTAAATCCACCGTTCAATTTGTCTTTCGCCTTCCCCACATGCAAACTCTACGAATAACAGTATAAATAAATAAATACTAATAATAGAAGTTGAGTTCAGTTCCAGCTTTTGATTGGCCGCAACGCTGTAAACATTTCAATAAAATTTTCCAGCCGTTTCTATCATTTTCTTTCGCTCTGTACATTTGGAAAATCCGAGTGAACTCAATAGAGAGAGAAAGATTAGAGAGTCTAGAGAGAGAGAGAGCAAAGAAAGAGGAATAGCTATGGCTCCTGGTGACGAGAAATCACAGGAAGCCATTTCATCTATCGTCATTATCATCGGTACTACTCTTAAATCAGCTAGTTGTTTATTTATTTAATTAGTTTGTTATTGGTTTTTCTTTATTATTTTTTTGTTTCTTTTGTTACCTTTTTTTTTGAAGCTATGCAAGCGGAAGCGATGCCTCTAGTGAACAAGTTCGACCTCAAAGAAGACCAGAACTCTGTGTGAGTTTTCTTTTTTTTTTTTTTTTTGGTTGGTCTATGTGTTATTATCAAGTTTGAGGTGTGTAAATACATTCAAAATGGAAATTTTCTCTCGTTAGTTCGATTGATCATTTGTTGATCTTACACACTACTGCTTACCACTTTATTTGAATAGTCGCATCATAAAATCGTGTCATATATAAATTAATTTTCTTTTTAATCTACTTAACAACTGCCGTGATTGGTGTGTGCGGTATTTGGTTTATGAACTCAATTCCATGCATAAAACAGGGATTTGACATATAACTAATATGCGCACAATACATGTACACCCTTTTCTTGTACTTTTGTACTAAAAAAAAGGTCTCTCCAAATTGAAGGTTCTGGGAGGCATGCTCTGGATATGTTTTTTCGACCTTCTCCTTTTTTTGCATAAAATGGTTGCATTCAAGATTTAAACCGAGTTTTGCATAAAAGGAAGTGGAGTTAGTTTAAGGGTAGTCATGTACCTTAGCTTATAATTTTTTTTTATATAATTTAGTATTAGATGCAGGCAGCTTAAGTTAAGCAGCTCCACTTAAATTCTGGTTGGATATATTTCATTAGTCGCTCATATATTTGATTAGTTAATTCAATGGAACAGGTTTCCAGAAGGGGTCCCGTGGGTCAGGTATCATGGTACTTACAAAGACCTTCATATAAACATAATATGGCCTGGAAAAGACTCAACTTTGGGTAAGTATCTGGTTCTTGTGCTTTCTTTTAGTGTATTTATTTTTTATATTTTGCTCAAAGCATTAATTATCTGCCAGAGATGTTCCTGGTGTTTTTTTTTTGTTGTTTTGTACTCTTAAGAATTGCTTCTATGAAGAATAAGAAGAAAAGGATAACATAATTCCGTACTTTACAGGAATATGAACTTTTCTTCCTGATTCCCTTTTGCTTATTCAAACCAATTCTTTTCAGGAGTTGATAGTGTAGGCACAGTTTCTGCGTCCCTAGTAACATATGCTTCTATTCAAGCTTTAAAGCCAGACCTGATCATAAATGCTGGCACTGCCGGTGGCTTTAAGGTATGTGCTTTGCTATTTAGAAATTGACACTTCCTTCTGTTTTACTTAGCAGAACAAGAAGGAATATTTTGTTTCCTTCTGTATGAGTAAGCATCAAGGACACCATATATCTTCTACAGGCCAAGGGAGCAAGCATCGGTGATATTTTCCTCGTTTCTGATGTTGCTTTTCATGATAGGCGGATACCTATCCCTGTAAGTGCTTCTTTATTTTTGTTTTCATACTTCTTGTGGTCTATGTGGTGATGCAAAGGATCTGAAATTTATATTGCAAATCTGCTTGATCTAATTACATCATTTTCTGATACCTTAAGCATAGATTTGAAAGTTGACAACTAAGTTTATTTGCATGCATATATTCATTTTGGCCATGGTTAATTCTTCATTTAGAAGTTGTATTTATGTTTAAGTAGTGTTTAATATACAAACTCTTTTGTACAAATTGATATGCATCACTCTTTTATTACCATATCATTCATAGTCATTTATTGAGCATTTGTTGAGTTGACTATTTACATGCACTCTTCTGCTCATTTCTATCATGTTAGTTTGTATACAAAAATTAAAAAAGTTTGTATATCTCGTATTAGTCTTTATATTTTGACTCCTATGATTATATATAGCTGTGGTATGTCACTGTTCTACTTAATCAACTTCTAAACCACTGTATTCTTATACATTAGATTTTCAATCTGCTTCAAGGTTTATAAAACCGCATGGGTTTAGCTTTGTATAGCAAATCTTTTAGTATTATTCTCTCACTCAACTTTGTTCTGCCTTGTGCTTTGTAGGTCTTTGATCTGTATGGAGTTGGCTTGAGGCATGCCTTATCAACACCCAATCTTTTGAAGGAGCTCAACCTTAAGGTAATAACAATGCATTAGAAGGCTTGACCTTTTTTTCACTGAACAACTCTAAACTCCTTGTTGGTTTATGCTTAGTTCTCTCTGTTTTTGGCATAGGTTGTCGTTTTGTAGATAACATTGGCCTCTCATCATATTCTCATACATATAATTTCTTGTTTATAGTTTTTTTCTTTTTGTTTTGGACAACTTCTCTGTGCCTACATAAACTTGTATGGTAATAACTCAAAATTGTGCTCTTTTATTTTTTTTTATTTTCAATTGTATTATCAACAAGTAATTGTTCAGTAAAACAGGTTGGGTCAGGTAACAATTCTAGATAAGTCTTGCATTTTAAAGAACATTATGGTTGCCCAAGTTATACCTGAAGACTGTATTGAACAGTAACTAAATGAGACATTAGCTGCTTGATAGGTTTATTGAGGGAGTTGATCCAACTTAAACCTTTGTATCTACAAAACTAAGGTGCTAACATATCAACATAGCAAAGGACATGATATGGTTGTGCTGTACTCTATGCTCTTTTAATTTAGACCATGCAAGGCTTTTGCTCATTAGTTTAAGTGCTCTAAACTGTGATGTGGATTAGCAAGTCCGCTTGGTTCACATTTATGCATCTGTTTCAAAGGCAGGCCTTACTGCTTATTGCTATCCAAATGAATTTAACTGATCTCATAGTTTCTCGGTGAGTGATGTGCAGCATATTTTATGATGTCGTCTTTACAAGCAATCACTTCCTTCAACTACTTGTATTTTGGGGCATCTTAGTCTATTGAGGTCTTTCATTAGTATGTAAATGTTGTTCTATGTGGCTCACAGTAGATACTTGAAATTCATGAAATTGAATTTGGTTTTCCACTGTTTCATGTTGATGGTGCCTGTGCTCTTTGCAAATTTCATTACACTCGTCCTTTTGTTTCAGGTTTGCAAATTGTCTACTGGTGACTCTTTAGATATGTCCCCACAAGATGAAGCAACGATTATTGCTAATGATGCAACAGTTAAAGACATGGAGGTAACCTCTAAAATATGCTGTATCTTACACCATGTTTGGTAGGAGGGAAGGGCAGAGGGAGGACAAGAGAAAGAACAGAAGAGGACTGGTCCATCCTTCCAGCCATCTGGTTGAATAGGATGGAAAAGCGATGAAAAGAAGATAGTTATCACTTTTAGATGCTCTAAATCTATGAAGCTAAAATAAACTAGTATATATTAATTTGACAATTACACCCTCTTGTTACGGTTTTGCATATATTCAACCATATATATGTTTTTTCACTTTTATGTAAGTTGAGGGTAGAAAGATAAACTATATTGTCATTTAACATGCCAAACTTTTCCATCCCTTTTCAACTCATTGATTGGATTGGATTGGATTGGATTTTGTTATTTGGAGGAAAATATACCTTCCAACTGAAAGGGGAACACACAAGATATGGTCTCCACAACACCCTTTTTCTAACTGTTTCCTTCTATGTATGTCCTAACTAGTTGGGGATTAAGGAACTTAGTGGCGATATAGGTCATTCTTGGTAGAGTAAATGAGGCACTGCATGTTGGCACCTGTTAACAATTTTCCCTCATGTTTGGTTGATGACCTTTTGTATTTGCTATTCCCAAGGAAACACACAAGACAGAAATTAAAAATACTTCTATCGGAATATAAATGTTGCTCATAATTCGTCATTGGTTAATGTAAAAATTTTGGATTGCAGGGAGCAGCCGTTGGCTATGTAGCTGATCTTTGGAAAGTCCCTGCAATATTCGTCAAAGCTGTAACCGATATAGTGGATGGTGAGAAGCCAACAGCCGAGGAGTTAATGCAAAATTTGGCTGCAGTGACTGCTGCACTTGATACGGCAGTCACCCAAGTAGTTGATTTCATCAATGGAAAGCGCCTCTCTGAACTCTAACATGCTGGGTCCTGACTTTATTTTTCTGGAAAAGAAAAAAACATATTAGACTAAGTTTCTCATAAAACTGAAGTTCCTATATGATTGTGGAAACTTGATTGTTATAGTTTGAGTTCGGTAGGTATATTTTAAACTTAACCTGCCTAATATTTTTTGTCTTGTACACGGGCTTCTTCAGAAAATTGCATATGGCCTACTCAAAGAAAAGAAAGTGTTTAGTTCATGACATATGGTCCTTTTTTGGTTCACTACCAGTTGTAGCCAAGAAAGAATGCTTCTAATAGGAACAAATTGGATAAATGAATGCCTATAGTCTGTAATAGAATTTCCTTAATCCTGATTAGGATATGTTTTGCAATCAACGGATTGATTGTGTGAAGGAATTGGTTGCGGCATTTTGTTAACAGACATGCTGGCCAGTTTGTAATCTCAACTTATACGCAAAAATGAGGATGTTTCAAACATATTAATGACTGATTGACTGAGTAAATAACATAAAGATGCATTCCTGCCAGCAGACACTGTTGCCTTCTGGTCAGCTGAGAGCAATAGCATCAGGACTGACTATGGGTTTTTAATTTTATTATTCATCCCTTTTTGTAGAAAGTATTCCAAACGCTGTTTGTGTCAGAGAAAACCAAAACAAGAGATTTGTGATTCTGATGTCATACTTCAAGACCTACTAAGTTAAGCTGAAGAAGAAGTCGGAATTGATCATCCAATGGGTGGTCTTACAATCCCTTTTCTGGGACATTCAATAAGAGCATCACCAAACAAAACCACATGTTATCACATCTCACTGACTAACTGTGTAAGGATAGAAACCAAAGAATAATCTGAAGCAGGTCCCATGTTGTTTACTATTTGTTCAATCTTTCATTAAAATTTGATGATTAGTTGGAAGACAAAACAATGTGATATCTCATGAGCATGTCTCTTCATAATCTAAACTGCCTCTTCACCACACACCACACATCAGAAGAAATACTGCAGACCCTTTCACCATGCAGCACCAGGTCTCAACTCTACAACCAAAAGTTATACAACTCCACTAGTCGTTTGTGATCCATTGCCAAATTTATCTAAACAAATCATGGGTTTCCGTTTACCTGCTATTGTTCGAGCTAAGAAACTTCTTCAACAGTCTTCATTTTCTACAAGCCAATCATCTACAATAGCCACTCATGTCCCAAAAAGCTATCTTGCAGTTTATGTTGGAGAGGGCAAAAGAAAGAGATTTGTCATACCAGTATCATACTTGAACCATTCTTCATTTCAAGACTTACTACGTCAAGCTGAAGAAGAATTTGGATATGTCCATGGCTCACAATTCCCTGTACAGAAGACATCTTCATTGATCTCATTTCTCGCATAGATGAGCCATGAGAGAGGACACTAACAATTATCTGTAAATCCAATTTTGTAGAGTTAACATTTATGAATACCCTCTACAAAATTTCATTTTTTATTTTCAACCAAAATGGTAGTAAAAGCATCAGTAAATGGAATGTTTTGTTCTTCAAGGTCAATTGGCTTATCTATATTTTCCTTCCATTTAATTCTAAAAGTATTCTATCTTTATAACAATGGCTTACCAGATCATTTTGCTATTGCTCCCAATTCTAGGCAAGCAACACCATTTAGTTTATCAATGTTACTGCATTTTCATGTAGGAAAAGTTTGAATTGAGAAAACTTGTTTGCTGAAAATTATTGCTCATTTTTACAGAATGACTAGTATAAGACATTTTAGGTCTCTCTGTGAACTTCATCCTATTAGCTTTTCAAGTATCTTCTCTTACTCGTTAAATTCCTAAACCACCAATTTGGGATTCTAACAGTTAATGTAAAATATTGATTGAAAATAAGGTCTTCCATGTTTAGTATAGCCTTCAATGAATTTTAAAATCCAGTTATTAGATATTCCTTCCAGATACTCCATGATATGATTGTTTCGTTTTGACAAATTGTTAAGACTTATATTTCAATTTCTTAGATGTGATTTAAAGAAGGCCAAATTTTTTTGACTGATTAGCCATTAATGGTGAATCTGTTGTGATGGTTATCCAATCCATTCATATTTTAAAAAGCAATCTAATCATTGAAATCCCTTTTCTGGGCCATTTGAAATAACCCGGGTAGATGATGAATATTGATCATTCCCATTATGATCCATCACAGTGGTTCTAATACTGGGTCAATAAAACAAAAAGGTTTGTTTATCCTAGTTCTCTTGTAATCAGGTTGAGTCTAAATGTTAAGAATCACCAGACAAAGCCACATGTTAGGTCACTCTGTTGCTCCCACTCAATCCAGCAATTCTTCAAATTCAGGCCCCAATTCTAATTGGCACTGGCCAAAGACATTATCACATGAGTTAGCTTATGTGTTTGCTATAATTTCCTTATTATAAATTGACAAGCTTGCATTAATGAGCAGACATTTCATACACACCATTAAAATTCAAGTGGACCTGTGTAGATTGTGCTGTCAGTTTCTGGGCTAAGAGTTATATATGAACAACTAGAAATAGACTGCACAATGGAAATAATCATATATTATATAATTGGGAGGCAAGCCATGTGATCGTTCCTCATCAATAATCTTGATTGATTTCTCTCCCCCACTTATTTGAAATCTCTCCGTATAGCATTTGGCCTATATATATGCATACCTAACTCAGGTTTTTCATTACCAAATTTCAAAGTCTATTTTACATTAAAAGTCTCATATACTGTATTCAAAGAGTTTTTGCTTGTTCTACAAGTCCTTCGAGATAATCTTCTTGTTCTTCCATTAGAGATATAAACATCCATATAAAATCATGGGTTTCCGTCTGCCCCGTATTGTTCATGCTAAGCAAATTCTTCGAGGATCACTCTTTGCAGCAAACCAAGATGTTTCAATAGCCACAGAAGTTCCCAAGGGCCATTTTGCAGTTTATGTGGGAGAGAACGGAAAAAAGAGATTTGTGATTCCAATATCGTACTTGAATCACCCTTCATTTCAAGACCTGCTAAGTCAAGCAGAAGAAGAATTCGGATTTGATCATCCAATGGGCGGTCTTACAATTCCCTGCAGAGAAGATGTGTTTGTTGATCTAGTGTCTAGTTTGAATGGGTCATGAAAGAGTACTCTAGCATAATTCAGTACTTAACAATTTTGTATAGCAGACATAGATAGTACCATGTAACTTTTTTTTTTCTTCCATGGGAGCCATGGAAGATAGCTCTGTATATGAAAAGAAAAGTGAATACAATCTTACAATTCTACCAAATTCTCTCACAATTGATATGCCTTATTATGGAATCTCTGTAATGAAGCAAGCCAAGGTGTCAAATTCTCTCTCAATTGAAATGCCTTATTACAGAGATTCTACCAAAGTAATTACCCAGTTGTCAAGGTCATTTTAAGTTTTTAACTGTGATAGTCATGCTATCTAAGAACCTTCACTTGATATATCAGCACATCCGATGGTAGAGATAAGAATTAACTTTATTTAGAAGATCAAGAGTTTGGTTGCAAGTGCAGCGATTAAAGATGATAACTGATGAAACAAATTTCCACATCAACAATAAGTCACAATTCCTTTGAACTAGTGCAAATGCCTCTGCAATTTTTTTCAACAAAATAGCTTTCCAGAAAGAATATACAAGAAAAGAGTTGCTATTGGTGAAACAGTGATATTTTGCTGGAAATGTAACTGAAATTCAGTTTGGTTTTGCAAACTTTGTTCTGACGTGTGTGAGCAGCTGAAGTTGATGTGTTTTTAGTGATGTGCTTAGGTGTACTCAGCTGTGACTAAGGCCTATGTTAGTTTTAAACTTTGGTTTAAATTCAAGTTTGTAAATATCCCTACAGAGTTGGTGTAACAGTGGATATTTTGGACTGATGTTTTGTTGTATAAATCTGTAGTGAAATGGAATGAAAATGCAGAACTTTCTCTCAATACATGTTTCTCTCTTTCCTTAGAATTCTCCAGCCAAAACACCTACAGCTATGTATCAAGCAGTAACAATTTACTAAATGACGGGTTAGAGAGTGCTACATTAGGAATTCCTTCAGTTGATGGTGTTAGAATCTCTGTGATGAAGCAAGCCAAGGTGTCAAATTGATATGCCTTATTATAGAGAATTTTATGTCATTATTCAATGTTGCAAGCACGTTTGACTGATTAGCCATTAACAGTGAATCTGATGAAATAATCACCCAGTCCATTCATATATAGTTTAATCAGCATTATAATGGACATTTTGTAATCCATTTATCCATTATGAAGTTGTCAAAACAAAACAACAACTAAAAGTTTCTCGATGGTAGTTTTGTTCTGATAAGATTTGAGTTTTGATGTTAACCATAATCAGACAAAACCACATGATAGGAAACGATAGAATCCATCATTTCTTCCAATTTTTATTGTCCCTGATTAACGACATTACACATTAGCTGGCTTATGTGTTTGCTATACATTGCTCTTACGGATCAGTCCTTCTTGAAAATTGACCAGCTGCTTTGATCAGCAGACAAATCATATACACCATAAATATTAAAGTAGACCAGCTCCAGCTACAACTACATTAATAAGCCGACAGTTCATATTCAAAAAATAGACTACTATACCATGTCAAACTCAATACTTTTTTCATCTCTACTACATATCAGATGGGTATCATGGCTCCCTCATTTAGCAGTAGTCACAAGGTAAGTAGGTCATTATGTCTATAGTATTGCTTTAAAATTGTGGAGGTTGAACTGGAAGACAGTGCCATGTGACCCCTCAAGACTCATGTCTATCCCTAGACCCCATTAGTATCACTTTTCACCACTCATTCCACATGGGATTTTTCCTGTTTATCAATCTATATATACACATAGAATTTGGTTCACAAAGACCAAAGCAACATAACTCTTCACATCTTCAAGTGTAAACTTTTTGCTTGTTCTGCAAGTTGTTTGTGATCATCTTCTTGATCTTCCCCTAAACATATAGATATCTCATAAAATCATGGGTTTCCATCTGCCCCGTATTTTTCATGCTAAGAAAATTCTTCGAGGATCACTCTTCACAGCAAACCAAGATGCTTCAATGGCCACAGAAGTTCCAAAAGGCCATTTTGCAGTTTATGTTGGAGAAAACCAAAACAAGAGATATGTGATTCCGATATCACACTTGAATCACCCTTCATTCCAAGAACTGCTAAGCCAAGCTGAAGAAGAATTCGGATTTGATCATCCAATGGGTGGTCTTACAATTCCTTGCACAGAAGATGTGTTTGTTGATCTATTGTCTAGTTTGAACAAGTCATGAAAGAGTACTCTAGCATAATTCAGTACTTAACAATTTTGTATAGGAGACAAAAGTAGTAATTACAACTTTTTTTTTCTTCCATGGGAGCCACGGAAGATAGCTCTGTATATGAAAAGAAAAGTGAATACAATCTTACAATTTTACCAAATTCTCTCTCAATTGATATTTAATACAAAGTTTTGTTCCTTTATTCTGTTCAACTAACCAGTAAACCAATTTTTTCATAATCTTTTTCTAAAACTAATTACTGTTATTTGTCGCTTGAACTGGGATCTTGCAATACCGTAATTCCCCTCAATTTTGAAGCTCTAGATTGATGCATGATAACCAATAGACAAAAAAAAAAAAAAAAAATCGAGTATTTAGAAAATTTTCTGAAACAGCATACTCTGCTATTTTAATTGTTATGCTATCTAAGCAACTTTATAAGTATATCAGGGTGTCGGATGGTATTACATACAAATCTGGAATAACTTGATTGGAAAGTTAAGAGAAGATATATATATATATATGATGCCAAAAATCAATCAGGAAAGATCATGTACTCATTAACTCATATGAGCTTGAGGTAGTTTGGTTGAGTGCAGTGATTAAAGATCCCATCTGATGTACAGATCTTTTTATCCGATTCTTTCTGTTAACCTGAAGTTTCAAGTTCCTCTGTAACCAGTGCAAATTGCCTTAGCAACTTCTTCAACAACTTAGCTTTTGCAGAAAGAAATTATGAGAAAAGAAGTCATATCTAAGTGTAACAATCTAAATGACCTCTTAGAGAAGGTGGTATTAGAAGTTCCATCACTTTATGGTGCTAAAATCCATGTGATGAAGCAAGCCAAGGTGTCCGCTAGAGAATTCTATGTGGTTATTCATCCAATTTAATCATTATCATTGCAATGTTGCAGGATTGTTTAACTGATTAGCCATTAATGGTGAATCTGTTGTGATGGTTATCCAATCCATTCATATTTTAAAAAGCAATCTAATCATTGAAATCCCTTTTCTGGGCCATTTGAAATAACCCGCGTAGATAATGAATATTGATCATTCCCATTATGATCCATCGCAGTGGTTCTAATACTGGGTCAATAAAACAAAAAGGTTTGTTTATCCTAGTTCTCTTGTAATCAGGTTGAGTCTAAATGTTAAGAATCACCAGACAAAGCCACATGTTAGGTCACTCTGTTGCTCCCACTCAATCCAGCAATTCTTCAAATTCAGGCCCCAATTCTAATTGGCACTAGCCAACGACATTTTCACATGAACTACCTTGTGTGTTTGCTATAATGTCCTCATAATAAATTGACAAGCTCGCATTAATGAGCCGACAGTTCAAATACACCATTAAAATTCAAGTGGACCTGTGTAGATTGTGCTGTCAGTTTCTGGGCTAAGAGTTATATATGAACAACTAGAAATAGACTGCACAATGGAAATAATCATATATTATATAATTGGGAGGCAAGCCATGTGATCGTTCCTCATCAATAATCTTGATGGATTTCTCTCCCTCACTTATTTGAAATCTCTCCGTATAGCATTTGGCCTATATATATGCATACCTAACTCAGGTTTTTCACTACCAAATTTCAAAGTCTATTTTACATCAGAAGTCTCATATACTGTATTCAAAGAGTTTTTGCTTGTTCTACAAGTCCTTCGAGATAATCTTCTTGTTCTTCCATTAGAGATATAAACATCCATAAAAAATCATGGGTTTCCGTCTGCCCCGTATTGTTCATGCTAAGCAAATTCTTAGAGGATCACTCTTCGCAGCAAACCAAGATGTTTCAATAGCCACAGAAGTTCCCAATGGCCATTTTGCAGTTTATGTGGGAAAGAACGGAAAAAAGAGATTTGTGATTCCAATATCGTACTTGAATCACCCTTCATTTCAAGCCCTGCTAAGTCAAGCAGAAGAAGAATTCGGATTTGATCATCCAATGGGCGGTCTTACAATTCCCTGCAGAGAAGATGTGTTTGTTGATCTAGTGTCTAGTTTGAATGGGTCATGAAAGAGTACTCTAGCATAATTCAGTACTTAACAATTTTGTATAGCAGACATAGATAGTACCAAGTAACTTTTTTTTTTTCTTCCATGGAAGTCATGGAAGATGGCTCTGTATATGAAAAGAAAAGTGAATACAGTCTTACAATTCTACCAAATTCTCTCTCAATTGATATGCCTTATTTGGAATATCTGTAATGAAGCAAGCCAAGGTGTCAAATTCTCTCTCAGTTGAAATGCCTTATTAAAGAGATTCTACCAAAGTAATTACCAAGTTGTCAAGGTCATTTTAAGTTTTTAACTGTGATAGTCATGCTATCTAAGCACCTTCACTTGATATATCAGCACATCCGATGGTAGAGATAAGAATCAACTTTATTTGGAAGATCAAGAGATGAAACATATTTATTATTATGTACTCCTCTCCCCATTCCTCAATGTTCAAGTAAGAAGAGTTTGGTTGCAAGTGCAGCAATTAAAAAGATGATAACTGATGAAACAAATTTCCACATCAACAATCAGTCACAATTCCTTTGAACTAGTGCAAATGCCTCTGCAATTTTTTTCAACAAAATTGCTTTCCACAAAGAATATACAAGAAAAGAGTTGCTATTGTTGAAACAGTGATTTTTTGCTGGAAATGTAACTGAAATTCGGTTTGGTTTTGAAAACTTTGCTCTGACGTGTGTGAGCAGCTGAAGTTGATGTGTTTTTAGTTATGTGCTTAGGTGTACTCAGCTGTGATTAAGGCCTATGTTAGTTGTAAACTTTGGTTTAAATTCAAATTTGTAAACATCCCTGCAGAGTTGGTGTAACAGAGGATATTTTGGACTGATGTTTTGTTGTATAAATCTGTAGTGAAATTAAATGAAAATGCAGAACTTTCTCTGAATACATTTTTTTTTTTTTTTTTTTTTTTTTAAGAGAAGAGACGAAGTCACCTGTCCATGAGTGACTTCCTCCCAATTTTATTAATAGGCCTCACTTGTGACGGAGGAAAACCGTGGTAACAAACAGGACACCTGGGATTTATAGAAATTCAATAAAAACCATCCCAAATATCAAAATTATAAAGAAAAAAACAAAACAAAACAAAACAAGCAAGCCTAAACCAAAGAAAAACCCAAAAAGTCAAGTTACCATCTAAACTAAGGCAAACCCGCCTTATCCAACCGAAGAATGCCTTTCAACTTACGAGGCAAAGAATTAAAATCCAAAAAAGCATTATTATTACCCTCCTCGCCCCGTCTAGCGAGGAAATCCGCTGCACTATTCCCTTCGCGTAATTGATGATTAATGGTGAAATGTACGTCTCCTAACAGTATCAAAAGATCATCCCAATAGTCCCATAAGTACCAAGCCGTGCACTTTCGACTACTCAGCCAAGTTTCTCTCAATACATGTTTCTCTTTCTTTCCTTAAAATTCTCCGGCCAAAACACCTACAGCTATGTATCAAGCAGTAACAATTTACTAAATGACGGGTTAGAGAGGGCTACATTAGGAATTCCTTCAATTGATGGTGTTAGAATCTCTGTAATGAAGCAAGCCAAGGTGTCAAATTGATATGCCTTATTATAGAGAATTTTATGTCATTATTCAATGTTGCAAGCATGTTTGACTGATTAGCCATTAACAGTGAATCTGATGTAATAGTCATCCAGTCCATTCATATATAATTTAATCAGCATTATAATGGACATTCTGTAATCCATTTATCCATTATGAAGTCGTCACAACAAAACAACAAATATAAGTTTCTCGACGGTAGTTTTGTTCTGATAAGATTTGAGTTTAGATGTTAACCATAATCAGACAAAACCACATGATAGGAAACAATAGAATCCATCATTTCTTCCAATTTTTATTGTCCCTGATTAACGACATTACACATTAGCTGGCTTATGTGTTTGCTATACATTGCTCTTACGGATCAGTCCTTCTTGAAAATTGACCAGCCGCTTTGATCAGCAGACAAATCATATACACCATAAATATTAAAGTAGACCAGCTCCAGCTACAGCTACATTAATAAGCCGACAATTCATATTCAAAAAATAGACTACTATACCATGTCAAACTCAATACTTTTGTCATCTCTACTACATATCAGATGGGTATCATGGCTCCCTTATTTAGCAGTAGTCACAAGGTAAGTAGGTCATTATGTCTCTAGTATTGCTTTAAAATTGTGGAGGTTGAACTGGAAGACAGTGCCATGTGATCCCTCAAGATTCATGTCTATCCCTAGACCCCATTAGTATCACCTTTCAACACTCATTCCACATGGGATTTTTCCTGTTTATCAATCTATATATACACATAGAATTTGGTTCACAAAAACCAAAGCAACATAACTCCTCACATCTTCAAGTGTAAACTTTTTGCTTGGTCTGGAAGTTGTTTGTGATCATCTTCTTGTTCTTCCCCTAAAGATATAGATATCCTATAAAATCATGGGTTTTCGTCTGCCTCGTATTGTTCATGCTAAGAAAATTCTTCGAGGATCACTCTTCACAGCAAACCAAGATGCTTCAAAGGCCACAGAAGTTCCAAAGGGCCATTTTGCAGTTTATGTTGGAGAAAACCAAAACAAGAGATATGTGATTCCGATATCGCACTTGAATCACCCTTCATTCCAAGAACTGCTAAGTAAAGCTGAAGAAGAATACGGATTTGATCATCCAATGGGTGGTCTTACAATTCCCTGTAGAGAAGATGTGTTTGTTGATCTGTTGTCTAGTTTGAACAGGTCATGAAAGAGTACTTTGGCATAATTCAGTACTTAACAATTTTGTATAGCAGACATAAATAGTACATGTAAATTTTTTATTTTCTTCCATGGGAACCATGGAAAATAGCTCTTGTGTATGAAAAGAAAAGTGAATACAGTCTTACAATTTTACCAAATTCTCTCTCAATTGATATTTAGTACGAAGTTTTGTTCCTTTTTTCCGTTCAACTAACCACTAAACGAATTTTTTCATAATCTTTTTCTAGATCAGATACTAATTTCTGTTATTTGTCGCTTGAATTGGGATCTTGCAATACAATATTTCCCCTCAATTTTGAAGTTCTAGATTGATGCATGATAACCAATAGACAAAAAAAAAATAGAGCAATTAGAAAATTTTCTGGAACAGCATACTCTGCTATTTTAATTATCATGCTCTCTAACCAACTTTATAAGTATATCAGTGTGTCGGACGGTAGTACATACAAATCTGGAATAACTTGATTGGAAAGTCAAGAGAAGATATATATATATATATATATATAATACAAAATCAACCAGGAATGATCATGTACTCATTAACTCATATGAGCTTGAGGTAGTTTGGTTGAGTGCTGTGATTAAAGATCCCATCTGATGCACAGATCTTTGTATCCGATTCTTTCTGTTAACCTGAAGTTTCAAGTTCCTCTGTAACCAGTGCAAATTGCCTTAGCAACTTCTTCAACAACTTAGCTTTTGCAGAAAGAAGAAGTGATATCTAAGTGTAACAATCTAAATGACCTCTTAGAGAAGGTGGTATTAGAAGTTCCATCACTTTATGGTGCTAAAATCCATGTGATGAAGCAAGCCAAGGTGTCCGCTAGAGAATTCTATGTGGTTATTCATCCAATTTAATCATTATCATTGCAATGTTGCAGGATTGTTTGACTGATTAGCCATTAATGGTGAATCTGTTGTGATGGTTATCCAATCCATTCATATTTTAAAAAGCAATCTAATCATTGAAATCCCTTTTCTGGGCCATTTGAAATAACCCGGGTAGATAATGAATATTGATCATTCCCATTAAGATCCATCACAGTGGCTCTAATACTGGGTCAATAAAACAAAAAGGTTTGTTTATCCTAGTTCTCTTGTAATCAGGTTGAGTCTAAATGTTAAGAATCACCAGACAAAGCCACATGTTAGGTCACTCTGTTGCTCCCACTCAATCCATCAATTTTTCAAATTCAGGCCCAATTCTAATTGGCACTGGCCAAAGACAGTATCACATAAGTTTCTTGACGGTAGTTCTATTCTGATAAGATATGAGTTTAGATGTTAACCATAATCAGACAAAACCACAGGATAGGTAACAATAGAATCCATCATTTCTTCCCATTTTTATTGTCACTGGTTAACGACATTACACATTAGCTGGCTTATGTGTTTGCTATAACGATAGATTCACATTGCTCTTATGGATCAGTCCTTCTTGAAAATTGACCAGCTGCTTTGATCAGCAGACAAATAATACACACCATAAAAATTAAAGTGGACCAGCTCCATCGCCAACTACATTAATAAGCCGACAATTCATATTAAAAAAATAGACTGCACAACGCAAATGATCATGTATTACAAATGGAAGGCAACCCATGTGATCATTCTTCAATAAGAACCTTTATGGATTTCTCTTGACCACTTATTTGAATATTGTGTATATATATGTACATCTATCTCAGGTTTTTCCATTGAATTTCCAAGTCTTTGTTACATTATTAGTTTCAGTTATACTTTTCAAAGAGTTTTTGCTTCTTCACATCTTCAAGTGTCATAAAGTTTTCGCTTGCTCCACAAGTCCTTTAACATCACCTTCTGGTTCTTCCACCTGAGATATACACATCCTCATAAAATCATGGGTTTCCTTAAGCCCAGTATTGTTCATGCAAAGAAAATTCTTCGAGGATCTCTCTTCACAGCAAACCAAGGTTCTTCAATGTCCCTAGAAGTTCCCAAGGGCCATTTTACAATTTATGTTGGTGAAAACCAGAAAAAGAGATTTGTGATTCCAATATCATACTTGAATCACCCTTCATTTCAAGACCTTCTAAGTCAAGCTGAAGAAGAATTCGGATTCAATCATCCGATGGGTGGTATTACAATTCCCTGCAGCGAAGATGTGTTTGTTGATCTATTGTCTAGTTTGAACAGGTCATGAAAGTATATACTAACAGAATTTAGTACCCAACAATTTTGTATAGCAGACTTAACTAGTTGCATGTAACCTTTTCTTCTTCTATGAGGACCATAGAAGATAGCTCTCTGTATACCGAAAGATAAGCGAATACAATTACAAATTTCTCTCAATTCAGAATTAAAGACATGAACATTCAGTAGAAAGTTTTGTATCTTCATTCTGTTTCACCATATCGTAACCAATTAACCAAATTTTCTTTCATTTTGCTGTTCATCATCTTTTCCTAAATCAGATTCTGATTGCAGTTCTTTCTTGCTTGAATTGGGATCTTGTGGTATACTATATTCCTCTCAATTATGAATGTCTAGATTGCTGCAACATAACCAATCGGCAAAATAAAGTAATTAATTAGAAAGTTTTCCAGAACAGTACACTGGTCATTTTAACTGCGATGCTGAGGCCAAGCAACTCCATGTAGTATATCAGTGCATCTGAAGTAACTTGATTCGAAGAGTCAAGACAAGATACATTTTCATTAATTTAATGCAAAACCAATCAAGGATTATTATGTACTCCACATTACTGAATGCTCAACTCAAATGTGCTTCTGCTAGTTTGTGAAGGAAATAGAGAAGCAACAGGAACAAAATAATAATAGTAAAACAAAACAAACAGTAAACAAAGAAATTATACGCGCGATTTACCCTGGTTAACCCAATGTGGGCTACGTCCAGCTGAGTCAATATTATTGAAATATGCCTCACCTCTTTCGTTTACAATGAATGAATTGCTCTCACCTCATAACAAGAGAAAAGAATGTTTATATACTAGGTTTAAGAGATTAAACCTTGTTTTACAAGAATTCCTATTCCTAAGCCTAACCAAAAAAGGAATTAATAATTTAAAAGGAATCCTATAGCGGTTATACATGGAAAAGCCCAAAACCGCCTACGGGCTCGGGGGCGCTGGCCCCGTGACCCCCGCCCGCTCACCGGGGAGCAGGGCACCCGAGTGCATCTCCGTTACCCATTAATGCTGAAGTAGTCGACAACTCCAACAGTTTGGTTGTGAGTGCTGTGATCAAAGATCACAACTGTTTAGAAGTACCTAGTTCCTATGAACAAGTGCAAATGCCTTACAACATTTTGAACAACATAGCCTTCCAGAAATAATTTATGAGAAATGAATCGTCAAGTATAACAATCTACTAAATGACGGTTAGAGAATCCGAGACTAGAAGATCATTTGATAGTGTTAGAATCCAGGTAATGAAGCAAGCCAAAGGCCTTATTAAGAGAAAGCAATGTGATTGTTCACCCAAATCAATCATATTCCTTGAAATGTTGCAAGGGAAGGTGTTTGACTAATTAGCCATAAACAGGGATTATGATTTGATAGTCATTTAATCCAGTCATATTCTAGTCAGCAATCTAATCATTGAAATCCCTTTTCTTGGACATTCAATAAGAGCATGAAACTGAACTTCGGGATAGATAAAGAATGTGATTATTCCCATTATGATAAATTTACTTATGTTCTTATATTAAGCTTTTAAAAAAAAAAAAAAAAAAAAGAGGTAAAGTTCTTCATAGTAGTTCTGTTCTGCTCAGCCTGAGTCTAGATGTTAAACATCAACAGACAAAACCACATGATAAGTCACCTTGGTGCTGCCACTGAATCCATCATTTCTTCAATTCAGGTCCCAATTCTTATTGTCACTGACCAACGACATTATCACATGAACTACCTTGTGTGTTTGCTATAAGATATATCCAAATTCTTACGATCAGTCCTTATTATAACTTGACCAGCTGCATTAATTAGTGGACAGTTCATAGACACCATAAAAATTCAAGTGGACCTGTGTAGATTGTGCTTTCAGTTTGTGGGCTATGAGTGATATGTGAACAACAAACAGACCGCACAATACCAATGATCATATGTGTTATAATTGGGAGGCAAAGCCATGTGATCGTTCCTGTTGAATAACATTGATGGATTTCTCACCACCACTTATTTGAAATCTCTCCATATAGCACTTGGTCTATATATATGCATATCTAACTTAAGGTTTCTCACAATCGAATTTCGAAGTCCTTGTTATACACTATTACAAGATTGTTCTGCAAGTCCTTTGAGATCATCTTCTTGTTCTCCCACTAAACATATAGGCATCATGGGTTTCCTTCTACCACGTATTGTTCATGCAAAGAAAATTCTTCGAGGATCACTTTTCACAACCAACCAAGAGGCTTCATTGTCCCTAGAAGTTCCCAAGGGCCATTTTCCAATTTTTGTTGGAGAAAACCACAAAAAGAGATTTGTGATTCCAGTATCATACTTGAATCACCCTTTAATTCAAGACCTACTAAGTCAAGCTGAAGAAGAATTCGGATTTGATTATCCAATGGGTGGTCTTACAATTCCCTACAGAGCAGATGTGTTTGCTGATCTAATGTCTAGTTTGGACAGGTCATAAAAGTGTATCCTAAAAGAATTTAGTACTCAAAAATTTTGTATGATAGCATGTAACTTTTTTTTTATGGAAGATAGCTCTGTATATGAATAGACAAGTGAATACAACAACAGATTTTACCAAATTTTCTCTCAATTCAGAAACAAGGACATAAACATTCAGTAGAAAGTTTTTGTTTCTATACCATGAAACCTTATTATTTATTTTTTTTTATTTTTTTATTTTTTCATTTTACTGATCTTGTAGTATACTAGAAAGGTTAGCGCACAGTTACTCCCTTGTAGGTTAGCTTCATATTGCTTCACCATAGGAATACCTACCGTTAGATGATCGAATCTTATAAGCAGCAGGTCGAGAAGCTGGCAACAGCTATAGCTGAAGAAACAGCTTGCTGAGGAGCATACCAAGATAAATTCTATCAAGAAGAGCTGAATCAAGATAACTGTTAAGCCAAGTGATATTTTGCTGTAACCGTCTTTATTGTGGCTTGAAGAAGAGCTGATAGAAGCAGCTTAATGAAGCTGAAATTAGCAGCTGGATGGAGCTGAAAATAATGCTGATTAAGTCAGCTGTTTTGGTTACCTGCAGCAAGTTATGGAGCTGCATTTCAGGATTATAAAATTCATATATTTGGTTTTGGTTAGAATTGTGTGGTGCTGCTATAATGTTTTAGAAAAATCCCTGCAAGATTAGGTACAACAGTTGATGTAAAACTTTTGTATATATTTCAGCTCAAGTTAATGAAACAAATATATGAACTTTTCAGCATTTTTCTCATTGTTTTATACGACTTCTTCTCCTTTCCATTACATCTCATACCTTCCTTTCAATACAATCTGGAACCAAAACCAACAAGAACTAATTATCGAATTAAATAGGTCAGACGTCTGCAGACACATATTTAAGATCTTTGGCACTTTAATCTTAATCTTGTGTTCCCTTAGTTTTGGCTGTTTCTATATTGAGCAGATTGTGTTATATCTTGGAAAAGAATTTATTTATTTTTAGTATTATCTCATAGTATTTCCAACTTCATCATGTTAATTACTTGTCAACAAATTCATCTGATCATTTTCTTCTATTTTCTTTTTCGATTCAGGCATTATAATTACTTCCTCCATCAAGTTTGATTATTGTCCTTCAAAATTATGATGTCCAAAGGATGTCCCCCATCAAAGGGTCAGTAAAGCTGGAAATTAAATCAGTATTGAGTACACCATCTGTACATTTATAATCTTTAGCCGGTCTGCCATTGGTGTACATTCAAAGGTGTAGGACATATTTGTATTCTCAGCACAGAGACACAATATGATATCTGCCTTCCGGTCCCCTATATGTGCTGATTAGTTGAAAGACAAGGTCATCTGATGACCTTATGAGCTATGTCCCGCCCAGACCCCAGCAGATGATTTTTGGCCACTCACTTAACAAACTAGAGGATTTTTTGCATTCCATTTCCTCTATATATACTCACACTTTTAGCTTTTGAGGTCATAAGCAATCCAACTCTTCAAAAATTCTCCTTTTACAAAAACCCCTCTTGCTTCTCTTCGAAAAAACTTCAGCATCATGGGAATTCGTTTGCCTAGTGTTATTGTTGCCAAGCAAATTCTGAGGCGAACTGCTCTGACCGGAAATAAAGTAGCTTCAACAAGTTTGGATGTACCCAAAGGTTATCTTGCTGTGTATGTTGGAGAGGCCGAAAAGAAGAGATATGTAGTTCCAGTGTCTTTTTTGAACCAACCTTCATTTCAAGCTTTGCTAAGTAAAGCCGAGGAAGAGTTTGGCTTTGATCATCCAATGGGTGGTTTGACAATTCCTTGCAGAGAAGACATGTTCATTGATGTCACATCTCATTTGAGTAGGTCATAAAGGGGAAGGCGCATAAACTTAACGGCCGTAGACAATTTTGTAATGCAGAGATATTTTGAATCCAATGGATAACCAGCATGTCTCTTTGATCATGCAAATGGATGGCCTCACCTCACAATCCCATTCAGAAAAAGAGCTAGATTCATCAATCTCGCCTGAAGTTTTCAATGGCGTACTAGAGAGATAATAGATATGTAAATAGTCTAAAAAAAAATGATACACAATTTTCAGAATCCAGTGCTTTCATCTTGGCTCATTGTAATTTTATCTATAAAGGAATCAAATGTTTATAGACAACATCAGAATGAACTACTGTTCCATTATCTTTTTTCTTTTTTTTCTTTTTTTCCCTTGTCATAGAAGCACTCACCAAGAATTTGCAAATACAATACCATCTGATCAAAAAACAGAAAGTTCATGTTTGAATTTATTTGCCAGTTAATTCAAATAACAATATACATCAGCAATTTCAAAACAAGATTCACTCTTTACTAATCTCATTTCATTGAACATAAAAACCGTGGTCAAGTAAAGTATCCTTTACTTTATAATTTAACTTCTCGGCTGGGTTAACAGAAGCTGGTAGCATCTAAGCGGTTTACTTGGGAGTTTTTTATACAAGGAGTCTCAGCAGTTCAGTTTGGAAGTGCAGTTAATGAGGCAAGAGTAATTCATCTCTTCTACTTTGCTCAATGAAATTGCAGTAACATGGTGTGAATTTGGCACCTATCTTTCAAATGATATTATTTGTATCGTTTCTTAGTGATAATTGATTTACCTACAGAAGTTTGGTGGTTTGAGATGTGGTGGGTAGGGAATGGGGCTAGATGTAGGACTTACTTCACGTGCATTTCACAAGGCCTTGTCCTGCAACTAGAAATGCCAAAAGCAATCAATGCTAAGGGCCAGGAAATACTACTAACTACAAATCTCTTCTTACCTCCAAGTATAACAGTACAAGTGAATACTGTTGCTTAAATGTTTACTTAACTTTTTATCAGATAATTGAATATTTGTTCATTGTGAAAATTTGCTAGAGCTTTACCGATCCTGATATACCATTCTAGTGATCAGCAAGTTTTTCAATCTGTTTAAGAGAAAATTTCAAATCAAGTTGCTTCATATCCCAGATGAATGAATGCCTAACCATGGCAGGTCCTGTTCAAAAGACTTTTAACATTGTTCAAAGGTGATTTCATACGAAAAGACTATCTGCTCATAATCTTATACCAGAAATAATATACTCATATCTCTTAATTATGCATTCTAAGTTGTCGTCGTTGAATCAACAAATGATTAAGCATTTCTTATCTACACATACTTAATGGTTGGGCAAATGTGTTCTAACAAACATGCAGTCTCAGTCACTCATAAGTTCTTGATGATGAATTGGAAGACACAACCATGTGATTGTTCAGGTGCTAATGTCTCTTGGCAAACCCCACCAAAGTGCCAAACATCACTCATTTCACGTTTCAGAGACTTTCCCATACGCCCTCTGTATAAATACACAGGATATCCCACAAACTTAAACCAAGTCCTCACCGTTTCTATTAGCAATCTTTGCTTTCTTCTATCTCAAGTCATCTTTGATCTTTACCATCTTTTCTAAGGCAATAACATAAAAAATAGAAATGGCCATCCGTTTTCCTGGTATTGTACACGCTAAGCACATTCTGCGACAATCGAAACTGTTTGCAAATCAAGCAGCTTCAGTGTCATCAGATGTGCCAAAAGGGTACCTTGCAGTCTATGTTGGGGAGAGCCAAATGAAGCGATTCATAATTCCAGTATCATTCTTGAATCAGCCTTCATTTCAAGAATTGCTAAGTAAGGCTGAGGAAGAATTCGGATTCAATCATCCTATGGGTGGTCTCACAATTCCTTGCAAAGAAGACATCTTCATTAATCTCACTTCTCAATTAAATCGATCATGATGCTGCCCTAAGAGGAGTTACATGACAATTTTTTGAATTCTTGTACATTTATTATATTTGTTTGGCGAATATATGAGATCCGATGGGAAATGCTACCCATACAAGAGACTAGTTATAAAGAAATACTCCAGTTTTTCTCACATTTATGTTAACTGTAATGTTCCTTATTGTCAAACAATATTACATATAGTTTCTCTTTGGATTCTAAGAGATTGACCAACTTTTTCCTTCCATTCACCGAAATGGGCATGAAAACATGTTATAGTACAAAATTTTATGCTGGTGTCTTACACTAAGCAAGTAATAAGCTGCATTTCAGTATAAAGAACAAATGTAATCCAACATATCACAAGTCTTATTCTATAGTGATCAATTTGGATGCACAGTAAGTTGTCTAGAATCTAGACAGGAGGATAATTTTAAGAAACATTTATAGATCAGAAGATTATGCGGACTGTATAGCAAGAGTTCATCCCTCTGAAACTAATTGTTCACTATCAAAAGTCACCAATACTCATAACAGTAACTGGAATACAGGAGATGATATTTATGAAGTTAATGTCTTTATTATTGACCAAAAAGAAGAAGTATATATATTTTCTTACAGGACAGAAAAGAATGCCTGGGAGAAAAGACTATTCATTTAAGGAGAGATAAGAGATAACTGAATTATACATGTTTGAGTTGAAAGATTCAGCATGCACAGTTAAAAGCCGCAGAATTGGAACTCAAACAACTCTTAATTTGTGGTTGGTTTGAAATGCAGGCCACTGACTTAATGATATTATAAAAAGCAAGTTGGTGATTGGCCCAATCGTATAAATGCTGATGGTACTGTTTCTGTTTATCTTTTGCCCATGGAAACAGAATTTGGTAGTTCCACCTTCCACATTGGGGGTACTATGGATCAAAATGGATTTAGACCAATATAGATCTTGAAACCTAGAAAAATACCATGTACTTCACAGAATGAATGTTACAGGATTCTTTCCAAAATGTGTTTCTCTCAAGTGATATGAAGAGCAAAAATATCTTTTACTTTTTCTTTTTCTTTGTTTCCTTGTGTAATTATTAGTCTTTCCAGTTCAATCATATGTTATTTTTTGTTAGGCTCTTTCAATTGAAAACTTGCATTTAGTTTGTTCTCTGGGTCCATTAATTTTTCATTTGTACTGATGCTGATGATCCAAGTACTCTTATACAATCTTTAGGTGAAATTCCATTGGCACATTGCTAGACTTGTAGGCCATATTGTGAGTCAAGAAATAGACACTATATTTGTCTACATTCAAACCTTTGATAATTAGTTGCAGGACAGAACCATGTGATATTCTCATGAGCTATGTGCATCAACAGACCGCAGAAAAAAATACATGTCCACAGCAAATCAACTTTTAGATTATCTGGTGCGTATAGTAATTAATTTACATCTATAAATGTATAGAAATGTTGAGCGTCAAAACCAGCTCAGTTCTTCACCTTCTCTATTCAAAGATTTTTCTTGCACAGTTCAAGATTTCAAAACCAATTTAAATTGTTTCTCTTGATTCTGATAAACCATGGGTCTCCGTTTGCCTGGTGTTCTTTCTAGGAAGTGCCGAAACGTCTTGACAGCAAATAAAGCAGCTCCGGCATCTTCAGATGTACCAAAAGGCTTTTTGGCTGTTTATGTTGGAGAGAAAAAGATGAAAAGGTTTTTGGTTCCTGTATCCTATTTGAACCATCCTTCATTTCAAGATTTGTTGAGTAAAGCTGAAGAAGAATTTGGGTTTGATCATCCAATGGGTGGTTTAACAATTCCCTGCGGAGAAGATGTTTTCATTGATGTTGTTTCCAGAATCAATGGATTATAAGAGAAGCCACTGCATACAAAAAATCGAAGTCAAACGGAACCATTTTATTGGAGGAACTCAAATGAGATTCATCAAATTATTGCAGCCAAAACTTCGTACTTGAAGCATCCTTTAAAGTCAAAACCTGCAATTATATGTTATGTTTCTAATGAACATCCTAACAATGTTAACCCAAACACGAGGCCTTTCAATTTTGTTCAATAAGGGCCAGGTAGTTTTATGTCTCACTGTAAATTTCTTTAACTTTTTGTAAATGAAATTGAGAATCAAATCTTTCCACCAGAGAATAGTTAAACAGAATTCCTTTTTTTCTTCCTTATGATTCTTTCTTCTCACCATGAATATGTGCTGTGTGAAACTAAAATTTCAGCTGAGCAGACAAAAGTGCCTATTTGTTATCACACATCCGAATTTCCTGATTGGCCTGTCTATGAGAATAATCAACCAAGACTAATAGCCATATAATCCTGCCTTTTTTACAATAACTTTTATCTCCATTCTTTAACAAAACTTGGTAATTATGATTCTTATATGGATAAATTTTCTTACCAGAAGATGAATGAGCTATTATATATGAAGTGATGCAGTTTTACAAAACTGAAATTTCTTGAAAAAATTGGAACATTTACTGGAGCCTTCATGGGCTAGCATTATTACTCCCTCTATGAGTATACGGTAGACTGATCAGGATTTTTACTTCCTGCCTCTCAAACTTTACTTGGCCAGCATTGATTGTTTTGTCATCCATGTGAAACAATTTCAGCAATTACTATAGTAATTTGGTTTGCGGAAAATAGTGTGTGGATTATGGTGGGACTAGTCATAGGACACACTTCATGTGCTGTTCACAAGGGCTTGTCTAGCAACTTAACTAAGGCAACATAAGCTGGTGATATTGTTTGAAGCTGTGCAATTAAATGCAGTCCTATTCCAGCCTCCAGCTTTAATGTTATTTGTAGGCTTCTGCAAGAATCTAATGCTTTTAACAGCTTCCGGTTTTCACCTTTGAAGTAGAAATCTTTTGCTGTTTAGCTAGCATTCAAGTACTGGTCCATGCCAAATCACTTTAATTTTCATTGGGGTCCCTTGTAGGTTGTTCACCTGAAATGGCTGGGCAATATGAGTTCTAACAAAAATACAGTCCTAGTATACTACCAAATTCTTGATGATAATTTGGAAGACAGGACCATGTGATACTTCATATGGCTATGTCTCTCGCCAAAACTATCCCAACGCCTCTACACCACTTGCTTCACACATCAAAAATTTTGCTTCTCCCTTTAACCTATATATACAAGCACATTATGACCTACAAAAACCAAGTCCTCAGCCTCATATTATGTAATAGGAAATCTTCCTCTTCTCCCTCCAAGTCATTTGTATTTTTCATCATCTTCTAGCAATACATAGATAACAATGGCAATTTGTTTGCCTGGAATTTTGCCTGCTAAGCAGGTTCTTCGCCGATCAAATTTAGTCTCCAATCATTCACCATCTGTAGATCTTCCAAAGGGCTACCTTGCAGTTTATGTAGGAGCGAGACAAAAGAAACGATTTGTAATTCCAATATCATTCTTAAATGAACTTGCATTTCAAGAACTGCTATACAAGGCAGAAGAAGAATTCGGGTTCAATCATCCAATGGGAGGTCTCACAATTCCCTGCAGCGAAGACGTATTCATTGACCTCACTTCTTGCTTGAGCAGGTGTTGATATGTGGCAATAGGACGTATTAGAATAGACAAATTTTTTCATTCATGTACATATTCATCTTTCTTTTTGGTATAGAAAATGTACACTCATGAGAGAAAATTACTAATAGAAAATTCTTGCATTTTCTTTTAAACAATTTCAATTATCTTGACTAAAACACAATTCAATCAATACAATTTTTAAGGTAATCAGTGTTAATTTCCAATTGAGCATAACAGTATCAAATTAAGCAACATTTAATCTACTCCAAGATCACTTTTTGTTAATGTGTCTTCACTCAATTAAAGACCTGATATTGAGAATCAATCAGGCAGGAAAACTTTCAAGTGATTTTGGACCCTTAAAATATCATCCAGGTTATGTGAAATATATAGAAAATTTTATTGACAGTAATGTACAGACTTTTTGACTGGAGTTAAAAATGTGGCCTAGCAGGGAAGATTTCATAAATGCAGCTTGGTGGAAAGGGGAGATGGGGAAATTTTCATAAATTAAATTCTGGGGTCAATTCATATGGTTAGCAAGCATCTAAAAGTTTTAATTTACATCAGGATCCTTGACCGTTAGTTAGAATAAAAGGCTAGAGGCCATTTGGATATCCAATGGAATTAAAACAGTTGAACACTTGAACTCCTAATAATACTTTTATTTAGCTAAGTGTTTTACTCTCTTTAATCTGGAGCAAACCTTTGTTTATCTTAAGCATGTTCCAAATCCAGGGGTCAACTAGTATTTATTTTGTGAGAGAGAATTCAAAGATGCTTGCAGAAAGCTTGTATTACACCAAAAGATAAAAGGGGCAGGAGACCCCATACGGGAAAGAATGGTAATTGAATAAGATAGGTTCACTAAACCTAACAAAAAGAAGGGAGCTCAAACGCAGACTAATCTGTTACAATAAAATAGATTATCCATTCTGATAAAAAAAATCTTACACAGCAATGTTTCTAGCCTGTCCAGTATCTCAAGGATCAGCTGCTTAAATTTGGGCCAGTTGTAGGTTGTTGTCCTAGAAATGCCTGGGCAGAAGGTATTCTACAGTCTCAACCAGTTCAAAGTTCCTGGTGATGACTTGGAAGACAAAACCATGTGAACTTTTTTTTTGCTTGTCTTATCCCAAATGTTTCTACACCACTCCCTTGAAATTTCAAAGATTTTCTATGCAGTTTGGCAACTATAAATACATAACATTGTATTCACAGCAAAATCAAGTCCTCACATTCTCTACTGTCAACTCTTTCCTTTCTTCTTACACCTCACTTGTGCTCCTCATATTGTCAAGTGATAATATAGATAAACAGCTATGGCTATCCGTGTACCCGGCATCATGCACGCTAAGCAGAGTCTACGCCAATCTAAATTGCTGGCAAATCAGCTATCCTCAACATCTGTAAACGTTCCAAAAGGCTACTTTGCAGTATATGTTGGAGAGAGCCAAAAGAGACGATTTGTTATTCCTGTATCATTCTTGAGTCAGCCTTTATTTCAAGAATTGTTAAGAAAAGCTGAGGAAGAATTCGGATTTGATCATCCAATGGGTGGCCTCACTATTCCTTGCAGAGAAGACATCTTCATTGATCTCACTTCTCGCTTGAATTGATCATGATATGCAACACTTTTAGTAACCTAGAGATACAAATTTTGTAAATCCATGTAGATTTATTTCATTTTTTTTTTTTCTTTCTTGTAGGCAGAGAGGTGGAACAAGAACAATCTACCCATACAAGAAAGTTATACACAAATGTAATTGCAGTTTTCTTCTCATTATCAATTTGAGACCATCATTTTTTGAAATTGACTATTGTTACATTCTGATATAATTTTACTACTTTTTTCTCTCCAGTCAATCGTTGCAGCATTTTCATTCATTTAGTCAGGATCTTGTCTTTGTTATTATGTGACAACAGTTTCAAACATCAGCACAAAAACAAAAAAAATAATAATCATGATAAGCTTGTGCCTTGATAAACTGCATAATGGAAATGTGTCCATCAGAATAGAACCAAAAGTACCCTTCCAGTATGCAATTTGTGATGACAGTCCTTTGAATGGAGTTCTTCCAACTGACATGAATGAAAGGCTTAACCTGGGAGAAAAGATTTTACATTTGACCAGCATATATTGTTGGAAATTTGCCCGTGAATGGAAGTCAAACTGTATTAATTGGACTGGAAAGAGGAAAAATTACAATGGATAGATTTTTTGAAATCCTAAAATTATCATGTACATAACCATACAAATATCAAACATTTGTTTACGTTTTTTAGACATCTCTGTTAAAGTTTGAATCCTTTTGGTAGAAGAGGAAGACACAGTTACAACAATCTCCTTTCTAGTCTGCGTGAAGAAAAGGCCACACAACACATAGAAGAACAGATAAATTCTATGACCAATCACATCCTAATTACTGTCAAAATCCTCTAGGTAATAAGGATTCAGTCTGGATTCTAATTGAATGGCTCCTTAAAGTCAAAACTTGAAATTAATCGAAATCAAGAGCACAGAAGGTACTGAAATTAATCAGATGGGGGTAGCATATTAATCCAATGGAAATGTTTACATTATTCTATCTGTACTAGATTCATTTTGTTCTCATTGAGTTTTCAGACATTATAACTACATCCTTCATCTTTCTTGGTTATTCTTTCTTTATAAACATGATCATAAAAGTTTGTCTCAAGCATGTCTTTAATCAATGGATAAAGTAAATGCGTCCGCAGCAACAGTACTGATTATCCAGCTGTCCTGTACCAAATCTTTCTATTCTCTTCCAGTGGCTTGTTTTGGAAATCGTAGGCCACTGTTGTTTTTTCGACAAACAAGCATGATGATATTTCAGCCCCTTTATCTTTGTTGATTAGTTGGAAGGCAAAACCATGTGATACCCTCTTGAGCAATGTCCTGAATAGTCCCTCAGCAAGTGTCTCTTAATCACTCACTCATGATTTTAAAGATTTTCATATGCCAGTTCATCCATATATATATCCACATATTTTCATCACAACCGACACAATTTCAGCAATACCAATCAATAGCGTTCAAGCTCATTCTTATTTGAAGAAACATATCAAGTAAAAACATGGATATTCGTTTGCCTGGTTACATTCTTGCAAAACAAGTTATTCCTTCAAACTGCAAAGAAAGGAGCTTCAACATCTTTAGATGTACCAGAAGGTTTCTTTGCAGTATATGTTGGAGAAACTCAAAAAAAAGCGCTTTGTGGTCCCTGTATCCTACTTGAACCATCCTTTATCTCAAGCATTGCTAAAAAGAGCAGAAGAGGAATTTGGCTTTAATCATCCAATGGCTGGTTTGACAATTCCTTGTGAAGACTTAGATACACCAGTTGTTAATCTCCTGACAAAATTTTGTACAGTAGAAATTGCCAGTTTAATGTAGATAATTTTTTTCATCCACTTTATAGAACGGTTTTGTGATTGAAACTTTCCCCCACGAGACATATTAGTAATGAAACACAATTGTTTTACTTTCATCTCGAATTTCTTGCTATTCTATAGTTCTTTATCATTTTTATAATTCTGGATACTTGTCACTCAAATGTGAAAAAAAAGGTTTGTACAAATGGAAATAGTATAACAAATTTCTGAAACGACCATATACTGTTAAGCAATGTTACCTCTTTCACTTGATTCTCCGAGTCTATCAATTTTCACCCGGTTAACAATCACAAATTGGTCAGTTTTTCTTTTTTTAACAGTTTCCAACATCAGCACAAAAACAAAAACAATAATAATCATGATAAGCTTGTGCCTTGATAAACTGCATAATGGAAATGTATCCATCAGAATAGAACCAAAAGTACCCTTCCAGTATGCAATCTCCAACTATTGTATACTTACTGGGGAATTTTATGAGATGAACAAGATGGTAACCCGTATAAACATTTCATTCGTCTGCAATAAATTCATCATTTGTCATTAATTTGATTGTTTACATTCTGTAGGTTTTAGTATGACACGTTTCACATCCTCTACCAAGGGATGTGTCCTGCAAGTTGATGTACATAAGAAACAGAACAAATCACAGAAATTTAGGCTCAGGACATGGTATCACTAACTGCAGCTCCATCCCTGCCTCATTTTTTTTATTGTAAGTTGATGTGTCTTCTTATTTATTCACTAGTTACTAATGGGAATTTATCCACAGACTACTCTGGTCAATAAGATAGAAAAACTTTTCTCATCATAAACTACAACATTACAGATACAGTATGTCTGAAGTATGTCCTCTATCCCAAGGTCAACAACTTGAATTTGGGTCCCCTTTTATCCCGGAAAGAGTTGGGATATCGTGGTCCAACAACTATAAAAGTCTTTATCAGATCAAATTTCTTGGTCATGACTTGAAAGACAAAACCATGTGAAGTTTTAGGTGCTTATGCCTCTCCCATCTGCCCCTACACCACTCAAGCCAAATTCCAAAGATATTAAATGCAGCCTGCCATCTATAAATACATATATTGTATTCACAGCAACATCAAGTCCTCACATTCTCTACTAGCAAGTCTTTGCTTTCTTTTTGCAAGTCACTTGTGCTCTTCATATTCTCAAGTGATAATATACAGCGATGGCAATCCGTGTACCTGGCCTCATTCATGCTAAGCAGTTTCTCCGCCAATCTAAATTGCTTGTAAATCAAGCGACTTCAACTTCTTTCAACGTTCCAAAAGGATACTTTCCAGTTTATGTTGGAGAGAGCCAAAAGAAGAGATTCGTTATTCCAATATCATTCTTGAATCAACCTTCATTTCAAGAATTGTTAAGTAAAGCTGAGGAAGAATTTGGGTTTGATCATCCAATGGGTGGTCTCACTATTCCTTGCAGAGAAGACATCTTCGTTGCTGTCATGTCTCGCTTGAATTGATCATGATATGCAACACTTTCAGTGACCAATAGATACAATTTTTGTAAATCCATGTAGATTTTTTTCTTTCTTGTAGACAGAGAGGTAGAACAAGAACTGTCCACCCATACAAGAAAGTTATACACGAATGTTACTGCATTTTTTTTTTATCAATTAATTGAAATTGACTATCTTTGTCTTCTATTATTTTTTTTCAATTCTGTAAGCTTGTGTCTTGAAATCAGCTAACTTCCAAACAGAAACCATTTAGACAATGTTAAAACTAAACTAAAAGAAGTATATCAACCGGATTAAAACAGAGAGGAAGTGACCAACATAATCATACAATAGCTAACGGAGGTGTATCTTCAAACAGATCAGTTCTTTTAATTAACATGAATTTAAAGTTTAGCCTACCAAAAGAGAACTTTACACATGGTATTATTGAGAGCAATGAAGAGAATTTTTATGTGGCCTTTAGGACTGGTTCAGATGGTTGAAGTGGCCTTTTGAACAAGGTGAGTGGATATTTTGTATAAGATGACCGTAATTTTTGGTTTTAGCTTTGTTGCCTTTTGAGTGTTAAACAGATCCTAAGTAATTAACATTCCAGTCTTGCAACTTCAGCTAAGAAACCTAGCCATCAAGTGAAGGCACACCACAGTTCCTGTCGTTGATGTTCCTGGTAGAGCCATGATTAAAGAAGCTATATGGAAGTTGATGATTGATTGGCATAGTAGAGGAAATACCTAAAGCCATATTTGCCTGCTTTGACTTGAGTCACTTTGATAGAATTGAATGTGATATACTTCATTTGTTGCAGACAGCATCAGAACTCAGAAGTAATAATTAAATTGCTTGTGTTGGAAAATTTTAAAATCAAAATTGGTAGATTTTTTTCAATACTAGAAAAGATCATGTACATAATGTATAACTATGCAATTATGAGTCTTTAAAGGATTCTCTAATCAGATACTTGTTATAATTTACATACTATACTCTTTTTTATCACATGGTTTGGTACCCAGAATGAGAAAATGCAAACCGGGGATCAAAAACAAGAGCAGGGAATGATTTGGAAGAAAAAAGACTGAGCCTAAAAGTCTAAATTTAAATGAGATACATATGGGAGACGAATGTTTATCTCATTCCCAGTCACCTTATCCTAAATTATATTTTACATATGTTGCTGAACAGTCCAATTCTCAACACCAACTGCTGTTTTCATTGTCCCCAATGTTACACTACAAATTGTTATCTTCAATTTAAGCAATTTTCTTCTATCTCTTTTGTTTGCCCCCAGTTGTGATAGGTGTTACAAATGCATCCTACATCTTGCTTTCCCTTATAAACACTCTTAAAAAATTGTCTGAAGCTTGTCTGTAATCAAAGGACGCTTAGTTTTATATCCATATCAACAATGACTAACCAACTGTCCTTGCCAATTCTTTATACCATCCTCCCTTGGCCTGTTGTTGAAGTTGTAGGCCAATGTTGATTGTCAACAAACTAGCATGAAATCTTTTCAGACTCTAATCTTTGTTCATTAGTTGGAAGGCAAAGCCATGTGATACCCTCTTCAGCTATGTCCTCAGCAGACCCCAGCAAATTTTTCTCTTGGCCACTCACTCAAGATTTTAGAAGATTTCATCTATATATACGCACATGTTTCAATAACAAGCCAACTCAAGCTTCACTTACCAACTGATAGCCTTTCCTTAAGCAACAATCCTCCAAGTTTTTTCTCTTGATTCATATTTGAAACAGAAATTACATATTAAGTACTAGCCATGGGTATTCGTATTCCAGGTTTCATTCTTGCTAAACAAGTTCTTTGTCAGTCTGTTCAAACCGCTAAGAAAGGAGTTTCAACATCTTTAGATGTACCAAAAGGCTTTTTTGCAGTGTATGTTGGAGAAACTCAGAAGAAGCGCTTTGTGGTTCCTGTATCCTATCTGAACCAGCCTTTGTTTCAAGATTTGCTAAATAAAGCAGAAGAGGAATTTGGCTTCAACCATCCAATGGGTGATTTAACAATTCCTTGTGGAGAAGACACTTTCATTGATGTCACTTCTCGCTTAAATAGATCATAGGAGAAGGCACTAATTCTTATCCACTCTAACACAATTTTGTATGCTTGACCCAAAAAAAAAAAAAAAAAAAAGAGAAAAAGAGAATCTTGCAAGGCAGGAATTGCCGATTTGATGTAAATATTGTTTCCTCCTCTTTTGATAGAAGAGTTGTTGAGATTGAGATCTTCCCATATAAGAAAATTTAGCAATGGAATACAATTCGACTTTCATCTGAAATTCATGATACTCTTTCGTTTTATGATCATTCTCCACATTTAGATGAATAGCATTTTTAAACTTCCCATCAATAACAGGAGTCTTAAGTCCAATTCAACCTCATTTTTTATAGAATGGGTTCAATTACTTTCTGTAATGACCATTTACATTCCTATCAATCCTGTAATCCAGGGATTTCTCCCCGTATACATTACGAGGTGAAATTAGTCATTTGTGCCAGACACCATTTTGAACATACTTCTTGCTTTTAACTGTTATCACAGACTAAGAACACTCGAACATTTTATCGAACACTTAAACCTTATTAGCCTCATCTTGATGTCAGATCAATCCCACCTTCACACCCCAAAAACCTTTAGTTCCATCACTCAATTTTTACATAACTGCTCCCAAACAAAAAATCTAAGAGGCATTAAGACTCTCTATGCGCACCTATTTAGAACAGGCTTACTCTACTCTTCCCCCATTATTCAAAGTAAACTCATATTCTCGTACACAACATGCCTTCACGAAAACAACATTAAAACCTTTACCAACTGCTTTAAATTTATAAACCACAACAACCCATTACCCTTTAACGTTCTAATATCTGATTTTTTTAGAAATAGGTTATCTTTTTGTTCTCTAAAAACCTTGTCTTTCATGCATTTTCATGGTGTTCCTTTAGATACTTATGCTTTATGTAGTTCTTTGGCGGCATCATCTTCTACAAAAGAAGTTACGTTTGGTAAAGAAGTACATGCCCATGTAATGAAATCAGGTTGGTTGTCTAGTGTTTTTGTTGGCAGTGCTTTGGTCGATTTGTATGCAAAATTATCGTTTGTTACTGATGCCAAAATGGTGTTCGATGAAATTCCTGTGAAGAATAGCGTATGTGCAAATGCACTTTTATCGGGTTATTGTCAGGCTGAATTGTGGGCTGAGGTTCTTGAATTAGTTCGACTGATGCCTATATTGAAGTTAGATTATGATCACTTCACATTATCAGCAATGCTACGTGCTTGTGCAGGACTATCTGCAACTGAATTTGGTAGGCAGGTGCATGCTTATTTGATACGTAAATTCAATGAGGTAGAGAATGATGTATTTATGCAGAGTTCTTTGATTGAGATGTATGGTAAGTGTGGTTCAATGTTGAAGGCATTGCACGTATTCAATTTGGCCGGTTATAGGACAGGAGCTGAAAGAAACAAGGATGTTGTTCTCTGGACTTCAATGCTTGGTGTATGCGGTAGAAATGGACACTTTAAAGATGTGATTAAGTTATACAATGCAATGTTGAGGGAAGGAACAAAACCAGACGAGGTGGCATTTGTGACAGTAATCTCAGCCTGTGGTCACACTGGCCAAGTCAAACTTGGGATTGAGTATTTTGAATCCATGGTTCGTGATTACAATTTGAATCCTGGTCTAGAGCACTATAGCTGCTTAGTTGATTTGCTATGCAGAGCAGGTGAATTGGAAAAGGCATGGAACCTTATAAATGAGATGCTCCATAAAGGCCATGGCATAGGCAGTGTTTCTATGTGGGGGGCTTTACTTAGTGCTTGCTATGATTGTGGAAACTCTGAATTGGGTAAACTGGCTGCTCAAAAAGCTCTTCAATTAGACCCCCAGAATTCTGGAATTTACGTTATGTTATCCAATTTATATGCTAAGTTTGGTATGTGGAATGAGATTGGCCGATTGAGAGAATTGATGAAAGAAAAAGGACTGAAGAAAGATACCGGTTGTAGTTGGATTGAGGTCACAAGTTGAATGGAGTGGAATAGATTCTAAAGGAGAATCGTATTATATGACTAGGGTTTCCATTTCATTGAAGAGATGAGGTTCCATATTATGGTGCTTGCACCAGTGGTATTTGTTTCTTGAAAGCCTGAAATCTCAAGTAATCAAATGATCCCATCTAACCACTGTCGTAATCTCAAAGGCGAGGAAAAGATGAACAACTTGCATTTTACTGATTAATAATCTAAGAATTCTGCTGATTATGTAAGCTGGAGAATGCAATGCCTGAACAAGCACATGGCACTTATATCTATTAATTCTTGTTGAGGTTTCGACAGTCCTGCAAGGATAGTGAGAAAGTTAAAACTGGTTAATTGGCTGCTAAAGGGGGCAGTTAAACTGGTTCCTTAAAATGCCAGGATTGATGTCATATTATTAGATTAGTATCTAACTTTGGTTTGTGCAACAGTAGAGGTAGTTGATCCAGAATTGATCTGATATTTTGGCACCTTCAAGAATCACACATTCATGGAGTATAGCTGTGTGAAAGTAGAATCAGCAATGAAGATAAAACCTCCGTGTTCGCGTCGCAGTTCTTAGTGAAGAATAAGCTGCCAGAGATGTCCACATTCATGGAGTTTCTTTTTCTACTGCTTTATTGTATTGAACTCTGATGTAATCCTTCTTCAATCAGTTTAATTTCTTCCATTTAACTCTGGATTTATAGCAAACTCCTCTGTAAGTTCAAAACATTTTTGTAAGGTTAGGCTTATTAGGAATAACAGAAATAACTGCCAAAATAAAGGGGCCTCTTTGCAAAATTGTATTTACCGCTTTGAAGAAATTAAAAAACTCTTATATTTATAGTATGCATCAAATGTGAATCTGCCACGACACAATCGAAAGGTTTTATAGTCATTTCGAAAAATTATTGGCTTAGTTGTCAATGACATGTCCAGATCTCTACAGAGATTTCCGTGCTCTCGCTGTAGGCAAACTTTTCCCAAATCCTAACGTTCTCGAAATCAGACCCTGTAATTTCGAATACAAAAACCCTAAACTCTCCAAATAAAAACAACATTGATTCCTCAGAAGAAGAGTTTGTTTTAGGACATGATAAACAGTTCATCATCGATAAAGCACGGTCCAGATCAGCTTGAAATAAGTGGCCCCACTCTCAAATCACAACGTACCAAAATGAGCAAACCTGAAGACTCTGAAAGGAAGGTAAATAGACGGTAAAGGCTTCAATTTTCAATCCAAATTTGGACGATTACCCATTTCATACTCCACCAAAATAATGTTGCCCAGAAAGCCAAAACTGTTTTTTGAAAACGTTTTCTACCCTTGTTTACTGAAAACTCTGTTTTGGTGTCGCTTTATTTCTATCTATAATATAAAGCTGGCGTTTTTTCGTTGTAAGTTCAAATTTTGTCAATGTAACATCTTTCTGAATAACAAGATAATGTTACCCGGTAACCCAAACTGTTTTTTGAAACCACTTTTTATATTTCAAAATAAAACTTTACTTTGAGATTGCATTTACTTAAATGTGTTTCACTGAAATAATTTGAAACCGAGATTTGTTATAAGTTGAAATATGAATAATTGACATTTTCTTAATTCACAAAGTAACGAAAACTTTGTAATCCGGTGGCAAAAACTGTTTTTGCAACCAGTTTTTGAAATTTCCTCCAAAAACTCTGATTTTGAGATTATTCTTTTCTTTTTTGTGGTGTAATATTGTTGTACCCAGTTGATCTGAGTTTAAAGTTTCTTCTAAATCAAATTTTTTCGCCACACCAGTGTTACTTACACGCCAAAATTAATTTTTAAAATGCTATAGTTGCTAAACCATGAACTCTGTTTTGAAATTACATTATAGTTAATATAGTGTGGTTTTTTTAATGTGTTATGTTTCTTGTGTAGAATTTGAATAAGAAACTTAAAGATGTTGAAATTAGTGTTCCCATAGTGTACGGTAACGTTGCATTTTGGCTTGGCAAAAGAGCAAGCGAGTAAGTATCATTGTTGTTAAATGTTGCTAGTTTTATGGTAGCTTCTTTGTGCTACTTATATGTTCTTGTAAATGCTTAATTGCATTTTTTTAATGGCTAATTAGGTATCAATCTCACAAGTGGACTGTGTATGTTCGAGGGGCCACAAATGAGGATCTAAGTGTGATAATAAAACGTGTTGTTTTCCAGTTGCATTCCAGTTTCAATAATCCCACAAGGGTTTTGGAGTCACCACCGTTTGAGTTATCAGAGTCAGGATGGGGAGAATTTGAAATTGCAATCACGCTTTTTTTCCACAATGATGTTTGTGATAAGCCATTGAACTTGTGAGTTACTTTGCTTCTTATTATTATTGATTTACTTGAGCATTACTTAGCAATCAATGAATTCGTCCAGCCAAATTTGGGCGATGACAGTGTTTTCTGTATTCTCAAGAAAAGATTGATGACGAAGTTACAATAACGGATTAGAAATAAGCAATTGGTTCTGGTTATGCTTGTGAATCTGATTGTGAACATGGAGTAAATCATTACTGGTATTCAAGGAGCCAATTCCTGCTATGGCAATGCCACTTTAGCATACAGTTAAGAAAAAAAAAAAATTCACAACTTATGTGTTCAGTTGGCGGACTGTGTACCAAAAATGAATTCAATTAGATTAGTTTTAACCATGTATTTCATTAGCTATTTTTTTCATCATAGAATTCTAAAAAGTCACTGCACCTGAAAAAGAATTTGGTTGGATTTAATTGATTGAAATGATTGAAGCTGTTTGTTAATGTATATCATATTCTAAGGACAACCCATCCAGTGGTGGTGTTTGATCCTTTTTTTGATGAAGTGGGATGAATGAGTATTAAATGGAGTAGACTGCCAGAATGGAGTGATTCAGTAGGAAGTGTTAAGAGGGAGGGCGTAATCCAGGGATTTCTCCCCGTATACATTACGAGGTGAAATTAGTCATTTGTGCCAGACACCATTTTGAACATACTTCTTGCTTTTAACTGTTATCACAGACTAAGAACACTCGAACATTTTATCGAACACTTAAACCTTATTAGCCTCATCTTGATGTCAGATCAATCCCACCTTCAAACCCCAAAAACCTTTAGTTCCATCACTCAATTTTTACATAACTGCTCCCAAACAAAAAATCTAAGAGGCATTAAGACTCTCTATGCGCACCTATTTAGAACAGGCTTACTCTACTCTTCCCCCATTATTCAAAGTAAACTCATATTCTCGTACACAACATGCCTTCACGAAAACAACATTAAAACCTTTACCAACTGCTTTAAATTTATAAACCACAACAACCCATTACCCTTTAACGTTCTAATATCTGATTTTTTTAGAAATAGGTTATCTTTTTGTTCTCTAAAAACCTTGTCTTTCATGCATTTTCATGGTGTTCCTTTAGATACTTATGCTTTATGTAGTTCTTTGGCGGCATCATCTTCTACAAAAGAAGTTACGTTTGGTAAAGAAGTACATGCCCATGTAATGAAATCAGGTTGGTTGTCTAGTGTTTTTGTTGGCAGTGCTTTGGTCGATTTGTATGCAAAATTATCGTTTGTTACTGATGCCAAAATGGTGTTCGATGAAATTCCTGTGAAGAATAGCGTATGTGCAAATGCACTTTTATCGGGTTATTGTCAGGCTGAATTGTGGGCTGAGGTTCTTGAATTAGTTCGACTGATGCCTATATTGAAGTTAGATTATGATCACTTCACATTATCAGCAATGCTACGTGCTTGTGCAGGACTATCTGCAACTGAATTTGGTAGGCAGGTGCATGCTTATTTGATACGTAAATTCAATGAGGTAGAGAATGATGTATTTATGCAGAGTTCTTTGATTGAGATGTATGGTAAGTGTGGTTCAATGTTGAAGGCATTGCACGTATTCAATTTGGCCGGTTATAGGACAGGAGCTGAAAGAAACAAGGATGTTGTTCTCTGGACTTCAATGCTTGGTGTATGCGGTAGAAATGGACACTTTAAAGATGTGATTAAGTTATACAATGCAATGTTGAGGGAAGGAACAAAACCAGACGAGGTGGCATTTGTGACAGTAATCTCAGCCTGTGGTCACACTGGCCAAGTCAAACTTGGGATTGAGTATTTTGAATCCATGGTTCGTGATTACAATTTGAATCCTGGTCTAGAGCACTATAGCTGCTTAGTTGATTTGCTATGCAGAGCAGGTGAATTGGAAAAGGCATGGAACCTTATAAATGAGATGCTCCATAAAGGCCATGGCATAGGCAGTGTTTCTATGTGGGGGGCTTTACTTAGTGCTTGCTATGATTGTGGAAACTCTGAATTGGGTAAACTGGCTGCTCAAAAAGCTCTTCAATTAGACCCCCAGAATTCTGGAATTTACGTTATGTTATCCAATTTATATGCTAAGTTTGGTATGTGGAATGAGATTGGCCGATTGAGAGAATTGATGAAAGAAAAAGGACTGAAGAAAGATACCGGTTGTAGTTGGATTGAGGTCACAAGTTGAATGGAGTGGAATAGATTCTAAAGGAGAATCGTATTATATGACTAGGGTTTCCATTTCATTGAAGAGATGAGGTTCCATATTATGGTGCTTGCACCAGTGGTATTTGTTTCTTGAAAGCCTGAAATCTCAAGTAATCAAATGATCCCATCTAACCACTGTCGTAATCTCAAAGGCGAGGAAAAGATGAACAACTTGCATTTTACTGATTAATAATCTAAGAATTCTGCTGATTATGTAAGCTGGAGAATGCAATGCCTGAACAAGCACATGGCACTTATATCTATTAATTCTTGTTGAGGTTTCGACAGTCCTGCAAGGATAGTGAGAAAGTTAAAACTGGTTAATTGGCTGCTAAAGGGGGCAGTTAAACTGGTTCCTTAAAATGCCAGGATTGATGTCATATTATTAGATTAGTATCTAAATTTGGTTTGTGCAACAGTAGAGGTAGTTGATCCAGAATTGATCTGATATTTTGGCACCTTCAAGAATCACACATTCATGGAGTATAGCTGTATGAAAGTAGAATCAGCAATGAAGATAAAACCTCCGTGTACGCTTCGCAGTTCTTAGTGAAGAATAAGCTGCCAGAGATGTCCACATTCATGGAGTTTCTTTTTCTACTGCTTTATTGTATTGAACTCTGATGTAATCCTTCTTCATTCAATTTAATTTCTTCCATTTAACTCTGGATTTATAGCAAACTCCTCTGTAAGTTCAAAACATTTTTGTAAGGTTAGGCTTATTAGGAATAACAGAAATAACCGCCAAAATAAAGGGGCCTCTTTGCAAAATTGTATTTACTGCTTTGAAGAAATAAAAAAACTCTTATATTTATAGTATGCATCAAATGTGAATCTGCCACGACACAATCGAAAGGTTTTATAGTCATTTCGAAAAATTATTGGCTTAGTTGTCAATGACATGTCCAGATCTCTACAGAGATTTCCGTGCTCTCGCTGTAGGCAAACTTTTCCCAAATCCTAACGTTCTCGAAATCAGACCCTGTAATTTCGAATACAAAAACCCTAAACTCTCCAAATAAAAACAACATTGATTCCTCAGAAGAAGAGTTTGTTTTAGGACATGATAAACAGTTCATCATCGATAAAGCACGGTCCAGATCAGCTTGAAATAAGTGGCCCCACTCTCAAATCACAACGTACCAAAATGAGCAAACCTGAAGACTCTGAAAGGAAGGTAAATAGACGGTAAAGGCTTCAATTTTCAATCCAAATTTGGACGATTACCCATTTCATACTCCACCAAAATAATGTTGCCCAGAAAGCCAAAACTGTTTTTTGAAAACGTTTTCTACCCTTGTTTACTGAAAACTCTGTTTTGGTGTCGCTTTATTTCTATCTATAATATAAAGCTGGCGTTTTTTCGTTGTAAGTTCAAATTTTGTCAATGTAACATCTTTCTGAATAACAAGATAATGTTACCCGGTAACCCAAACTGTTTTTTGAAACCACTTTTTATATTTCAAAATAAAACTTTACTTTGAGATTGCATTTACTTAAATGTGTTTCACTGAAATAATTTGAAACCGAGATTTGTTATAAGTTGAAATATGAATAATTGACATTTTCTTAATTCACAAAGTAACGAAAACTTTGTAATCCGGTGGCAAAAACTGTTTTTGCAACCAGTTTTTGAAATTTCCTCCAAAAACTCTGATTTTGAGATTATTCTTTTCTTTTTTGTGGTGTAATATTGTTGTACCCAGTTGATCTGAGTTTAAAGTTTCTTCTAAATCAAATTTTTTCGCCACACCAGTGTTACTTACACGCCAAAATTAATTTTTAAAATGCTATAGTTGCTAAACCATGAACTCTGTTTTGAAATTACATTATAGTTAATATAGTGTGGTTTTTTTAATGTGTTATGTTTCTTGTGTAGAATTTGAATAAGAAACTTAAAGATGTTGAAATTAGTGTTCCCATAGTGTACGGTAACGTTGCATTTTGGCTTGGCAAAAGAGCAAGCGAGTAAGTATCATTGTTGTTAAATGTTGCTAGTTTTATGGTAGCTTCTTTGTGCTACTTATATGTTCTTGTAAATGCTTAATTGCATTTTTTTAATGGCTAATTAGGTATCAATCTCACAAGTGGACTGTGTATGTTCGAGGGGCCACAAATGAGGATCTAAGTGTGATAATAAAACGTGTTGTTTTCCAGTTGCATTCCAGTTTCAATAATCCCACAAGGGTTTTGGAGTCACCACCGTTTGAGTTATCAGAGTCAGGATGGGGAGAATTTGAAATTGCAATCACGCTTTTTTTCCACAATGATGTTTGTGATAAGCCATTGAACTTGTGAGTTACTTTGCTTCTTATTATTATTGATTTACTTGAGCATTACTTAGCAATCAATGAATTCGTCCAGCCAAATTTGAGCAATGACAGTGTTTTCTGTATTCTCAAGAAAAGATTGATGACGAAGTTACAATAACGAATTAGAAATAAGCAATTGGTTTTGGTTATGCTTGTGAATCTGATTGTGAACATGGAGTAAGTCATTACTGGTATTCAAGGAGCCAATTCCTGCTATGGCAATGCCACTTTAGCATACAGTTAAGAAAAAAAAAATTCACAACTTATGTGTTCAGTTGGCTGACTGTGTACCAAAAATGAATTCAATTAGATTAGTTTTAACCATGTATTTCATTAGCTATTTTTTTCATCATAGAATTCTAAAAAGTCACTGCACCTGAAAAAGAATTTGGTTGGATTTAATTGATTGAAATGATTGAAGCTGTTTGTTAATGTATATCATATTCTAAGGACAACCCATCCAGTGGTGGTGTTTGATCCTTTTTTTGATGAAGTGGGATGAATGAGTATTAAATGGAGTAGACTGCTAGAATGGAGTGATTCAGTAGGAAGTGTTAAGAGGGACTACTCCACCTCCCTTCTTCATCTCTCAAGAACTTTATTCTCTCTCCACCATCTCTCTTTCTCTGTACCCTTCTCCACCATGACTGTCTCCTTTGGTTAACTTTCATCCACTGCCAACCTTATTCTCCACAGAAAATGCTATCCATTACTCACCTCTTCATTAAATCAGCTTGCAGTCCAAGCCTCATTGCTTGACAATGAAGGTACACAAGGTTAGTATATGTATACATACATACATACATATATATACACCCGCACACACAAAGTAGCTTTTAGATGTAAGTCAAACAGAAGATCAACGTTGTGAAGGCCTTCTTATGTTAGAGAGAGTCCCTTTTTGTCTTTTGCATACATTAGTTGTTGTGTTGTTTGCGCAGGTGTGACTTTTAGAGAGTAATAAGCTCATGCTTGATCTTGTTTTGATAATACAAAGAGCAGTTTCTTTAGCAGCAGGGTTTTATTTTAGTTTTTTCAACAGAAATATCAAATCTCATGATCATATCATATGATTCAAAGCCACTATGTAAAAATCCAGAATTTGAAAACAACAGGATTAACTCTATTCATGTTCAAATTATGCTCAGGTTTCATCATCTGAAGTTGTACCCAGAGGATGAATCTGGTCCCATGTCCACAAAGAAGCCTGTGGTTGTTGAATCCTATGATGAGATTGTTTTCACCGAGCCTTCTGAAAGCTTTTTAGCTCGTGTGCAAAATCATCCAGTTATAACCTTACCCAGATTGCCTGCTGGTTTTACTTTACCTCCTGGTAAGTTGAAGAACTGTATTGTCTACAGATATTTTTCTCTACAATGCTTGAGATAAATAGTTGCCTCAAATTACTGTAGCACCAACTGAGGATACAAGTAAAAAGAAGAGAGGAGACACTAAAGATCATCCCTTGGGCCAGTGGTTCATGAATTTCTCAGAAGCAGATGAGCTATTACAACTTGCAGCAGCTCGTCAGCAGGTCAGCAAGAATGGAATGCTTCCCATTTTATTCACTTGTTCAATTTCTATAAAAGACTTGATATTGATGATGAAATAAGTGACTGATGGATAACATATACTTCTTGGTTTCCTTGCATGCATATATGGGGTCTATGATATATGTATTCTTGATGAAAATCCATTCATTTTATGGGTCTAGATAATGCAGTTTGTGGATACCTTTTACTACAACAGTATGCCATGTGTCATGATGCCAATTTCATCGCTAAAGCTGATTTTGTATTTTGTGGAGAAATTACATTTGGAAGGAAATTTATTTTCTTAATCACTCCATACTTTTAAGTGATCCTCAATATAGGTGCAACAAATTTGGAGTTTCACTTTTTTTTGTTCACCTTGGGGCAAACTTCTGTATCATTACAGGATTTCTTTTCCTGGTTAAATCAAGGAATTGGCCATAACCATCCTCCCTATGGATCCTACTTGTTTGTTACCAGAGGCTCTGGGTGCATGACCACCCTTGCAGCATATGGTTTTTGGTGCTTGCATGAAATAACCCTATGGATAGCTGACTGTATCCCATCTTATTTTTAACTGTTGCTTTCTATCCTTTCAATGCATGGTCATAAGTAGACCAACTTCCTAGCAGGCACAAACTTTCACCCAATGCTCACTGCAAGCTCCCTACGAACTTAATTGGCACCAGTAAATCTCTTAAAATTCAATGAACAGATTTTTGGCATGGAAATGCCATTAGCAATTTGATAGTTGTACTTATTTGTGTGGATATCAAACTATGGATCATTTTGAAAGCATTGGTTGTTGATTTCAAGCTTTTTACCCGTTTTCCTACGGTACAAATGTAACTTCAGAAGACTGGGCACTCATGGTACATAAAGCTGTATGTGCTTTCAGCATCCTTAGGGCTGGATTATGTTCATCAGTAGTTGAAGAGTAATAAAGAGATCATAAAATTTTTCATGTGAAGGGGCTAAATAGTTGTTAAAACTCTTTTAGTATAACATTCTTTCATCTATCTAATGAACTTGTGAGAAACTATTGATAAGTCGCAGCTCTATAGTTCATACGTATGTCCTCTGATGCTTCAAAGTATGTTGCTTCCATTTAATGATCCAAACTACCACTATGTCTACTTTAGACTTGTTTTCAGCACTAGAAGGATGACTAAAGTGATGGAAAACAACATATGTACCAATTGATAAGACCAGTTGCTGAGAAATGAGTCAGATTGTGAAGATTGGAACAGCAGCACAAGATCAGTTGTCAAAGCCATTTCCCAGCAATATGTCTACTTGAGACTTGTTTTCAGCACTAGGAAGGATGACTAAAGGGGTGGAAAAAAACATGTATACCAATTGATAAGACCAGTTGCTGGGAAATGAGTCAGATTGTGAAGATTGGAACAGCGGCGCAAGATCCAATTGTCCATATATAGTTGGTCTCACATGATTTTCTTGATAATGTCTCTGCCATATGATTTACTGAACACCTTGACTGTGCTCTACATCAGAAAGTATAGAATTGGTTATTAGTACAGGGTTTTCTTCCTTTCTTTTTTCATAGATTTCAAAGTCTTATCACTTCAGTTGTTATGAAGGCAAGTCTTCATAGGGCATTATCTGAAAGGCCTGCTGTTGTTTTGATCAACATTTTATTCATTTCTGTGTTTCAGAAGTTATACATTAGCTGTGTACTCATGATTTATCTGGATGCAGCCTTATTTTGATTAACAGTGCATCGAGGAATTTTATTCAAGTTCTATATATCTTAGTTATAAGATAAACTGTTTCACGATTTCACAGATATCTGGAAGTTAAATATCTTGACGTGTAGCTCCTCTGTGTTAGGTGCAAGCTCATATTGCAAAACTGAGACGACAGATAAGTTTGATAGATGGGCAGCAGCAACAGTTGAGATCAACCTCAGACCAGTAACTGTATATTACTCCTGCAATTTTTGGAGATGTCTACTTCAAATTGATTTTGCAGCAAAGCCATGTGATAGCATAGGAATGTACCATTGATATTTTTTTTCTTGGGTATCAAGAGTTTTGTTCCTTTTGCTTCTTAATTTCTTTTTCTCTGTGGTTGCCTTTATTTGACAATTTTGCTCTGGTTGATTAACAAAAGAAATAAAAAACAAGAATTATTTGAGTAATAGAGAGGTTAAATATTTTTGAAGTAACTGCATTTTCATATGGAATGCTGAGATAAAGATTAGTGCTCTCCCAAGTGAATAGGATTTGACAGCTGAATGGACTTTACTTCACTACTCCCTAATGATTTGAAAATGTCTCTACACGAAATCAAGTAATGTTGATCTGTATTTGAGAGCTGATTAAACCAGCCACCAAAGTTAGAATCTTAGTTGAAGTGGGTACCAAAACTTGTACCATTGAAGTGGTCCTCAATGAAATTATATACAGTACATATCCGTAAAAGCTGAGGCGAGGAGTGAGGAGCATTAACTGGTACATCTGTCCTTTTGATTCCTTCACATAGTGGTAAATTAAAATGGGGTCATCAGTTCTGGCTTTTGGTTGGGGTCCTGCATGTGCTGTCCTGGTCATTTCAATATAATTCGATTGTGACTCTCATCTCTCCAGGTACAACCCTTTTCCTTAAATCTCTGAAGTCCTCTTAATTTTTGTCAACCAGGTCCACTCAAATAATTTCAACAACTTCATAATGCCCATCTTTACCTGGGATTCTAAAGCTCAAGCTACTAATCCCATTATTAGTCTTGGTTTAATCGTCATTTCAATTGTTTTTCTTTTCTTTTTTCTTCTTTGTGTGTGTATTTTTTTCAACTTTGGCATACAGCAAGTCACACCTAATGATTAACTTCCATCTTTTCACATACCAATCTCTGTTCCTCAAGGCTTGTGTTTCGAGTTCGACCTTGACCCCTTTACATCCCATTCCCATGTGAGAGTGCCTGGTTTTGCCTCTTTATACTTTGGTGGCATCACCATCTGTTATCTAATCAAAGTCTGTGCAGATATATATGACCTCATCAAGAATTTTTTTTCAGTCTTATTAATGTTTTCACATGCTTCTGTTAACCAAATTCTTCCCTGTTATTCTTTTTCTTCCTCTTGTTTTCTACTAGAGCTGCAGGGACTTTATGACTTATCATTCCAACATCTCCATACAACCCACTTGGGGTTGAATTCATTCATATACGAGTCCTATTCTCTTCAATTAATGTTCTAATTCCATACATCGAATATGAAAAATGCTCTGGTTTTCAAATTTGCATCTCAAGTGATGTGACATCAATCAATGACGTTTAACTTACCAAATTTGTTTCATCATCCGCAAGACAATGCATAATGCATTATCCTTATCCAATAAAATTGTCAATAGTCATTTAACTTCCATTGTCTAATATATCCATGGATTATGTAAATTATCCTTTTTTTTTTTTTTTTTTTTTTTTGTTTGGTATCTGGAGGTTATCCAGGTCAGTTTATGTATATCTCAATTAGTCCCTCAAGACCCTGAAATTACCAGTCAAACAAGCTTCCAATAGATACCCCTTATTAGTAGTCGTGGGGATTCAAACTCGGGACATCTTGAATCATACATCCAAGAGTCCCAAGCGAACTGCCAAACTGCCTAGAGTTAGTTGAGAACAATCCTTTCATGCCATGGCATGACATTAACAAGTCCAAATATAAATTGAATCTTGCATCACGCCATTGATTCGGGATAGAACTAAGAGAAAAGACAAAGATAGCTTATGAAATAAAGTTACTTGAGATGATATGGGTTATAGTTACTATGAACAATAGGAGTTTGGAATGATCTCACAAAGACCTTGTCTTTACAAGAGAGTTTTGGGAGCAAGAGTAACATGGGGTTGCATGTGCTAAAAAAAGGCTAAGTCATTATCAACCATATATACAAAATGTCATGGCCTTATGCAATATGCTAACCTCTTGGCTCTCGCCTCAGAAGGGGCACCGCATTTCGGTGAGTTAGAGGTGGGCCTTCATCTCCTTTCTGTTTTTTATCATTTATCCCTTTCCCCCAACCAATCTCCTTCACAGAACATGCCTGCACTTATTTCTAAGACGGTGACCTATGCTTATTTACTTTCTTTTTCTCGTATAACATTATGAAATTTGATGGATCTTGTTAAAGAAAAATCTCATGTTATAAGAGTATAATATATTATCTATAGGTTTTTCAAGAAAATAGAAACAATAGTCGATTGTATTTTATTCCAATCATTGACCAATTCTATCATTTTATCATACTTAGGTAGCAAAGTGTTAGGCAGATGGTAATGGATTTGCCCAGATGAAGGAATGTAGGCAAAGTTATAGTAAAGTTAACTTTGTTAAGACTGAATTTGCAATATCATGAACATACTGAGGATGGAGAGAAACAAAAAGAGAAGACACAAAAGCAGGACATTGCCGTCTGAAGCATTAAATCCATAGGCTTTTCACAGATCATTTTATGAGCCTTAGAACATGAAGCCAGGCTTTGAAGATATCAGTGATGCACAATATTTTTAAATTATGTCTGATTAGAACTACTCTTTGTATTTGGTGGTGGTGGTGGTAGGGGTGGGGGTTGCTTCAGGACCACAAATTATGGAAGCTCTCTCTTGTTGGGACACTCATTTCATCTAACTAACACTTCAAAACTAGATAACAACCATGTGTATAAGCTGGATATTTTAACATGAGCCATTTTTTTTTTTTTTAAAAATGAATAAAAATTTTGCCGAAAACCCAGAATCTAAATCTCTTGATGGGAGGAGGAACACAAGTAAAAATGAAAGTAGTAATGAAGTCAAAAGGTGTAAAAAATGAGCAGTAAAATACACATGGGTTTCTGCAAGAAAACTTTTGTTCTGCTTGGAGAAAGTGTTTTCTTTATCTGATAATCTACAGAAGAATCACAATTCACAAAACAAAACAAGCAGAAAAAACCAAACTGTCAACAGTTTTGTACTCTCCAGTACAGTTACTATTGGCCCGTGATTTTAGGTAGAGAGAGTTAATTTAGCAATGAATTAAGGAGAATCATTTATAAATCAGTAAAAAGTAAAGACTAGAATTTGAATGCCCCATTTGTTTTATCTTCATAGCCAATATATCCGTGACTTTGAGTAGCCCCATTTCAACAAAATTATGAAATCACAAAACAATAACTAAAATAAACTACAGAAGATCTACCTTTTAATATAAGACAGAAAACTTCTGAAAGTAGCTGATATGATTAAAGAGAAACATAGAGAATCATATTGAGATTACACCTTGGATCAAAATTGTAAAATAACATGGGTACTGCTAAAAGTTAAAACTTTTTCTGAACATAACACAGAATGTTTGATATTCTTGCTTAAATAAATCAATTAAGCTAAGCTAGCTAGTACTGGATGGCAGTTACAAGGTACAATATATTATAAATATAAAGAGGGTTTGTGATTAAAACTCAGAATCATATCTTCAAAATGAGCTGAACCTTAAACTTATAAAGCAGGTAAAAGACCAAATAGGTTGTTCTTGTTCTTTCTTTTTGGACATATAAAACATTATTCAAAGGGAAAGAAAGAAACAAATATGGAGAAGTTTAAGTTGGTTTTGAAATATGAAGAAGGAGCATTGATGAGAAAGGGAAAGATGAGAGAAAATAGACAAGGGAATAAAGATTTGATATTTAGTAATACTAGAGCCTTATAATTAGCCTATATCAAAGAGAAGAGGGTCCATAGTGTCATTAGGAGGAGCAACAAACAATGGTTAACCAAATGGCTTTGGCTCCCACCATGTCTTTTACTCTCTTACACAAACCCCATAACACCCGTGCTATGTCTTTTACTCTCTCTCTCTCTCTCTCTCAATCTCTTAATAAATACCCCCTTATCATCCCCATTCAACTTCAACACAACACCTCTACTTGCTTTTTTCAGTCTTTTATCTCTCTCTTTCTCTCAACTTTCAAAAAATGGCCATTAGAAAGTCACACAAGTTGACACAACCAGCAGTATTGAAGCAAATTCTGAAGAGATGCTCAAGCTTAGGGAAGAAGCATGGGTACGATGAAGATGGGCTTCCAGTTGACGTACCAAAAGGTCACTTTGCAGTTTATGTTGGTGAAAACAGAAGTAGATATATTGTTCCAATCTCATTCTTGACTCACCCTGAGTTTCAATGTTTACTTCGACAAGCTGAAGAAGAGTTTGGGTTTGATCACGATATGGGCCTCACTATTCCTTGTGAAGAAGTCGTTTTTCGCTCTTTAACTTCAATGCTTAGATGAAACAAAATTATTAAAGAGTGTGGTTTGCTTGGAGAAGATGATCTCTAAGATGAAGCTAGCTAATCAACACATCCACTTTTGCTAGCTTCTCTTTTTTTTACCATCTTCTTCATTGTAATTTCTTGATGATCTCCATGGTTTTTTTTCTTTGTTTCTTTTATTTATTATTATTATTTTTTTCACTTTCGTCCCAATTCATTTGGGTTTTCAATGTTTAGAGACTCTAACTTTAATGTACCCTGGGTTAGACTTGTAAAAAGTGTAAGGGTTTTCCTCATAGATGGATCATGCTCTGTGAGAGAAGTTAATGTTAAGGAAAATTAAGCAAGCAGATTTGGATTTGCCTTCCTCTCTCTGTCTCTCTGTCTGGTTTAAGTGATTCAGATGTATGCATGGCTTGAAACTTGGGCAAAAACAACATCTTCAGTCAAATCTAATCAAAGAGACATACGTACATGTATAACTTTATATTTTTTTCTTCAAAAGAATGTGGATCTACATATACATATATAAAACATAACATTTAGTTTGTCAGAGAGAATCTGGTGTACGTTAATATGTACGGATCTTCGGCTTTCAGGTTACATTTTCAGGTTATAATAAAGAATGTGAAATGTCGGTTTTATTATTCAATGATCTCTCTCTTTCTTCGGAGTATGCAAAGCAAGAAAATTTTGAAGGGTTAATATTAAAAGTCAAGTTGAATGGTCATGTGATCACACTGACAGTCTCTTTTACCAAGTTTGAAACCATTACATGTTCACTGCTACTCATCACACCAGTAAGTACTGCGCTTGTTTTTATTACGAGTAAGCTGGCATGCATTGGATGCGACCATACCAACACGAATCTTATCAGAAAGGTTAAACGGATACTATCAGAATTCTGAAAGTAAGTGTGTATGGGCAAGAGCAACACTAGGATGATATTGCACCCTTTTTTTATTAAAAACGATCACTGTAAGGCTGATGGTAAAAAAACAAAAAAATATTTCATAAACTCTAGAGGTTGAGTCATTACAAGATGATTACCGAAGAACTTACCTAATTGTTAACTTTAAAACCCTAAAAGGTTAGTTAAATTATGCAGATACTGACCCAAACATCCGCTTACCAAAAAGAAAAAAGAAAAAGCTGGCATGCATTTTGATTATATTTTGTTCTCGGGTTTGGGATGGAATCTCATTTGAATATATCAAATCAAATGAACAGAATGATTAATTTGAGATATAAAATGGTGGGAACATGCGCTGCAGTCTGCACATGCTTGTGTACCATTTGTCCTATATATATATATACACACATTATACAAGCAGTTAATCTGCATGAGTGGAATTAACCGAAGGAAATATAGAATACATATGCATATATGGCCAGCAATGAAAATAGTTCTTAAATGTCACTTAATTGATAGCCTTTCTCCCCATTTGCTTCCATTAATGGAGCAGATTTATATATCCTCGGCTATCGTTGTTGAAAGAAGAAGATGATTTGTTTTGTTTGCTCATAATAATAAAGAAACAGTAGTAATGGTTATGTAGATGGATTGCTTTTGAGTATTATAAAGGACAAACAAATTCGGGACAGAAGAAACCTAATCCACCCGTGAGTTTATTTGGTTTAGAATCACAACAGAGGAAAATGAAAAATATCTACCCATGCCGATTGACAGATACTATAACATACAATTTTTTAAGTTCCTCTTTCCAAGCCCGTTCATTAATTTTCATGCAATATTAATATGTATTAACCGGGGCCGACGGTTAACTAAGACACTTAGATATATTAATCAAAAAAATTTGAGTTCGATTCACTTGGGTTGCTAATGGTAAGGGTGTTCAGTTCCGGATACCCTATATTTTTTGAAGGAACCAGAACCGATAGTCCCTTGAAATTTGAAACTAGATGGTTCCGATTTTGGTTCTGGTTACCCTGTAAAATTACAAGGACCCCCCAAAAGTTTTTAAAATGCCCCCCTCCCCCACCTAGCACTTGTTAACAAAAATAAAATTACAAATTATAAATTCAAAATTATAAACTCCATTACTTTGTAAAGATAGATTCTCAAAAGTTAAACCAACTTACTTTAAATGTTATGAAATATAAATATAAATGTATTCACATTACTTTTTCTACAAATNGCTTGTTTTTATTACGAGTAAGCTGGCATGCATTGGTTGCGACCATACCAACACGAATCTTATCAGAAAGGTTAAACTGATCCTATCAGAATTCTGAAATTAAGTGTGTATGGCCGAGAGCAATACTAGGGTGAGTGACCTCGTGTGAAGTGAAATCCTTATATTGCACCTTTTTTTTTATTAAAAACGATTACTGTGAGATCTGATGGTAAAAAAATTAAAAAATATTTCATAAACTTCTGAGTTTGAGTCATTAGAGGGATGATCACTTAAGAGTTTACCTAATTATTAACTTTAAAACCCTGAAAGATTAGTTAAATTATGCACGTACTGACCCAAACATCTGACAGGTCAGTACGTGCGTTACAACACAGATCCGACGGGTCTGTGTCGTAACACAATTTTTCGGCTAGATTCCGGCCGTGGTGGCCAATGGTTCTGGGTACCCTGTAAACTTATAAGGACCCCCCAAAAGTTTTTAAAATAGCAAAAAAACTCTTAAAAACTTACAAATACACCCCTGGCACTTGTTAACAAAAATAAAATTATAAATTCAAAATTACAAACTTCATTACTTTGTAAAGGTGGATTCTCAAAAGTTAAACCAACTTACTTTAAATGTTATGAAATATAAATATAAATGTATTTACATTACTTTTTCTACAAAAGTTTTTATTAACCCCCCTAATCTTTAATTTTATTTTATATTAGTCTCAGTTTCTGGTTTCTGGTTCTGGTTTCGGTTCTGGTTCCTAACTATAGGAATTGAAACCAAAATCGGAACCTACCTGTTGACGGTTGGTCCTAGGTAAGAACCGAAACCAAACCCCAGGTACCCACCAGTTCCAGTTCCAACCGGTTCTTTTGAACACCCCTAGCTAATACGGTGGCCAGTGAAGGATTTACTTGGCTATCAACTTCAGGGTCCTGAAATATTAATTGAAATACGTGCAAACTGACATGAACACCCCTGGTCACAAAAAAAAAAAAAAAAATTAATCTGTATTTGGAAATGGAAGGTACAGGAATAGGACCAGTTGAGAAAGACGGAAGCAAATTAATTCTCTGCCTCTGGTTAGCTGGTCCTCTTTTCTCTCCACTCTTCTTTAACTTTGAGCCACTCACTATTCTTTCATATTACTCTTAAACTCCCTTTGCCCCAAAAAGAATATCTTCTGTTCATGTGAGAAGAAGAGAGAAGAATTTCCTCATCCTCACAAATTCAATTTATAATTATCTCTTTTAATTTCCATTATTGATTTTTGCCATACCATACTATCATACTGTTGTTTCATGCCACGCCCATTTCTCTTTCTCGTGGGTCTTATTTGTCTTCTTCACTTACTGTATCTCTATCAGTAATTTATTCTGCAACCTACACTTTATTCTTTCTCCTAGTTTGATAACATTAATAGAATTTTATTACCATGATTCAGATGGAATGTCATAATATAATAATGCAGTTGAGTAGCCATAGAACATGGAAACTTGAACTGAAGTTTCGTAAATTTAGCGTACTCAGAGTACTTCACCTGAAAGTATATACTTTATAGCAGATAATGAAGCCAATTATTTAACATCTGCACCTGTCGGTATCGGAAAAGTATCCAAACGACCATCAGGTGATTTAGCAGTCAATCAAGATTCTTAAATGTATTATGCAGAGGTTTTTAGTTCAATCTATATGGATTGTTAATAAGGATGATTATTGAAAAGATTTACTCAACTGTTAATTTCAGGATCACAAAGAATTTATTGAGATATGCATAAACTAGTTCGAATAGCTCCAATCAAAAAAAAAAATAGTTAATTCGCGATGCTTAGTCCAGATCTACTCATCATTCTATAGCTCTTGTATGTTACAGTAACATTGTGTACAAGATTGAATTAAAAAGTGAATGGGATGAATTATAAACCTAAAAAAATACGTGTTGGTATGTAAGTTCATGTAATCAATCAATATGCCCATTTTAATCAAGGGGGAGACAGATTTGACAAGTACCAGTTAATGCATGGGTTGATCGATCAAAGAAAGAAAGGAAAACATTAAAAGCTGCCAGGTGGGCTTGCATGTTTTTTCTGCATATTGTCCCCATTGTCTCTCTCCCAAGCTCTACGTAAATTCATGGAAGGAGCTGCTCTATACCCATTTCTGCTTAATCAAACCAAATTAAATCAAATAATATAATCCAATCATGTCATTACATCACATCATTAATTATTAATCTCAAGTACTTCATTATTTATCTAAATTAATTAATAATGCACACCCATCAGAACAGAAGTGGTGCCATTTATGTTTATAAGTAGATGAACAATATAATCAAGTGATACAGTAGATGATTAAACCTGTCCCTTAACTATCTATGCTTGCATCAAATCAACTTCTGTGTTTTTCCCTCGTGGAATCATTCTAAAGTACGTAACTTCCACAGTAAAAGGGCGAGACATGAATGACGTTTTGATTTTTACACAACACATTTCACCATGAGATTGTTGCACAGAAGAAACCAGCGTACAGAAATGTCACAGAATTGGCTTCGTAATAATTTTTTTTATAATAAAAAAATATATGGAAGAGCATCAGAAAAAATTACCATGACAGAAATATATATACTGTGAGGGAAAGAAGTTGATGGAGATGAGTTGGATGGTCTGTTTGGTTGCATCCATGCGGCCAACTTTGCCACAGAAGCAAGCAACAAGGTCTGAGAAATGGCGATAATAAATCAAAGCAACGTACTTAGTTACAAGCTGATAAATATATATATATAATTTGAAAAGACGTAGTCCAAAATAATCCTTATACAAATAAAAAAACGAAAAAGCACAGAGAGAATCTGATGATAATCATGATCTGAAGCTGTCTTCAACCCCTTGCATTAAAGATCATCCTACTCATAGCCAACAATGAAACTTAAATAAACAATTCCAACAATCGGATGAAGATGAAACAACAGGTTTTGTTTAATTTAGTTGTTGGTAATGTTAAAAAACATTAGAATATAGATAGTTATATATAAAAAAAAAAAAAATGCATATATGTCTGTGTTAGTTGATGTGAGGGTGAAGAACAAGTATAGGCCGTGATGAAGGAGAGGTGGGGTGCAATTTGTAATGTGGGGAAAACATGTTGGGGTCAAAATATATTTGAATAGATACTGTGAGTTGGCATTGTCGGGTTATTGCATTTGCATACATGTTACCAATTTAACCCCCCTAATGGTCTTATAGTTAAAGAGCAAAAGGGTCTAATATAGGTTCATAAATTCGAGTTCTCACAAACTCTAATAGGGGTAAACATTGAAAAGATTTATCCGATCGTCAATTTCAAAATCACAAAGAATTAGTTGAAGTACGCGTAAACTAACTCAGATCTGCTGAGTTACAGAAATTAATTAAAGCAATGTCATTTTCTTTGGTATAAATATTGAGTAATTAAAGATGGCATTGAAGTGTAAGGTTGGTCCCCAAACAAGTTGGGTTGGCAATATCATTTTCAGGAAAAGAGAGAGGGACAAAATTGTGTTATTGATAAAGTAGTAAAGTACGAATCTGTACTGGGCCTGTAAAATAAAGCAAAATCTAATTTGTTGATTATGATGGGGATGAGAAGCACGTGATTACTACCCCACATAAGGTCCCATCTAATCAGCATGATGAAACTGTATAATAAAAATTAACCCTAATGTTAAATCTACAAGGCACTAGCACAATTTTTTTTCACAATCCTCAATGTGACAGTTCATCATTAATTAACTTATAAAATAGATCTCATCTTCTTGTATAGGTCCCGTTTACCCATTTACGAATGAAAAATGATAGAGTTATCGAAAAGTGTATACCGAAATTGTGCACCGAATGACGTAACAAAATCCTGACCATTGATTAATATTAACTTATAATGAATCAACGGTCAGGATTTTGTCACGTCATTCGATGCACAAATTCGGTGTACACCTATCGGTAACTGTAGCATTACTCTTTACAAATTAACCAATAACAAACTGCTACGTCGAAGATTACAGATTTAAGATTATTGTTGTTATTGGTTAATGTATCGATTGATTGAAACGAAGAACAGTTTGTCATGGACCTTGGGAGATGACCTAAACTTAGGTGCTGATGGGCCGAATCACTGTTACTATTGGGCTTCATTAGCTGCTGATCGGCCCAATCAGTGTTCCTCTTGGGCTTTAGTCCCTCTCAAATAAAATAATAAATCTTATCCCTAATCTTGCATAAGGATAGGATACCATAAAGCGAAGCTTCACTTCCATCACATTCATAATTAATATTTTAAATGTTACTTTACCATGATTAAAAGAATATTGTTAGATTTAATAACAATAATAACCTAAGTTGAAAATGGAAGGGAATGAAGACAAATCAAATCCGCCATCAATGGAGCATCCACTTTTCTAATCTATATTAGGAGTAGCAGGTTAATGATTAACAAAACATAATTAGTATGTCCATTAGAAACATAGTGTTACCATATATACTCGGTTTATTTTTACAAACTTCACCTATAATCTCGATGTGGTAGCTAAGTTTGCACTGTCACGTCAGCTCCACCACACTGAAAACACAAACAATAATTTTGATTAGAAAAAAAAAAGAACCACCACACTGAAGACACAAACAATGATTTTGATTAGAAAAAAAAAATTGGTCCTTCGATAACAATAATAACCTTGAGTTGAAAATGGAAAGAAATGAAGACAAATCAAATCCGCCATCAATGGGGCATCAACTTTTCTAGTCTATATTAGGAGTAGCAGGTGAATGATTAACAAAACATAATTAGTATGTCCATTAGAAACATAGTGTTACCACAACTTTAATTAATGTTACGTTTACGGTCTATTTTTACAAACTTCTCTTATAACTTTGATGTGACAGTTGAGTTGTCATTATCACGTCAGCTCCACCACACCGAAAGCACAAAAATAATTTTGACTAGACAAAAAAAATGGTATTTTCTCACAAAAGAAATGACTATTTCTTACTAAAGAACAATCGTTCATTCATGATTGTTCATTTTTAATAGTGCTTAGGATATCTTGAGCTAACGTGACAATATCAATATGTTGTCATATTAAGGTTGTAAAAGAAGGTTATTGTCAAGTTAAAATTGTAAAAAAATATCGTGAGATTTAGTTGTAAAAGTAGCATTTTTCTTAATTAATTAATGGATAAAGATTGACTCACAATTCAATCTGATAAACTTTTTCTTATAACCCCGACGACAGCTCGCAAATAAATAAGCAGGATCTATTTATAAACTGACCAATTTTGAACTGTTATGTCAGGATTATTATCCATAATTAATTATAATTAGGGTGACAAAAAAGCAAAAGCACTTGTCACCTTTTGTTCTTTTATTTTTTTTTTTCTACGGATAGTACTACTGTACTACCTTATCTTTTTTATTTAATTTAATCCCTAATTACTTTAACTTTATCAATCGGACATGCTCTGTCTCTCCTATTCACCGTTCCACCACCTTTTAATACTAACACTATTAATATGCTTTTTTATTTTATTTTTAAAATAAATAATTACTAATATTTTATGAATACATGATTAGGAATAAACTTCAGTAATTTCTTGTGATTATATCAAAAGGATAATATAATAAATGAATATAACAGAATTCCGTTGCTTAATAATGTTCATTAAATATTTCATTAATAACAATTCCTACAATTAGTCACTCAATTTACAAGAGATAATTATAAAATACTCTCAACACCACCCCACGCTCCTCCTCCGTTTCAACTCGGGATGACTCAACCTATTATTCGGCCATCTCCTTAAAATAAAAATAAAAAAATAAAAACTTAAAAAAAAAATAGTAAATAATTAATTAATATTATCTCCTAACAATTTCAAACTCAAAATATGTTGATCTGTTTGTTAGTCTTCCTCCCACAACTCGGTGACTCGGCTGAGTCAACTCAGCCCGGAGCTAGCTTTTCCACATCGAGTCGCTCCTTTTAATATACTGATTTATTATCGGCAAACCCGCGAAGCAACGGCCCTGATTCACTGAAAAACTGAAGGTTATCCCTCATGCTGACGTGGCAACACCTATGAAAATCCTCCAGACTCAAGTAGCGACCCGATTTACCGGATTCAGTTCGGGCCATGACCCGGAGAACCTCTTCGAACATTAACTCATCACACGGGATGGTCAACGGGCCAACGTTGCTGAACCCGTACTCCTCTTCGGCTTGTACGAGGAGTTTCTTGAAGATTGGGTGGTTCAGGTACGTTGCGCGCACGATAAACCTCTTGCAACTGGTCCCGACACACACCGCCACGTGTCCAGCAGGAACATCGGAAGGCGCACGGGAGGCGGCCACACGGGCCTTCTTACGCCAGTGCTTTAACATCTGCCGGATCCTGACAATGTGACGGATCTTGTTGCAGTTGGACATTTTTCCAGGAAGAAGAAAAAAAAACAGAGAACAGGGCGAGAAGCGAGGAGTGACGAGTGACGAGTGAGTAAAGTGGTTTGGAGTTGTTGAGGAATAATGTTGGGCAGGGCGGGTCTTATAACTAGAGAATAGAAGTAAAAGACGAAAATAGCCTTGGAGATTGAGATATTGACGAGATTGTGTCTGTTGTTTGAATTGGAGTCAAGGCCATGTGAGGAAAAGGCCTTAGAAGAGAGTAACGTGGGATTAATTAAGTTAAATAGAAGGTTAAGTTAGGTTTAGAGTTTTTTTTTTTTTTTTTCTTTTTTTTGTAATCAAGGGTGTCCGGGTTAGTTTATGTGCACCTCAATTAATATCCTAAGACCTTAAAGTTGACAATCGGATAAATCTTCTCAATGACTATTTTTATTAGTAACCTAGATCGATCGAACTTAGAATCTCTTCAGTAATACACCCAAGAGTTTTAATTAACCGTTAGGCCGTCCAGTGTTGGTTAGTTAGGTTCAGAGTTGGTTGATGATTAACTGAAATGGCATGTTGTTGTATGTGTTTAGCGAGAGAATAAAACAGGATTTGGGAGCAAAAGATTTTTGTTTCAAATTAATAATTAATTTATTAATATTTACTACAGAATAAAGTGTTACCTTGAGATCTCAAAATTGTGTAATCCAACTCTAAATCTAAACCTTCCATTTTCCTTGCACTATCAATTAATTAATTAAGGGTTAAGTATGAATTATGAAATTAATATTGTAGTAGATTCTATTCTATTAATGAATGATAAAGTGTTGAGATAGAGTTACCATATTTTAATTTGGATCCAAATGAAATGAAATGATTTGATTAGATTAGATTCTCTTTGTCTCTAGAACTAGTTAAATCATATGCATTCTCTCTCTCTCTCTCTCTCTCTCTCTCTCTTGTTAACCGAGGGTGTTCAAGCCTTTCAGACCAGTTTACGCATACTTCAACTTATCTCTCAAAGTTCTGAAGTTGACAATCGGATAAATCTCCTCAATGATCACCTCTATTAACAACTCAAATTGATCGAATTCAAAATCTCTTGAGTAGTACACCAAAAAACTCCAATTGATCACTACACCACCGATGGTGATTCATATGCATTCGTTCTCTTTTTTTTTTTTTTTTTTTGAACAGGGGCATCCGAACCAGCCTGCACGCACTTTAACTAATCTCTCAAAGTCCAGAAGTTGAAAGCCGAGTAAATCCTCTCAGTTATCACCCTTATTAGCAACTCAAATGAATCAAACTTAAAACTTTTTGTATAATACATCTAAAATTCCCAATTAACCGTTAAACTACCCAGTGGTTAGTTCATATGTGTTCATTCTCATTTGGCGATATAATTTAATTTTGTTGCATGTGCTAATCATCATTAATAATACTAATCATTTTAATAGAAATAATTTATATTAAAGTTTCAAATTAACCGTCGGAGTCAAGGGACACTTTTACGGTACAGGTCACAAGTTGTACCTAAAACATTTTTAATTATCTAAAAAGGCCCCTTTACTTGATATTATTTACTTTTACCTCCTAAAGAAACGTAAAATATGTATGATTTGTCCTTGTAAAAGTTAATTAATTAATTAATAATCTCTTTAATGAGTGGTTGTTGAAGTAACCTTAACACTTACTACAATTAGTGACCAAAAATAAAATTAATTAATCCCATGATCTGCTGTCCCCCTATTGTCTTTTTATTAACCGAGTAATGGTGATTAAATTAGTAAATCATTAAAGATTTAGCGAATATATGCTGGGGCCTGTTAATGGACTGATTAGATGACTTCTTTTGGATCTAATTAGAACTCAAAACCACTTTTCCAGCAGCTCCTTGTTTGGATACAAAAGTGATTGCTGCCAGGACAAGCAATGTAAACTGCTTAATATTAAAGCCATGACTGCCGCTTGCTATAACCTACCCAGTAACATTATGCTTTCTTGTTTTATATAGAGCAATGTTCTGAAAACCGGACTGGATCATCTGGTTAGACTGGTTTAACCGGTAACCAGCGGCATATCCAGTCCAGAATTATGTAAAAACCGCTATTTGCGTTTAAACCGGATCGGGCCACGGTTCGACCGTTGGAATAGTGCCAAATCGCGGTCCAATCGTGGCTGAATCCCACCAAATTTTGGCACCAATCGAGGGAGAAAACATCGTTATTAGACTTGACGGCATCTCCACGACGAAACCCAACCATTTTCAGTGGCCGTCGTCTAGCCTTCGTCGGTCGCCGTCCACCTGAACTTCATGCGACCGTCGGACTTCTTTTGTTGATTTCGGCGATTTCTAGCGCCAATGGAACTCCCTAGCACCACCATCAGATTCGTCGGCACGTATACATCAAAAGCCCCATGATTCCAAACCTCGATTGACCGTCGATCGTCACTGCCGCCACCATCACCGACAGGGGTGTTTTGGATAGATTTCAAACCTTAAAGGAGTATTATATGGGTGTTTTTGATACATTTTAAACATTCAGGGACTAAAAAAATTTTACAGAATACAGTCCAACCGACTGATCCAACCGGTCAAACCAAAAACCAGACCCTTGAACGGGTCATGGTCCAGTCCGATTTTCCGAACATTGATATAGAGTAAACGATTTTTTCTCACCCGAATAATGACTTAATGACACATTCTAAATTTATATTTTGTTTCGATTCTGGTATCGTTGCGACCCCACACCACTACCATTCTCTTCTTCGATCATCACTCATTAAAACTCCTCAAACTCTACTCCCGTCAATCTCGTCAATCACCGATAATCAAGCGATTAAGGTTTGCATAGCTACCCCTCCCGAATCAAATTCTGATCAATCCCAACCATCAAAAGACTCATTGGTTTCCCCTCTTTAAAAGCTACAACAGTCTGGACTGAGTTTATATTTTTGTTCACTATCAAAATATAAATTTGGATAATTAAATGATATTTTAAAAGTCTATAGGTAGAAAATATTGTCATTAAGCCGTAATTTAGGGGAGAAAAAATGGTTAACTCTCGGGACACATCACTTTAACTTAACCACTGCCAAATTGGTTACTTTAATAAGTGCTTTTGAAATTGCTATTACTAGACTCTGAAAAAATGATACAACTGGCGATAAAAAAAAAAAAACAAAAAGCACAAGAATCGATTAGCATAGGAATAGCCGAACAGCATAGTCAATGCTTTGGCTTTGAATATTTGTTATGGGCAGAAAGGCGGAATCAATGAAGCCTAACATTTCAAACTAATACCCAATCTGTGAATTGCACCCAACAACCTTTGTATCTTTTCATTCTAGTCCATCTGAAAGTACTGGTTGTGGTCCATTAAGACTGATATTGTTGACCATTCCTATGAATTGATAAAAGTGACTGATATCAGAAATTTTTACTAATGCTTCCTTCCTTCTCCCTCAACCCAGTTCATGTACCACCGCTCTAAATCAAAACTATTCCTGAAAACGAGAGTTGTAGATGTAACTTAACTTATTCTTCCTCTCTGTGGCCAAAAAACAAATCCCAGAAACTGTTGAAATCATCAGCCATTATTGAAACTGTTTGTTTAAAGCAATGGGGTGATATTTTCTGTTGACATAAATGGAGTTAAAAGAAAATATATAGTTAGACATAAATAATTGTACCAACTGTTTAAAACTGTCTGACCAGTTACATGAACAAAACATAAATATAATTGTTGACCCCATTGTTTAAACACACCATATCTTTTTATGAAGATTTTTTATTCTGTGTATGAAGATTTGTTTTCTTTCATAAAATAAAACTTTGCATCACTCATGATCTGTTACTCCAAATCCGACACAATCAACTTTAAACACAGTTCACAAACTGCAGGAACAGAAGATGCAGAGATATGTAATGTATATAAACTATAATTAAAATATCAAATATTATAATGAAGTAAGCATCCATAACTTGAAATATTCTTGGCTTAAAGAAATAGAGAAGTAAAGAGAAAGTGAGATGATGAAGCAGCAGTTTCCAGCAATGGTGTATTATAATATTGCAAATGGAATATAATTTAATGGGAGCAGAAATCATGCTGTTTGCTCTTGCCTCCTCCCCATTTTTGTAATTCCCAGTTCATGGCACATGAAAGGCCATATTACAGCTATAATTGTATGATGCTACTTGTTTTGTGGATGGTTAAAGTTTCAGTTTCAGAACCACTGTTTGGATGCATTATTCAAGAGATTTTGAGTTCAATCTATCTAGCTTGTTAACAGGAGCGGCCACTAAAGGGATTTACCTGACTATCAACTTTAGAATCTAGGAGATTAGTTGAGGTACACGCAAACTGACTCAGACGTTAACGAAAAAAAAAAGTTCAGTTTCAGTTTATTTTACAACTTATTCTTCAGCTTCTGCTTTAAAATGGGCTAAAACCAGGCCCAGAAAACCATTTTCTGGGCTTGCGTAGGTTAATCAGTTCTTTAATGGGCTGTCAATTTCCTGAGGAGACAACTAATAAAAGAAATTATTGAATGACAGGCCGTCTATGTCCTGAGGAGACAACCGACGTGTCACTTAATGCTTCAGTGAACATTTTATCCAAAAATATCGCCAGATATCCTTGAACAAAGACGAAGAAACAAGAAGAGAAACGATCCACCACGGCGATGTTGCACGTACCCTCTTTCCAGAATCTTCATACCCGCCAACCCTTCTTCAGTTTCCATCATCACCACCGTCATGTTCTCCCCATCACAACCTTCCATTCCACCGCATGGGCGCCGAAATCAACGGTCCCGATTCACCTCCGCAGAGGGCATACAATAAAGTGTATGGCGAATCCTCGGAGAGTGAAAATGGTGGGGAAACAAATAATGAGAGAACTTTCGGACATGCTCTTAACCGACAAAGTGTTGCAGTTTGCTGTCTTGCCCGAAGCTGCCTTAGGAGCCGACCGCTATCTCTCTTCTCTTACAACTATCAGTGACGTTGAAGTCTCCGCTGATTTGCAAGTAAATATAACTATATATTCTACTCAAATTTTTATTCATTTCATGTATTTTTTGTAGCATCTTAAAAGATGGTGTAAAATTAGAAATTTTTATAACAGTTCAGTTTTTTTTTTTTTTTTTTTGGATTGTATATTGGTTTGGTTGTTGAAAAATATTTTCAGATTATGCGTCAAATGATTAATTTTGTGGTTCTGGGTTTGGTTTTAGCTACTATGATGAGTAATTTCAACTTATGAAGATAAGTTATTTTTGTTGCGTGGACTGCATTGCATTGGACTTTTTTTCTTTTTTAGTTGTATAGATGTAATACTTTTGTTTTCGTAATACTCTGTAGTTTAATTAAGGAAGGATAATGAGTGTTCTGACTTTGGATGTTAAAGTTTGTAATGATTTACCGTTGTAGTTTATCCATGGCGATTGAGATATTAGAAATTTGTAGCAGACAGTTGTTTTAGGATGAAAAGTTTTGGTAGGTTTAGAAACATTGAATTTCATATTTGTGAATTGTGCGGTCAACTTGTTAAACTATGTTCTGTGGATTATCATTGTTGAATGTTACCAGCCTGGTGTTCTATGATACAAGTATCAGTTACATGTCATCAGAAAGGTGCTATTAAGAATGCGTTACTGTGATTAAGCTCCAATGTAGGTATTCTGCATGGTAAGATGTCAGATCATGGTGTATATATTGGTATAGTAATTAATTGTGGGAGTGACTGAACTTTCAAGTGAAATTGTAGTTATTTTGCCGGTGATTCATTCTATATTTCCGTATGCTTGCAGGTGGTTAAAGTGTATGTATCTGTTTTTGGAGATGATAGAGGGAAGGACGTTGCGATTGCTGGGTTGAAGTCAAAAGCTAAGTATGTTCGTAGTGAATTGGGGAGGCGTATGAAGTTGCGGCTAACTCCTGAGATACGCTTTATTGAAGATGAATCTTTAGAGAGAGGAAGCAGGGTAAGACCTTATCAAATATCATTTATCTTGTTCACAGTTATGTCTTTTCTTTATAGTTTAGGTAATTGTAATTTGTATTTGTGATACAATTAAGTATCTCTCTTTTCATTTTCCGACCCATACTGATATGTTTATTCTATTTCAGGTCATTGACATATTAGATAGGATTAAGGCTGAAAAAGAGGTTTCAAAAAGTCAAAAAGGGGAACAGCTTGAATCAGCTGATTTGCCTGAAAATGAGAAAGATTGGGAAGGTGATGATCCTGATGAAGACATTATATATGTGGAATAGCAGTGCGCTTAGTTCCTCAGCATTTCAATTGTTAGACTTACAGCAGGACTTTCCCTGTTCTCAGGTTAGTTATATCCTTTCTAGTGATTCTTGTAAATTTATAAGTGGTGCAGAAAATATTCTTTGTTTGAAGTACCAATTATTTGTGTGATTGCACTTCTGAAGTAGACATGGAACACTAACTTTGAACTTCGCGATATCCTTATCATAGCTCACAGGAACTAAGCCATCCCAAATTCCCATTTGTGACTATGACTATGCATACAATGTGGTGATGACTGGTGGGATAAACTTAGAACCGAAACCACACCTCTATGGAACAAGAACTTGGAATGTAGCCAAGAATTCCGATGATGGCATTTTATCATTATTCAGAACCTCGGTGCAAAGATTGGTTGTTTTTATGTGCCGAGCTTAGCGTTTCCGTTATGGATTACGTTTTTAGAACTTGATATTGCCATTTAAGCATACAAGAATATTTAAACTATCATTTATTTGGCAATTCAAATCAAACCATTGGTTGATGTATGCAGGGTGGTGATACTAGCCATATTGCCAACATGGACAGAAGCCTTGTCTGCTTGGCGTCATCGATGGAAGGATAGATTTTGACCATCTCAATTCACAAGAAGCTAATAGAAAAATTTTCTTGTGTAATATACAAGTTATAATCGTTTTGTTAGTTCTGAATACTAGTGTAGGTGAAGTATTGTGGAAATTCAGAACACTTGAGATATGATAATTTGAAAGCGAATGGAGCTTTCTGTGCAAAGATTCGGCCAGATTTTTTAATTTAATTTACACTTCGATATTCCTATTTGAAACTGGTATATTATACTTGATATTCAGTTAATATTGCAATTTCATTAAGAAACCACAAGGATATATATATATATATATATATATATATATATATTACTAATCTCGAAGGCATTGCAACCATCAAAGGTCCATCTTCCACAATGCAAGCAAAAAGATCATTGCAAAAGCAATGGATATAGCTTCTTTATACAGGATGATTAATCCTTATAAACCTAAAAACGATAGAAATTGCCATCCCCAGTAATTGAAAAGGTCGTTGCAGAAAAGAAGGAGCATTTGCTGAAAAAATCTGATGACCATAGGTCCATGGTGTTTGAGACACCATATCCACAAAGAATCAATACTGAATACAACTTTCCGGGCAAAGATAAATAACAACCAAACGGTGTCAAGCTTGGCAGTTGGGGCCTAATGGTAACAGAGGTTTATTATTTCAAATAAAGGATGATAATCATTCAACATTAGATTGTAACCAAAGTGAAAGCTAAATATTCATAAAAATTGTCAAAGGCAATCAAGTTAAGTTTCTTAAAAGATTGTATCTCAGAAAAAAAATTGATAAAAAGCAGCCAGCAAGGTCTGCAAAACCATTCGCCAAAGATGAAACGCTGCTTTCTTTAATGATTATTTCTATACTCAACTCAACTCAAATGTTCACTCAACTTGAAACAGATCCCACCACCACCTTCAATGGTGAGCCTTTGCAGCAGCCTTTTCTTCAGCTTTCTTGTGTGATCTTGCCTTTGCCTGTGGCAAAAACATACACATCAGTTGAGCATATCACAAAGTAAGTACTCATCCATTAGCATATATACAGATACAAATATAGATGAAATGGAAACACAGAATGCATAGTATATCTTCCACAAGAACAATGCAGAACTATTATGAACTAAAGTAAATTGCTCCTCTCACAACCCTGCCTCTGAATTTATACTTTTACTTGTTGCAGAACTTCATAATTTATTTATTTTTAATAAGCAAAATCCCTTGGCATTACGTGTTCACTGAGCTCTAAACTACTGGCTACTTCTCAGCTAAACTATCTACTGATCTCAAACTGTGACAATCAGTTACTAATCTAGATGAAAACAACTCATATCCTATATGAACTTGAACCTCGGCTAAACCCTACAATCTTGTCGAAGAAAACTAATTGTAGACAAAACCCACAGTAAATTCAGATTAAATATCTAATATTAGCCAAATATGCCCAGCTAAAAATATAAAAACAATTAGCAATAATCCACATCCAAAAGTTAACAAAACAAAAACATAAATTTAAAACAAAATGTAATGAAAACCACTCACAGATCGCACATTCAACCATAAAATTTTGAGTCGGAAATTAAACTAAAACAAAAATTTAATAAAATGAATCAGAAGATGGTGGTAGTACCTTGAGGTACTTGAGCTTCATGTGGCCATAAACAAGCCCATATGAGAAAGCCGAAACACGAGCCACCTATAGATTATCACCAACAAAACCCAGATCACAAAATCAAAATTTTTTCATGAACAAGAAACCAAAATAAAATCTTTTTTTCAAAAGAAAACAAAAGAGAGCCCATAAGTTGTGTTGATTAAAAAAAAAAAATGAAAATACCAAAGCGAGGGTGCTGGTGCCGGAGTAGGGACCAGGAGGCGGCGCCATCTGATGATGCTTTTAGTTTTGTGATGTGGTTCGTGCAAAAGCTTTTGGTTTGTTATGAGAAAGAGAGTGTATGAGTCAAATGAGCAAGAAGATGAAGACCAAATCTTTCTAAAGCCCATATCTTGACTTCATTGAGCCTGGCCCAAAATTTGTAGCCCATTTGAAATCCTGGTAGTAGTTTTTCTAGGAAAGGAAGTGCCATTAATGGAAATTTCTATATTATTCCGAGGAAGGTAAGTCCCTTCTTATTGGAGATCAGAGTGATGGAAGTAGTGGACATTGTTTCAAGAAGTGTATCCAGTATTGTCTGCAAGTGTGTATTGAGAATCTGTGGTGTACATACAATTGTTAGCCTAATTCTCTTGGCTTGTGCCATTTCACCTCTCCTTTTCTAAAACCCCAATACCCAAAAGTTGTTCTGATTATGACTATCATAAATGAGAAGCAAGTCGTGTCAATTAGAACTCCTGGGTATATTGTTGAAAAAGTCTTGAATTCGATCCATCTGGGTTACTAATAAGGGTGATCACTAAAGGGATTTACCAAACTGTCAACTTTAGAATCTCCAGGATAAGCTAATCCATTTGGGTTACTAATAAAGGTGACCACTGAAGGGGTTTATCCAGCTGTCAACTTTAGAACCCCCAAAATATTAATTGAGTCTGGATAAGTTGGCCCGGACACCTCGTTAATAAAAAAATAAAAAAAATCCAATGGATGAATTCATTTTCATGGCTGTGGAGGAGCTCCATAATCATAATACTGCCAAAAAAAAGGTGTCCATTCCCTTGAACAAAGTGATGTGTGGCTAGCTAAACTGTCTTCTATACAAAATAATTAGATATTGAACTCCAAAGAAAGTGGGACAGTGTTGGTCAAAATATCATATGTAGATAGATATGACCAAGTCCCAACCACCTCAGGTCAAGCACAAATCTTGGACCGCATGAAATTTGTGTTCACCACCATCATTACAACTTTATATTAATATATGTGTAATTAAATTTTAAATCTTAACTATATATTATAAGTTTATTTTGCAAATTCCATAATCATAGGATAATAACATCTATAGATTCATGCATCAATTTATTTACTATTTTGGAGAAATGAAATATAGGATATAATAGCTTTAAATGTGAAAGATCTTGGTAACATATTATATACATTATTAACAAATGCATGCATTTTAACCATTATACATACCCTAATGTCTTCAATTCAACGCCACTTTATTCTCATATGATAATATTCTTTGATAATAAGTTTTAACCATTAAATTGACATATATAATCTGATTCATACAAATTAAATAAAAGAAAATATTTTTAATTATAAAAATTTGAGAAAATATAGTCCAATAAGGAAGTAGTGTTGAGAAAAGAAAGTGACCAAAAGGTAACACAATCATAATACAACTTAGATTCCCTTGTTCTTTACAACTCCAAAAACCTAGAATTAGTTCCTGTTCCTTCTACTTAAACTCCCCTCCTCTGTCTCTTTTCTCACCATTCGTTTTTTTCTTGCAAAAGTACTCTTCACTTTCATGGCTGTCACAACCACCGCCTCCACCACGACCGGCGCTGCTACCGCTATCTACCACCTCTCTTGTAACCCTAAACAAACCCAGAAAGCCCCTCTTTCTATCTTCTCCAAAACCCTTCAAAAACCCTCTCTTTTATCTCTTAAACAACAACCCCACAAAACTGACTTTGCTGTTTTCTCCAAAAACCCCATATCCGGGTTCTTTACCAGTGACGAAAAGCACCCAGATGACCGTTTTGTTAGCTTTGATGATGATGATGACGATAAGCCCCGTGAAGAGTGCGGTGTTGTGGGCATCTATGGTGACCCTGAAGCCTCTCGTATGTGCTATTTAGCGTTACACGCGCTGCAACATCGTGGACAAGAAGGTGCAGGTATGGTTGCCGTGAATAATAAGGTTCTTCAAACTATTACTGGTGTTGGTTTAGTCTCTGAGGTGTTTAATGAGTCTAAGCTTGATCAATTACCTGGTGATATGGCTATTGGTCATGTTAGATATTCAACTGCTGGTAGTTCTATGCTTAAAAATGTGCAACCTTTTGTTGCTGGGTATAGGTTTGGGTCTGTTGGGGTAGCACATAATGGAAATTTAGTCAATTACAAAACTTTAAGAGCTAAGCTTGAAGATAATGGTTCAATTTTCAATACTAGTTCTGATACTGAGGTTGTTCTTCATTTGATTGCAATATCGAAAGCAAGGCCTTTCTTTTTGAGGATTGTTGATGCTTGTGAGAAGCTTGAGGGTGCTTATTCTATGGTGTTTGTGACTGAGGATAAGCTTGTGGCAGTTCGTGACCCATATGGGTTTAGACCATTGGTGATGGGTAGGAGGAGTAATGGAGCAGTGGTTTTTGCATCAGAGACTTGTGCACTGGACTTAATTGAGGCTACATATGAGAGAGAGGTTTATCCTGGTGAAGTTTTGGTAGTGGATAAAGATGGGGTACAGTCACTTTGTTTGATGCGTCACCCTGAACCTAAACAATGCATCTTTGAGCATATTTATTTTGCACTGCCTAATTCAGTTGTTTTTGGGAGGTCTGTTTATGAGTCTCGGCATGCTTTTGGAGAAATACTTGCTACTGAGGCTCCTGTTGATTGTGATGTTGTGATTGCGGTCCCAGATTCTGGGGTGGTGTCTGCCCTTGGATATGCAGCAAAAGCCGGGGTACCATTTCAACAAGGGTTGATAAGGTCACATTATGTGGGAAGGACTTTCATTGAACCTTCGCAGAAGATTAGGGACTTTGGTGTCAAACTTAAGCTCTCACCTGTCCGAGGAGTATTGGAGGGGAAGAGAGTTGTGGTTGTGGATGACTCAATTGTCAGAGGAACTACTTCATCAAAAATTGTTAGGTTGCTTAAGGAGGCAGGGGCTAAGGAGGTTCATATGAGAATTGCCAGCCCACCTATCATTGCATCATGTTACTATGGAGTGGACACACCAAGTTCTGAGGAGTTGATTTCAAATAGGATGAGTGTTGAGGAGATTAGGGACTTTATTGGGTGTGATTCCCTGGCTTTTCTGTCAATTGACAGCTTGAAGAAGTTGTTGGCAAAAGATTCTCCGACTTTTTGTTATGCTTGCTTCTCTGGGAAGTACCCAGTTATGCCAAGAGAGGTTAAGGTGAAAAGGGTTGGTGATTTTAAGGATGATGGTTTGAATGGAAGCATTGACTCCATTGATGGTGGTTGGGTGCAAGGACCTCGAAATCTGAATGAGAACCAAAGTGATTCATCTCGGCACAATGAGCTCATTGCTTACAAGACCTCCAATTTACAGCATTGATGCCTTTTCGGTTTAACACAAGAAGATTAGGGGTATCCGGTGTGTGATTGAAGTGCATGACGCATCTTAAACTCATCCGAATACAATAATAGTAGTTTTTTTTTAATCTCGTTCTTGGATGAATTGAGTTCCAAACTCTAAGCCTTACACAGTTTTGTTAGCTCTTTTCAATTTTGCAAGAATATTTTATCTGATTTTAAGTATGGAGTTTATCTTTCCTTGTTAATAGATTAATGGACATCAACTTATATGTAATTTTTTTTACTTAACCTGCTAAATTTATGGTGCCCTGAAATGTCTTTAATCTTCTACTTGATTGATGAAAATCAATGTAATTAGTTGAATAAATGCTTAGAATTGCTTGATACAAGGTGCCGTCACAATGCTACACAATGTTGAGTTTAATGCTTGAACAAATGCTATGCCCTTCTTCAACTGATAAATATACATTAAATACTGTAATGCTACAGTCCCTTCAAATATAGAGTTCTACTTGAAATTACTAAAACCTCCTGAAAGGAATGTTTCAATAAACAACCTATAAAGAAAGGCTTTTAATAATTCATAAAATTTGATAATCTCTAAAGGGTCCATAATAGAAAATCTTGTGATAAAGCAATTGCATAAAGAAGTAATGTTATCTTGATAACCTATTCTCACAAACTTTCCTTATAAAACCGACGTGACAGTTGAGTTGGTATTGTCACGTCAGTTCCATCACATCCAAGACACAAAATAATTTTGATTAAACCAAAGAAACGATCGTTCCTTCGTAATGAACCTTTCGTGAAGAACAACCGTTCATTCATAAAAAAAAAAAAAAAACGGTCGTTTTCTATGAAGAAACGACTATTTCTTTAAGTTAATCAAAATCATTTTGTGCTTTCAGTATGGTAGAACAGTGTCAAAATCATTTTATACCTTAAACGTGATAAAGCTAACATGACAGTGCTAACTCAATTGCCACATCAAGATTGTAAGGAATGTTTGTGAAAATAGATTATGAGCGTAACATTACTCATTTTCCTTTGCATAAAACATCAGTCTCTTCTAACTGCACGACTAAAGTTTCATTATAGGCATCAAGAGAAAGACAATGAAAGGAGTTCAATGTTGTGTCACGTACTATCAAGCAACCACTGCCCACCACCCAAAAGTACAATTCCATTTAACTAAAACATTTTCAACTAAGAAATTGTACATTTATAGTAAATTATGCCATGAGCCACAAATATTATGAAGAGAAAACCCTGCTTCCCTTCAAGATTATTATAAATGTGGACAACAAATGTTTGACGCCCGTTTGCTTTTCTCTATAAAAAATAAATAGCACCCAAAATTGCTTAGTGATTACAGAAGGTGCTATGCCATCACTCGCTTCCAGCATTAGCAAGATTAATGAATCAACCAGAAAATTTAGAAACGCTGAAACCATTGTCAAGTTCACCCGTCAAATTTTGATAAACAGCCGAAAAGCTCAGCCATTTTCTGCTTGGTCATATGCATTGGATTTGTGCTTCGGTGCAAATGTAAAGCCATCAGGAACCTTACCCAGCAACATCTCAGATATTCGAATCTGCAAAAGAGTAGATATTAAAAATTACGCGCCAATGTGAAGCACCAAATAGTGGTGCAGATTAGACATATTACAAGGTAATGATATTTACCCAGTCAGCTGCAGAATCAGATGAAATTAGTGTCTCAAGGTCATCACGACCAAAGTAGGAGGGCGAACGCCAGTTCAATCGTTGTGGAATGACATCTAAAAGGCCAACAGGTATATATCTACATGTATAGCTAAGCCATTCCAACAAGAAATGCCTAGTAGTTTCCACTCCTGCAAAGAAACACAGACATAAGTCCCCTTGAAAAATCAACTGTACACAAGCACACACCAGAAACGTTTTAGATGAAGCAGCAATTAAGTAGTAATAATATTAATAATGGCACTGATAATAGTTCTGGAAAACGGAGAAGGAAAAAAACTTCAGAATGAATAACCAAAAGTTTCCATAAGTTCCAAGCCACATAAATATGATAGAACTTTATTTTGGAAATCAAACTAATTTGTACAAAGCAGGAAATTTCATGTGTTCATAGATATATAAAAGATTGAGATTCAAAATTCCTTTAAACCATTGTTGATAACAATCAGGCAGTAAGATAGAACTTTATTTTTTCAAAATCCAAGGATGTTAACAGAAACAATACATGTAGTTACCACACCCAGACTGCATTTAGATGCTTCCATGAGTTTATTGAATCAAAGAACTACATACCTTTCTTGTCAGATCCCCAATGCTCAAGGCCAAAACGTACATAATCCTTCAAGATATTTAACCGTTCCCCGGAACTGATGTCCCAGTGCCTCTGTTCCTTTATTTCAGTAAATATCCAAGGCTGCAAACCACAAGGGATATCATCCACAGACTATAAAATCATGACTTCAACAAAACGAGTGTATGATTTCATCACTCAGATAAATGCACACAATATTTTATTATGTTCAAAAAGCCAAGATCATGTGAAAATCAAGCATACCTTAATGAGAGCTCCTCGTGCAATCATGCATGAAATGAGCTCAGGGCAGTCGGCCTTGCGCTGGTTCCAGTCTAAATATGAGAAAATATCACCATTTCCAAGAACTTGCAGATCATTAGGAGCCTTTCTAGCACACTGATATATGTAGTCCCAATCAGCAAGCTTGCTATAGCGCTGCTGACGTGATCGACCATGTACAGTTACTGCACTAGCTCCCCAATTGCCAATATCAGCAATTAATGAATCGATACGGTTTTTCCCTTCAAAGAAACCAGTCCGCACCTAGTGAAACACAAGAATGCAACATCATGCATCTTGAACAAGCTGAGAACAGGATGTTCCGAGACCACATAGCCATGCAATAATTCAAAACAACAAAAGAAGCAAAATACAAAAGATTTCTGGTTGATTTACACTTGGCAGCCAAGTTATGCACACAACTTTATTCGCAATGAATAAGTACAGATTTCACCAAGTACCTTAACAGTTATAGGTTTGTCCACAGTGCCAGAAGCTGCTGCAATTACACTTTTCATCCGCATTGGTTTGGTGAGAAGAGATGACCCAGCACCTTTGTTAACAACAATATCAATTGGGCATCCCATATTGATATCAATAAAGTCCACTGTACATTCTTGATCAATAAGTTCAACAGTATGTGTCACAGTGTCTGGGTATGCCCCACATATCTGTACACCAAACAAATCCTCAGATGAATGTCGTCTCAGGAGAGCCCATTCTGAAGCTTGACCCTATCCCATAGCAAAAATGCAGTAAAAAGATATCAAATAAAACTTAATATAAAGTAAAGAATACAAAGAACATCAAACTAATAGAAAAAAACACAACCACAAACACAGCAAATCTCCTTCAGAAGGAAAAGAAAAGAAAAGAAAAAGATTAATAAAAAACTCATATCAGGCCAGCTCCATTGACAATAAATGCGGCAAACATTCCTGAATCCTGATTCCATATATTGAAATAACACATTATGGATAAACAAATTGCGCACGTGACATGGCATGCATACAGAACAAGCAGATTCCAATCTGTAATTATTTTAAACAGGCATAAATTATATTGTGCTGCTGTTCGCTCCGAGCTGAAGGAAAAAGCAGCAGAATTTTCAGTCTGGAGTAGCTTCATAAAAGGGGATGAAAGTCATTAGCCAAAGAGTTCTTAGAACCTGAAAGAAAACTTACATCATTTTATGAATGATCTGAAGAACAAAAATCAATGAGCAAGTAATAACTCAATTCATTGTTTGAGTGGCATTGTTTATTTTAAGCAACTTTATACAGTCATCAAGTGTACAGAAAGGATCGAGATCAACTGCAAAGAAAACTCTCATACTTTAAGCAATTTGATTAGAAAAAGTAGTACACACACCTGCAAAAGATTTGTACACATTGCCATTTCACCACAGGTTATATCTGCTCCCAGTACTTTGCAAACCCTCCGGTAAGGAAGATTCCCTACAGTGGTCAGAGGTGCAAGATAAAGCTTTCCTCTAAAATCAATAAGCTTCTTTTCACGAGGGTGTATTTTTAAGCTTCTATCAGTTTCTGTAAGTACATCATCAGTTGTAGCCTCAGGTTCAGCTTGCACAGAAATTTTCCCAGAATCTTCCTCCAACACACCCGCACCTATTGTAATAAATTTGATATAAGTTAGATCCTTTATGCATGGAAACATTACACACAAACAAGAATTACACCACATAATTTGAGCAAAACCAACCATTGTCCGCTTCCCCAAAACAACAATTTTCAGTGCTATCAGATTTTGCTTTTTTTAGGGGTCGAAGTTTAGCAGTTTCACAAGTCTCATCAACATTATCCTCTCCTAACATCTTTGGGCACCCAGACTCATCACCTGACTCTCCACCTCCTTTTGTGCAACCATTTTCAGTAGTGGCATGAGAATTTTTCAAATCTATTCCATTTCCTTCCTCCTTATCATCCACCACTTTCATCTTATTCTTCCCATAAACCTGCACAATCATAACAGTACCAGCAATGAGACTACACAACACGATGAAACGAATTACATTCATCTAGAACCAACCACAATAGAAAAATATTATCTCATACCAAAAGCCCCAGAGATTTAAGTCTAGCATCAGCTTTGGGGAACTTCATTTTATTCTTCCACAGAAGCTTCTGCACATCTTTGTTCAATCCATTAACCTCAGAGCTTTTCTTATGGGCATTCGAATTAACATCACCACCACTAACACCGCCTCTATGAGTACCCGAAAATCTGCAGGCCAAACCATACGGGCACGGGCCTTCATAACTCAAAAAGGGGCACTCACCTTCCAAATCAGCCGGTTTCTACATATACAAACAACGAGTCAATTAAATCTACTCAAACGAAATTACAAATTCGAAAAACACAACTCAATCTAATTCGGTATTTTAAACACATAGATACCTGAGCTTTAAATGCTTCTAAGTCGTGACCAAATCGGCACTTATCTTTATAAGCACAAGAACTAACATCTCCAGTCCTAGCTATCTCCGGACACAGGTTTAACGGAGATTTTTTTTCCTGTTAAAAAATGAAAATTCAGTAAAAATGACAAGTCATTTTCTAACCTTCCAGAATATTTTGAGATGGTATAGTTACCTGAAGGCGTTCGCGTTTGAGCTGGCGTTTA